GTTGACACATCTTCTCCTCCTCAGAAAGACCCATTACCAAATTTTTATGATCAAGAAGGCTCAGCTCATGTGTTAAGTCCTTGATCACCATCTCAATCTTTCCAAAAACCTCCATATTCTATTTTTTTTAAAGCAATTTTAACATTTCACAACCGCTGACTAGATCTCTGAGCACCCCAAGGCATTGCAACCTCTCTTCCCCAAGCTTTCTCCAACAACCATGAAACCTCCTTATGAGACAACTAGCAATTATTAAACTGAAACGATTTTGGGCCCCAATTTACCACCTTATCTTTCAAAATAATTGGACAATGATCTGACACATGTCAGCTCAGAACTTAAACATAACCATCACCCCAAGCATCCAACTAGGAACTAGAAACTAATACTCTATCAAGCCTGCTCATCATAGAAGCATCTCCTCATATCCATATATATTTCTTACCCACTAGCGGAAGATCCATCAACTCCATATCTTGAATAAAGGAATTAAAGCCTTCCATTTCTAGAATTCCATGATCGGACTGAGTACCCCACCTTTCTCACTGCATTGAAATCACCCAAAACACACCACAGAAACCTGTCAAAGCCTTGCCTAGACATAATCAACTTCTCCCAAAACTCACACTTCTCTCCTAGTCTACATGATGCATAGACATTCACCTCCACACACAAATTTTCACTCAACACCATTTGCAAGCATATACCAAGGAATCCAATACCAGAAAAGGAGAAAAGCATTTTACCTTTGGAAGAGTCCCAAATGGAAAGCATACCACCGCTACACCCAACAGAAAGAAAAACAACCCATATGAAATCCGCTGCACCCTATAGACACGCATTGAAATGATGATCGCACGTCTTAAGCTTCGTTTCTTGAATCACCAAAAAATCTAAACCTTCAACATGAACAAACTCTAACACCTTCTTACGCTTCACCTCACCCCCCAATCCACGAACATTAAAAGAAGCAATCTTCATGAGGAACCAGAGCGAACCCCATGTTCAACAATAATATTTTGGTCATGTCTCTCCATCTCAATCAACTTCTCACAGACCTCATCTTCATTGCCTTGAATCACCAAACCAACCTATTGTCCGATAAACATCAATCGTGACGCCATATCATCATCATCACCATCGGCACCAAAACAAGAAGAGTCTCCCTCTACCACTGATGGGCCCACTTTCCTAATCAGTGCTTGAACAGAGAGATGCGAACTCGATGAACCATGTGGAGCAGATTCTGACGCACTACTAATGGATTTCCCTTTCCTTTTCAACCTTGAGGGCATCAAAATTTCCTTGATATGATCCCGGAAATTCTTTTGTGGAGATTCTATAAAGGTAGCTTGCTGTTTCAATTTGCCATCAGCTTCGACCATACGACAACCCTGACGCAATGTTTCTCGCAGATTTAGCCCCTCTTTCTTGTCATGAATTTTGGATTGAAGGGAGTTGTTTTAGGAGACCTCATAATCCACTTTTCCCTTGTCTTTAGTTTGCAATGTACCACAAAACAAAGCATATAGTCCAAACAGGTCTGAGTCACACAACCTATCCACGCTCTTCTCATGGGCAGGATCTGAATTTGTTTCTAGAATAACTTTTTCCCCACTCTCAAACAACCCACCCACATATTGCCCACATCTAACCCAATATATTTTGTAACTTATATTTATACACTTAAACTCTATTATATATATATATATATATATATATATATATATATATATATATACACTAATTATATTATTAATTGTTGCAGTTTAATTAGAAGTTGTTATTAGTGCATTATGGAAATATTCTAGATAAAAATTAGATATTTTTAGTCCTTGACTGTGCTATGTGAAGTTGAGTTTGAATTTTGAATTTAAAATTTAAACTTAGATATAAAGATTTGGAGCGATTCTAATTGTGGATAAAATTGATTTGAAAAGATAGAGTTCAACCAATTGGAAACTCAAGACATAGCCTATATAAAGAAGTCTTATGTTCCACACTTGACATACTTCTACTTCTCTACACACCTTCTTTCCCTTATTAGTTCTAACCAAACTCATATTTGAGACTATTGGCAAGGACAACGAACTTCCCCTTAAAGTCCAAGCAAGTAATTGAGCGCCCCTTTGAAGAACAAGAACTCTCTTTGTCTTTGTGGTTATGAGTTTATTTATTATGTTTCTTCGTAGTTTATTTTGTTATGAGTAGCTAAACTCATAAGTAGGGTTATGGCAGATCCTACTACAAACTTAGTGTGATTTTACTTTTAATTTTGGTATTATTTTTCTTTAATGTTTGATTTTTATTCTATTAAAATGTATTGTGTATGTTAAAATTTGATCACCCTTAGCATCTTATAGTTAATTACATTGTAGGCGATCGTACCACATTTAATTAACAGAATTATAGAATAAAACGAGATAAGGAGTTAGGTTAATCACATTTAATTCTTTTCTTTCAATCGTTATTGAATCAACAAACTCACAGGGTCTTCATGTTTTCTCGACTAATTACCTTGCATGATCATTGGAGGTATTTGTTCAGAAAAAAGAATATTGACATTATATGATCATTGGGTGTTAATGAAATTAATTATGAGTGATTGACAAATATTTGAATACTAATATTAAAATTAAATTAATTAGAATATAAAAAAGTATAATAAATAAACTTATAAATCTTATGTTCATCTCTCATATATTACATTACTATTTTTTTAATTTATTATTATTATTAAACTCTTTTTTTATTTGTTATAATTTTATTATATTTAATCAATCAAATCAAATTATTCTTAATACTTAAAAATAATTTATATGAAGCGATAATTTTTTAACTTTTATAAAAAATTTCTTTATTACTTTTTAATTAGTACATTTGTCCACCCTCTCTCGGTTCATGAAACGATGTCGTTCATTTCCAAAATCGATCGCCAATCGGATTTCATGACTTCTGTTCCTAAACTCCCATCGTTATCGACGATGGCGTCTCCTACGGGGACGGTGGTCCGTCCACTCCCACCCCATCGCACGGCGCCTTTCGAACCTTTTCTCATTAGATCGGGTAACCTGCACTAAAAGGTCAAGCCACATTTCATATAGAAATGAAGGTTCTAGGAATGTCGTACGAGTCATTCATCTAGTCCTTTCCGCATTCGGTCCTCTCTCTTCTCACCGACCATAATTTTCCCTATGCGTCCATCTACTTGCAGTCAGGTCACCATGAAAAAGAAATTAACGGACAGATTGGAGTATTTAATGGTAAACGCAATTACAGAAAGCAACAATTCTTTATGATTTTTCTCGAAAGTCGTGGAAAAATCTCATAAGGTACTGGTAGCGCCGCCTCTAGCTATCTCTCCCCCGCCGATAATGAAATCTCACTTAACATGTAGTTTCTCAAATTAACTATGTGACTTGTTTTATCCATACTTAATTAGGAAATATGAAAGCTATAGTTAAACAGGTAAAACAAAAGCTTAAATAGAAAAAATGGAAGAAATATTTTTAACGTATAAAATGATGTTATTCTTTACATTATTATTATAAGATGTAATAAAAAAATATAGATATTAACGTGCTTTAGTCGATGTGATTTACATTTTTAGGATAAATTAAATAGTCAATGTAATTTTTTTTTAAATGAATCATGAGCAAATTATACAAATAAATTTAAATTTTATTTCTAACTTAAATCTTTAAGGTATTAAATTATGAGTTCGTGTCACTTGTATAAACATTTATCTTTATACTCAAGATTTTTTCGCTCATACTTGTTATGTTAACAATCTTCACATATATTAATTGAAACATACAAAATTAACAATAGATAATAGAAGAAGAGGTTAGTTTATCACTATAAAAACATTAAAAATAATTTTTTCTTCTATTTTTACCTTTTTCCTACAAATCTTTAAAAACTAAAATTAAAATAAATCAAGGCTACAAGTTTATAATTATAAGTAAAAAGAAAAAATGAAAAAACAAATGAGCTGGGTGATAAACCAGAACCCTCGAAAGCAAGTCGAGCAGGAAATAACAAATTCAACACAACTGGGTCAACACAGAGAGAAGTAGATCAGCAGTAACACTACAGTATTTCACGAGCAATGATAGAACTTTATCATTGTAAAGTTTACAAATAGATATATATTTTGTAGACTAAATTTATTTAATGATAATATTTAATTTAACTATCAAATTAATAAAGTTTAATATTATTAAATAGAATAAATTTATCCATACTTATTCTTGAATAAGTTTAAATTTTAAAGATTAAATTAATGAATCTAATTTTTTAAAAATAAAGGTAATAACTCATTGAATTTTAAAAGATCAAATTAAAAGTTACTCGTTTCATATTGAATCCGACATGTGCTGTACTAGAATTCATCGACAAATTTCTAAGTAGTCCAGAATCATGTTGTTCTTACCATTCATGCCTTGTCACGTATTATTATCTTTTTTATTAAAATATATGATATGGGAACATTAAAAAATTTCTTGAATGCAACCAACTACATGGGTGCAAGTTCAAGCTTCGCTTGTTACTGTCGGAGCCCATCTCGCATTAAAATAACCAATTTTAACTCTTTGCCTTTTCTAAATATTAATTTTATTTATTAATAGCATTACTTTAAAAATTAAAAATAACTATTTAATAAACAATATTAAAGTGGTAAAATTAACTAGATATTTTTTTCTTACCAAACGTCTCCAACCCTTTTTTTAATTTTTCTAGATATTCATTACATATCAATAACTTTTACATTAAAAATTTGAATTATACTGTCATGTCAGCTACATTATTTTCAACGTGACCCACGTCATGAAGATGACAAATCCTTTTAAAAAAAATGTAATTTATACAAAAATAATTGTATATTTTTGTTATAGCTTAGATAAAAGAAAAGTAACAAAGAAAGTGATGTGATAAAGAAAAAACTCCTGAGATAAAAAATTATTATAAAAATATTTTAACCCAATTCTTTTGTGCATAAAGAGATTCATAACGCTCTTTCTTTTATGCTGACTTGATATGTGGAATGGCAAGATAAGAAGGTAAAGCATATAGCAAAAGAAGGTGTGCGTGTGACCCCAACAACATGTCTTCTGCCAAAATTCCCCAAGTTGTTCTCAAATCTTCCTCTAATGGATGCAGCATGCCAGTGATAGCATTTGGAACTGCAGCTTCTACTAACAAAAGCGATGCAGAAACCACCAAAGTGGCAGCGATTGAAGCTATCAAATTGGGTTACAGACACTTTGACACTGCATCAATCTATGGATCTGAAGAGGCTTTGGGTGAAGCCATAGCTGAAGCTCTTCAGCTTGGTCTAATAAAATCTAGAGAGGAGCTTTTCATCACTTCTAAGCTCTGGGTAACTGACAATTTTCCTCATCTTGTACTTCCTGCTCTGCACAAATCACTTCAGTAAGCAAATCATTCCTTTTTATACTAAATTATATCAGAAAGATTTTCATTAGTGATTGTGGTTATTTTAATTTGTAATAATTAAGGTATATATTATGTTTTGGATTTCCATGTTGGGTTTCCATGTTGAGTACTTGCTGTTTTATATTTTTTATAATTAAATTAAATTTCAGTGCGTTCTCAGAAAGTTGCTCTGTAGTTTATTCAATATTCAAAGCCCAAAAAATTGTGTCCGATACAAATAATTCTTCAATTTCTATCGATTGATTTGAGTGCCTCTTTAATCTCTTACATCGTAGGTTTTGTATGTCTTTTTATTCACCTGTGTCTAAATAATTTGTTGTCAGAGCACATAGGTAAAGTACTTTTTTTCCAGTTCTTCAATCAAAATTAGAAATTGGGACCTAAGTTTTGTGCTATTACACTTAATCGTGTGTTTGAAAACACGTTTAAAGCTTATAAAGGAATATTTAATGCAGAAACTATAATTAGTAGTATTGAAGCAAATTAAAACCTAAGATGATTTGAATATGAATTCAAACATGCACATATATGCAACTTGAACCCAATGACTGAAATAAATTGATGGCATTATGCAGGACCCTGAAGTTAGAATATTTGGACCTTTATTTGATCCACTGGCCCATTAGTGTGAAGCCTGGAAATTGGCAAATTCCATATGGTGAGGAATTAATAACAACATTTGACTTAAAGGGAGTGTGGACTGCAATGGAAGAATGTCAGAAACTTGGCCTTACAAAATCTATAGGAGTCAGCAACTTCACTTGCAAGAAGCTTGAAAATCTTCTCTCAATTGCTACCATTCCTCCTTCTGTCAATCAAGTAAGATCATCTTGCTCATCTTTTTACCTATACTAATTGGATAATGTTAACTTCAGCTCTAGAGGTTGAAGGTTAGTATCTCATAATCATAAATTTTTTATTAGAAAATTAAACATTTGTTATACTTTTTATATCATCTATGTAATATATATTTTACTTTTGATTAAAAAGTTTATTATATTTATATGCTTAAACTCAATTTTAAGGGTTGATACTAACAAAATAGATATTAGTTTCAGCAGTGTTGATCATATATTCGGTTGTTGATGTTGCCTCCATATTAATAGGTGGAGATGAATCCTGCATGGCATCAGAAAAAGCTAAGAGAATACTGTGAAGCGAAGGGTGTAATCATAACTGCATTTTCTCCTTTGGGAGCCAAAGGGACCAGATGGGGTACCAATGAAGTTATGGACAGTGAAATACTCAAAGAAATTGCTGAGGCCCACGGCAAAACTATTGCTCAGGTTACAATTTTAAGATTCTTTCATGTTCAAAGAATCGATTTTAACTTTCCTTATATGTAAGAAACATATCAGGTCATACCAAGTCAGTGGTTGGAGAAACTAATCTTAATCATACAATAGTATAGGATACAATCTTTTTTTCATAGTGAGCACAAAGTTAAGTGCAGTAAAAATTAATTGATAATCTAATGTTATAATAGTATTAAAATAAATTAAATTCAGTGGGGACATGTACCCCGTATTATTATACTACGTAGGCAGGGGACTAATCTTAGCCATACAATGAAATAAGATAAGGTTAATTGAAATGAATAATTTTATTATTTATAGATGATTATATGGTTAAACTTAAGCTCATTTAAGTTAGTGGTAAGTGATATGAATTGTTACATATGATTATCTAAAAATCATCATTGTTGCAATGCTTCGTATTTTCACTCAAGTAATAACTTAGATCTTGATTACTTAACTACTGGATGTTTCAATATGTTGTAGGTATGTCTTAGATGGTTGTATGAGCTAGAGGCGACCATGGCGGTGAAGAGCTATAATAAGGAGAGAATGAAGGAAAATTTGGAAATATTTGATTGGTCTCTTACAAAAGATGACCATGAAAAGATTAATCAAATAAAGCAGAATCGTGTCAACAACGGGCCAGTTGTGTCTGTTCCTAACCTTTGGGATGGAGAAACATAGGATTTGGTTCAATACAGTGTTATTTTGCCAACATGTCGTTTATGTATTTTTGTTCTGTTGGTGATTTGGTGTGTGGCAATAAAATGACCTACAAGAGTCTTCAAATGGTCATGGAATAAGTGGTGAGACAAAACCCTGAGTTCTCCTCCCTCACTCTCACACTAGCAAGCACCAACCTTTCCCTAGTACTTTCAAAAGTTATGGTATTGTAACTCTGTTTTTCTTTTAGTTTCATTTTATACTTTTTTTTTGAGTAACTATGAGTGTATCTATTGATTCTTCTAAATATTTATTGTCACTTTTATTTAAGTGATTTTTTAAAGTACTCTTTTTCCCTTCTTATAACAACATTAATAATAAGAATATTTTAGATAAAAATTATTTAAATAAGATAATTAATAAACATATGAAAGTGACAATAACCCCTCTTTATAACTATTTATGTAATATATAAAAAGTTTAAGTTTATGTTTCTATTTTATGCATTTTAATTCATTACTAAATAATAATTTTAAATAATAATTTTGTTTGTAAAAAAATAAATTATCAAATAATATAATGAATAAAATATTTACCAAAGAATATTTAATAAAAATTAAGAGTAGTAAAATTTACTAAAGAAGATGCTAACATGGTAAAGGTAAACCAGCTTGATCAAATAATAAAAGAGAGAGAAGGATCGTCTATTGTAGATAGATTTTATTTATAGAAGTATATATAATAGCTAACCATTCCAAGTTAAGGGGAAATTAACTTGAATTTGAAGGGTTATTGTAACGGTGTAAAATCCTTTTGCGTTTATATGTATAAGGTGAATCTATTTGATAATTTTTTTTTTGTTTTTGAACTTTACTATATGCGAATTCTCTCATGCCAACGACAATTACGAACCACGAGCAAATATTATTCTTGGATCCTTTCGATTTTGAGATCTCTCGCAGTCTTTAACTTTGGACACAGGAAAAAAAAAACTAATAGAATGTATATCACAAATTTCTTAGATTGAATGTTGAAAGATGGTAAATGGTTTATATATATATCTATTAGTTGCACTTTGATGGATACGGATAGAAGTGAGTGAATCAATCCTTGAGTGTAGATCTCTATCTATCTTGATCTACAAAGAAAGGCGAGGACACTCTGAAATTGAACTAAACAAATACACTTAAACATCACAATGCTAACTGGAAGTAAGACATCATGATAAAATAATAATTCCAAGGCACAAAAATAAAAACTTATAATTACATGTGTTTATGGTGAAAATTATAATTGGCAAACAAATAAATTTAAGAATAATCTGAGATTAAATTTTAAATTTTCTTATATTCTTTTAAGTGTGTTCTTAATATAACAATTCAAATCCACATCATAAAATAAAAAATTAAGTAGAAATAATAAAATAGTAAAACATTATTGACCTGAATGTAAAAGAGTTAAAAAACAAACTATGCGTGCATTAAATTGTCAAAGGTAAATTGCAGGAATGTAGATGTACAATTTTTGCTAGGAACAACTAGAATTGGAAGTCTCCTGGTAGCTAGTCTCTGTCTCGATGAAAACTTTTAGTGTGCAAAAAATTTTAAGTGCTGCTGTATAGTGCAAAAAGTCGTCCTCCGTAATGTAAAGCTTAGTACTATTTATAGGTATATGCATTTCAATCGCTCTCCTCCTTTCGTGGGTTTCTTGATAATTGTTTTCTGCACGTATTTGTCTTCAACATCTGTCACCTATTATCTATAATCGCTCGTGATTATGTCTTCTTCATAATTATTATTTCCTACGATCGGTTCTTCGTGTCTCTGACCTTTAACTAGTGGAAATCATTGGTAACTGCTGTTTTAGTAATCGCTTCAAACCTTGTAATTCTTTCGATATTTTTTTTTACCTTTTTTAGCTCCACCTTGTCTCTTGGACTTAAATAATTTCCTTTGTCAGTTTCTTATTTGACAAGTTTTCAACCAAATCTGTCGAGGGTCCTCTTTTTTAATTGGTTTTGGATGTTTTCAACTCTAGACTCAAAATCTCCAAAACTACTTGAGATGTGACTTTTTTTTTCAACAAGAAATGGGGCACTTCTTAAGACCCTTCAAAAACTCTTCAGAATGTGACTTCTAACTTTGACAAAATAAGGTATGACTGGCTTTTCAACAGAACGTGTCGAAAAAAATACTCCTTAAAACCTTGGGTTCTCTTTATCATGCAAGTTTGGTAAGGACTTTTGGGACTTACAAAAAATTTCCTTTTTCCAAACATCAAGTGTAGCATGGTGCATATGATGAATGTAATTGTAACTTTAAAACATCATCCTAAAGGATATATATATTTTAAACTTAGTGTGTGTTCTTTGAATAACTCATTTAAAAATTTATTAATGAAGTTATTAAATGTACATTAAATCTACTTGTCTAAAGACGATAAATTTTAAACTTATTGTTTGCTCACTAGGTAACTCATGAAGTTTTAGCTTTGATGATTTTAGTCTTCACATTCTACTTAAAGAAAAATGCATAATTATGTCAATATTATTATAATAACTTATATTAGTTGAAATTGTGTATTGCCCTTATTATGTGTGATAATGCATTATTATTATTTTTCATTATTATTGTAAGTTTTAATTTTTGTTATTACAACTTTATTGATACACAATTATAATTTAGTATTAAAATTTTTTAATATATAATTATTATTATTTTAGTGAAAAACATTGAGAATATAATTGATAATTGAAGAGTAACTAATGAGGATGTTATTACTGTAAAAGTTGGATTGTTTGTACTAGTTCTTAGAGATTTTTGTAATTTAAAAAATACTTTTGATCCTTATATGCGATTGTCTATATTAAATTTTATTTATGACTTATTTTCTTTCTTTTTAATAAAAAATAAATTTAATTAGAATTATTTCATCATATTTTTAATTTTTTATAAATACAATTTATATGAAATTTTTATTAATATAAAGATAAAATAATTTTTTATCAAATATTTAAATAATAAATTCAATAATTAAAATAAAAAACTTAAAATTAAAATAATAATATAAAAAAATAGTATAGTCAAAGGGTTGAATAGAATAAAAGTAAAAAAAAAAAAATAGGGTTTTATAAATTGAATGATTAAGAAGGAAATTATTTAAAAATAATGGAAACAAAAACAACAAAATCACTCTCAGCAAGTAACTACAAATAAAAATCACTAATATAAGTATAGTTAAAAAAAATTACTAATAACTTTTCATTTAAGCTAGTTTACAAAAACAGAGATATTTTTATTAAATAAGGTTTTCAGCAATTTAAAATATCTTATCAAACACACAGTAACACTAAATTTTTCAATTTTCAGTAATTTCATTTAACAGGTTGATTAGTTTTCTATTTTTTAATTAATTTAACAGAGCATAATAGAGAGAACTTGTCGATCAAGAAAACGATTTTTTCGAACTTTTTAAAGTTTAAACAAAACGACATTGGCCTTCGAAGATAAGCCTTCTCTATCCTCTTTTGTCTGCAGTGCAATTTATGGACCAATTATCAGAGAGTTGTGAGTCATCAAACAAGTTCTTTTTGTTTTTTCAGATGTAACCTAATTTAAAGGCCTTGTCAATGGTGTCGGAAAATTCTTTTTTTATTTTTTAAATAGCGATGCTTATTTTTTCTGAATTTCTTAAAATTATAAAAAAAAAAAAAGGTATTAAAGAAGTATAAGAGATGGTTCATGAAAGTTGTGTAAAATCTTGGAGGAATCGAATTATGAAGATAAATGGTTATTTTACGAAGTTGAAAAAGTGACCCAAGTGAAGTTCCCTCGATATAGTGTAGCTTCTGTACGCTTGTTATTTAGTGGGGTGACCCACCTCAGTGACCCACCTTTTTATCATATTCGCACTCCAATTACATCGTTGGATAGCTACAAACTATTTTTAAACCTAAGAAAATTATAGTTTTAAAACAGAGCATCTCCATGTGTTGCCCCTCCAAACGGTACATAACCCAATTCATTTTTTTAATTATCTCTTTTTGTTCTTACTTATTAATATCACAGTGGTTTTCTACTTTCCTTTTGCAGATTTGACACTTTCAATTATAATATTAGATTTTATTGGATCTGTAGTACTAGGTAAAAATTATATAAACATTATACATTTTATTCAATTTTAAAAGCGTTTTGGATTTTTTTTTTCATTGAATGGTTGGATTACGACACCTGTCAAATCTGAATGGTACACTGGCACTGTTGAACGTTGGTGGGCTCTTTGAGTTTTGTTCTAACCGACACCAACAAATTGCATAAAACGAAATATCAACAAAATAATTGCTTCCGTATCAACAAAATTATTGATTTTTTTTTCATTTAAATAGCGAGTTAAATAAGTTGAACTTGAAAATTAATGAACTAATTTGTAGGTTTTTTTAAAATATTTTTTCTGACTTTATATTTTTAAAAATTAATAATTGGCCAAATGTAAGTTAATAATTTTATTTGTTTTGTAGATTAATTTAGTACAACTTTTTTTAATGAATCTTTATTATAGACCAAACTTATATAAAGTACATCAAATTCTATATCATAAATGACGGTATTTTTTTATAGGTAGGAAGTGAAACATTAATGATATTACTTTTTCTATTTGTTTACTAATCATTTTATAAAATTTGAAGATGAAAGTTGTTATTTAATATTTTTTATAATTTTTAGAATTTTCATAATTTTCATAATTTTTTTAATTTTTTACAAATATCTTTATTTATATATAAAAATTTATAATGTTTAGTATATTTATTTTATTATTTTAAAATAAATTATAAAACGGAAGTAGTGTATTTTACGAGACACATTTTACAAAGGAATTTGTTTCTAAAATAGAAGTTGAAATAGCAAAGCAAACGGGTTAGTAGACCGGGCTCGAAAAGTGATTGCTTAATAACATTTTACGATAAATATAACATTCTCTCATAAATATAATTATAAAAATTATTACAATAAAATAAAAATTTATTTATAAATTACATTTCTAGTTATAAATTTATCACATTCTTTCTGCCTCAAAATTTATTTTTTTTAATTTAAATTAATAAAAATATTTCAAATATAATAATATATAAAATCAAATATTAAAAATTGTATATCATAAGTTATATAATTCTATAAAACTAAATTTATAATTTAAACATGTTGCAGTTTGGATTCAACAAGAATTTTTGTAGTTACCATTTACCAATTAGAATTTTTTATTTTTTACTTCATCAACTCCAAATTTCGTCAATTTTTTTATAATAATTATTTTTTTAACTATATTTAGAAGGGATATTTATATAAAAGTTAAATTTTATTTTAAGTGTAACTTTTGTTAAACTTTTATGAACGTTGAATTTTCAATCAATAGATTGAAAGTTTTACAGAAATAAATTACTTATATAAATTTATATTATTCAAAACATAATCGGCACTTTATTAGTTAAATTTAGTTTAATGTATAAAAACATTAAAAATATAAATTAATATTGATTATAACTATTAATTTTGATAACTTCAATTCTTGGAATTAATTTTAACCACTTAATGATAGTATATTTTATTTAAAATATTATTTATGATTTTATATTTTCAAATAATAATTTTTTTTAATAAGAAACACCACTTTTCAAGTTTTAACCTTAATCATAAAGACGGATGTTAATATTTTTTAAATTATATATATAAATACAAAATTTATTTAAATTTAATATACACAATCAACATTTTAATATTTAATTACTTAACAATAATATTAATTAAATTTATATTCTATAAAAAATTATCAAAAAATAAATTTAATAAAAATTATTCTTAAAAGAACTTAATTTGCATGTATAATGTAATATTTTTGAAGAGTTTTCAACCTTCTTCGTCAATTAAAATAAAATCTAATTTATTTTATACGATTTAGATCCTTCAATGGAAAAATTTCACTACACCATGTTTATAATATCATATCCATTTATTGTAGATTTATTATTTTTTAAAATAAAAATTTAATTATTTTAATGGTCAAAATTTTCTTTAATGATCATGTTATTGCAAAAGATCCTTATTTTACTTTATAGGATATAATATTTATCATTTTCTTTTAAAATTAAAAAAGGAACAAATGCATTTTTCTCATAATAAGGTTTTAAAAATTTAGATAAGAAATTTTTTTTTTCAATTTTTGTACATTTTAAAAAAATATTTTACTAACCATTAGCATAAATCATTTTCTTAAAAATTTATACTAAAATTAATTGTATAAAATTTACAATAAATGAACCTTGACACAACATGGTTTCGCTATAATGTAAAATATTACGAATATTTTTAGTTAAATAATTTTTATTATTAACTTAAAAAATAATTTTTGTCAAGCATTATTAATAATTAATTTATATTATATAAAAATAAAATAATTATTGATCGGTCAAAGATAAATTTATAAAAGTATAAGTTATATATTATCTAATGAAATATTTGGTATTATTTTATAGAAAATATTTGTTTATTATATTATAAGTAAATATTTTATTATTATTTTAATTTTTAAATTTATAATATTATATTTTATGGAAATATTATAGCAATTGAATTTGTATATTTATTTATATATAATAATTAAAAAATATATTATAAGTGATTAGAGAGAAGTGTAAAAGAGAAAAAAATAATAGACAAAGTTAGACCTCAAATTTATATTTCAAAATGAAGATAAAAGAAAAAAAAAACTATTTCTCGAATATAAAATTAAGAAAGTATAATGTAGAATGAGATAAAATCATAAAGTAAAAATTTTAACTGAAAAATAGACTTATTTTACATGGAAATTGTGGAATTGAAGCTCCTTCCTGAGTTCTCTTGAACGTTAAATGTGTGGTTGACACCTCTCTATTTTTCTCCTTCTCTCCAATCTCTACGTTCATTTACTTATCGCCAAAAAGAGTGAAGAAGCCACCCAAACAAAAACATAGAAACACAAATATAAAAAAGTGTGATATAGTGCATGCAATGCAAATATGCAATGGTTGAATTGAACCCCTTGACTTTGTCTTTAGTCCCCTTTCCCTTCACTTTCTCTGTTCCTTTACTTACTCCACCAAAAGCCCCCCATAACACACGCTCACAACCTTACCATGTCCAATGATCGAAGACCTTCCACAAGTCATGCCACACAAGACACTGATGCTGATCATGATCATGATCATGATCATGAACAACACATAAGAGAAATCCATGCCTTAACTCCACCACCACACAGAAGAGAACCACCCATTTGGGAAACACAAACACAACCAAATAGCCTTAGCCAGCACTCATCTTCTGTGTCCATAGCCAACACAGAAGCTGCTTCAACTGAGAACTTCACAAGCATGAGTAGAGAGTTCAGTGCTCTTGTTCTTGCAGGCTCAAGTATTGACCATAACAACACCAACACCACAAGTCCCTTGAACATGATGATGAATGAAGGAGGAGTTGATAGTAACAACAACAACAACAACTTGGGTAGGATTGGAGAAGATGAGTTGTTGATGATAGAAGAGACTAACCCTTTGGCTATTGTGCCAGATAGCAACCCTTTGGAGCCAGTTTCTTCTTCTCCAAGGCGTGGTGGAGGGCCTTCTTCTTCTTCTTCTTCAGCGATGGGCACTATTAGTGCTCAGAGTGAGGTCACAGTGCAGAGGGTGAGGAAGGAAGAGGTTGAGGCAAAGATAGGGGCTTGGCAGAACGCTAAGGTTGCTAAGATCAATAACAGGTTCAAAAGGGAAGATGCTGTTATCAATGGATGGGAGAATGAGCAGGTTCACAAAGCTACTTCTTGGATGAAGAAAGTTGAGGTATGTAATATGATTTGGTTTGATATTTGCATGTTAATGTTAGTTATTAAGTTGAATTTTGTTTACTTTTTTTTTTTATTTGGGAGGGGGGGGGGTGGTAACTGGTTTGTTCTTGTTTGTGCAATTAATGTTGTTAGTGGGTTAGTAATTATGATTAGTTTAACTCGTTTGAATTATATGGAGATGGTGGTGGTTGTTGATGATGATTACTATCAAGACTAGAAGTTGGTATAAAATTTGTTTTTTTCTGGGTTTTCTAAAAATTGGTTAATTTTTTATCTGAAATTAATGGTTGAATAAGGTTGACACGTTAGGCAGTAGGGTGTACCGTGATCATTGCTTCATTATTGTTATTTAGACTCTTGAATCATGGATTGATAAATTTTAACAAAAGGTGGGAATCATTTCCCTTGACGGTTTTAGAACAAGGGAAAGAAAAATGGTTCTGCACGTGAATTTATGAATACTTGAACGACTCTAGATTGATTGTCAGTTTTTATTTTCTTTTTCCCCCTTGCTTATTAATATTATTACCCTAAAGAAAAGAGTCAGTGGCAGCAGATATACCTTTGCATTTTGATGTGTGTGCGGTCTTAATTTGCAATCCAAGGAGTTGATCATACCTGCAAGCATTTTATGCATTTGTTTGATGAGCAAAAGTACAATTTTTTTGGTTAGTAGAGCATCGATTGAAGAATTAATAAATAGTAAGATTTTATTAAAAATCACGTTTGAGATTCAGTAACATTATAGAAGTGAGTGTATTTTTAAGTTTTTCAATAATTTTTTTTATTCCTGTGTGCATTTTATCATTTTCCAATATAATAACATGGTAATATATGAAGGGACTCATGTGGGATGCATCCATTGCCTTATCTTCAACACTACTTTTACAGTGACAACAAAAAGAGCTGAATATGTGCTAGCCGCCAGCAAATAGCAAGTCGTCTAATGATTTGATTTTCATGCTGCTTTCATTTTCAACATACATTATAATGCACTGACTGTCTTGGATAGTAAAACAGTACTTTGACTAACAAAGTACTCACATTCTAATTCCAATATTGTTCATCATTAACCAAAAGTTTCACTAATTGTGCAGAGGAAGCTGGAGGAGAAAAGGGCAAAAGCGCTGGAGAAAATGCAAAATGAGGTAGCAAAAGCTCATAGAAAAGCTGAGGAGAGAAGGGCATCAGCAGAGGCTAAAAGGGGAACTAAAGTTGCCAGGGTTCTTGAGATTGCCAACCTTATGAGAGCAGTTGGAAGAGCACCTACCAAAAGATCTTTCTTTTAAGCTGAATAATTAATATGTTATGTTTTCAAATCCCATTTGAACCACATTTGTAGACAAAATGACCAAAAAGAGAGAGACAGAAAAAGAGAAAAGATTATGGGCATAATAGAAGACATATAGTCTAATGAGAGCCCCTTTTCCTTTTAAAATTAACTTAAAGGGTTAAAGAGGGCTTGCAATGAGAGCAATATCATAAAGGAAATGAAGATATGGATGTATATATATTATATAGATACCAATTGGAGTGTTTCTGAGTGATTGATTAGTGTGTTAGAATTTATAGACATGATCATTTGGTTGGTTGTGCTGATTAAACGTTTTTTGGGTTTTGTACATTAATAATATATTGCTTATTCTAATTAGTTGGCTTCCACTACTTGCAAATGCATTGCCGACACGTAACTTTGTCCAACATTGATACAAATTTTCTCTACAATATTAGATTTTGGCTTTCCAAACTGGCCCTCCCATATATACCTAATCAGTAGTTAATTCTCAAATCCTATCACAGGAGAAACAAATGATTGTGTTTAGGAGAAAATATCTTGCACACCATGCTAACCATCCAATGAATGCAATCCTATACCACTAAAAGGTAGTAGAGTTGGCTGATGCATTTTCAAGTCTTGTTTTGACATGAAGACTGGCTACTTTCACCTGTAGCATGTAAAAAGCATATCCAATGACCATAAACTATGAAAATAGTAGTATATTAAACATTTGGAAGAATTTATCTGAAGCCTATTTTATGAATGGAATTTATGATCTTTTTATAATTTTTAATATTATTTTAATAAATTTTACAGTAAAGCATATCGGTTTCAAGATCAAATTTAAGAGAGAATTTTCGTATGATAAGCTTTTATTAGTATGCATTTATGGTCGAGTGGTATCACATGTCAATTCTCTCCAATGTAAATTTTTTTTGCTTTTCCATTTTCATGCTTGAGAACATGAATCATTACATAAAGTACTTAATTGGGTTGTTTATCCAACTGGATCATCTTACGTCCAACTTGTGAAGCAATTAGTAAACTAAGAAATAATTTATTAATCAGTGAAAAGATTAGACAAATGACAACTTAGAAGATGGGAGAAAGAGGGTAACTGAATAGTGATGCTCAACTTTTGCACGGAAATTGCGCATGATGTTCCTAGTATTTCGTCACCTTAAGAAACTAAAAAATTTTCACGCTTTCAATCTAAAAGCAAGAACTAAAGTTAAAAACAGTAGAAAATATATTTGTTCTGTAGTGTATTTTTGTATTTGGAGCGTGAGTCTCCAGTGGAAGGCAATTTTCACCAATACTGGTCTAGAAAAGGATTTGAGTATCAGCATGGAACATATTGTCAATAAAGCTAGATACAATGCCTAGTATGATAAATTCACTACCAGCCAAAAGGAAAAGAATCTTGGTTATGAAATATGATCAAGGCATCATTTCGATGTTTCAATACTTTCCTGTACTAGTGAACAATGAAATTCTCCAGTTTTTATGCTCTTGTATGCATGGTGGTGTCACTGACATTTCAATAGGTCAGGCTTTTTGTTGCAAATCGAAAATCAAATATTTTTCGTTTATCTTACATGGGCTTCACATATTTCTTCAACTATTCCCTTATTCTCATGATTACTTGTTTGTCATTGGAGTTTGAACCTAGGGCTGCACATTGATATATTCAGTGTAAAAATATGGTACACAGCATTCTAAAATAACTGCAGTAATATTTAAATCTACTTACTCCATCACATGCCAGAACTCTTCCGTTCATTTCATGGATTATAATGCATGAACTCTTTCAGGTCATGTTCTAAATTTCCCATAAAGATTACAAATGTAAATGATTTTGGTTCCCTTTCTATCCTAATGAAAACGAGCATAAAGACCAAAAATTGTTTCTATACCAGCTTCTAACTCAAAAGCTTCAGCCATTCACTGCACATTGAATATTACAAGCGGTACTCTTCAGATTTTCCGAACCTTCTACCGGTCAGAAGAGGTATACAGAATTACTATAGTGAAACTATCAGATAACTTTTATGGATGAGTGTTCTACTGTTAAATTCCCCTACACCCTTTAAGAATGTCGATGAATTGATGCTAATGAACAACAGCATCTCTAACAATATTATGTCACAGGGGATCTGAGAGCAGTTGGAGATTATTTCTGTTCTTGTAGCTCCAATATATTTCATCTTTTAACAGATCTAGATTTGCATAAATTTCTCTGCTTTGAGGGTGGTCTTTGTCACTTGCTATAAAATAGTGAACCTCGTTGTCTATCTCAATCCAGCTGGAACCGGTTTCTTTTCTTAACTTCAAGTCATTCATAGCTGTTCTCACCTTTGCAGCTTCTTCAAGCATGCCTCCTTCAGCATACATATTTGATACAAGTATATAAGAGGCGGCCTCATTGGGGGCTAAATTAAGCAATTTTCTGGAGGCCCACGTTCCAAGTTGTAAATCACCACACAGCTTACAGGCATTGACAAAAGTCCTCCAAAGCAAAGATGATTCAGGAAATGGGCTTTTGTTGATGATATCTATGGCTTTGGATAGATTTCCTGCTCGACCTAAAAGATCAATGATGCAAGAGAAGTGCTCAATCATCGGCCTGATCCCATACTTTGGTTCCATATCATCGAATAAGCACAACCCAATTTCCCATAAACCTGAGTAACTACATGCCTGGAGAACAGCCAACATTGTAATTTCATCCGGAGCAAAACCCTGTTCCTTCATGTCCTCAAAGAGCAAAAGTGCCTTGTCTCCTTCACCATGAAGGGCATATGCAGAAATTATGGCATTCCAGGTAACACAATCACGGTTCATGCCACTAAATATTTGATAGGCTTCCTGAACACTGCCACATCTAGCATACATAGTAATTACAGCATTGCCTACAGCAGTATCATCTTCAAGTCCCACTTTTATAGTGTAAGCATGAACACTCTCCCCAGCTACTAAGCATGCTTGATTAGCGGATAAACTAAGGAGCCGTGAAAATGTGACCAAGTCTGGCCTCACACCATTGGATCTTAGTTTGCTGAATAAAATCATAGGGACTACTTCATCATCCGTTATTTTTGAATTTAAATATCCAACTAGAATAGCATTAAATGTAGCAATAGTTTTATTTGGGAGCCCATCAAAAACTGCTCTTGCAGACTGCAAATTTCCGCATTTAGCATACAAATCTACCAAAGCAGTACCACTATTTACTTCGGAGACATGACCAAGCTTTATTGTAAGTCCATGAATTTGAAGCCCAAATTTCAAATTATTGCACTCTGAACACCCATTAAGTACAGTGCTGAAGCAACCAGAATCAAGAGGCATACCAATCTGAAGCATATTTAAGAAAACTTCAAGGGCGCTAATAGGATGGCCATTCTTAACAAATACCGATAGAAGTGCAGACCAGGAAATCAAAGACCTCTCATCCAGTTCAATAAAAACTCTCTCAGCCTCTTTGACCATCCCATGTTGCCCATACATTGTAATTATTGCATTTCCAAGAGACGTTTCACATACAAAACCATACTTCACTGCAAGCCCATGTAGCTGCTTCCCTACATAAAGTCCTACACTTGAATCACATGCACTGATCAAATTTGTAAACGTATAATAACTTGGTTTCAATCCAGACTGTAGCATATCAACAAAAATCTGAATCGCTTTATCCCCCAAGCCTGCCTTTCCATATTCCAAAATCATATAATTTATGCACTGAGCATCTTTAACAGTTGTACCCCTGAACACTTTTTCTGCATGACCCAATTGGCCACCTCTAGAGTACATAGATACCAATGAAGTAGCCACAACAACGTTCTCCTGAAGCCCATTTTTTACAACAAAAGCATGAACCTGCTCGCCGAAAACACAATCTTCCGGGGATTGACATGCCTGAAGCACCACCGAACAAGTATGCTCATTGAACTTCTCTCCAAGCACACACATATCACGTGCAATATGGAAAACAGATTCAATTTCACCATTCTTCAAATACCCCTTCATGAGTGTAGTCCATGTAACTACGCTCCTCACAAGCATTTCATCAAATATCTTCTGTGCATCACCCATTTTATTGAATTTTGTGTAAAGGTTGACAAGATTGTTATCCACAAACAGGTCACCTTCACAACCATATTTTATTAGAGACCCATGAATTGCCTGAGCCAGTATGTAATCCTGTGACCCAATTGAGAATTGAAGGAGCTGAGGCCAGTCATGAAGAAGAACAATGTTTTGACCACAGGTTGAAACAGAAGAAAGTTCAGAACTTTGGGGTGTGTCAAGTTTGAGCCTTTGTTTGGGTTTATGAAAATTGGGGTGGAAGCCATTATGGAGGGTTTTTACTTTGTGGGGTGGAAGGGTGTGGAAAGGGTATGCAGAAGAAAGAATAGGGGTTGTAACAAGTGTTTGGAACAATGCTTCAACCATTGGGAATGGTTGAAGCTGACAGAGTCAGTTAAATGCTAATGCTTGCTTATGGTACAAAACAGGATATGCAATAGTTTAGAATCAGTCATCAACCACAGGGCAGGGCTGAGCAACTGAATCATCATCAAGGACAAGGAACTATCGGTTACAGTAAAATCTTTAATTTTGATCCTCACAGTCGGCAATATATCAAAACATATGTCCCACAAATTATAAAATAGATAAATGTTTAGTATATAAGTAGAATCTAAACATAAAGAGAATAAAACTGTAAGGACCCAAAGCAAATGATAAAAATTAATATATTAATTTATTATTAATATAATTCAAACTACATTATAAACTTCATTCACTAAAAATTTAACAATAAATACATTTTTTGTTACTTCTTTTATTATTTTAATTTTAATTACAAATATCTTCTTAAAACCACACTATTGCTAGAGTAAAAAATATTTACAATATAATAAGATTAACTCTCCCTCAAGCAACTATTTATCTTATTTATATGTAAAATAAATATAGTAAATCAATACGCGAAATAAAAAATAAAAAGTAAAATAATTATCATCTATTTAGTTAATTTAACAATAAATATACTTTAATTTCTTATTTTACACACTTTATTTAAAAAGGAAAATAAAAATATAATTTTACCAAAAATTAAACCATGAGATTAATATAACGGATAAAATATGATGAAAAATATTTTAAATATTATTACAATAGAAACATAGAAATATTTAACTATGTCTCCTGTATATTTTTAAGATATGTATAATAATATATCATGAATATCATTTTTCTAACAGGGGCAGAAATCCTTAAGGGTGGGAGGAAACGTTGGTTGGATGATGTGGAGAACAACACGCCACAGAGGTAACGAGAGCGAAACCTTAAAGCCTATTTCCCACACAGTACTCATAATCCATTCCTGCGCCACTAAAAGCTCTACCATTTCAACCATCGACACTTACGATAACAAAACCAGTTAACAACCTCAAACTCCTCGCTCTCTTTTTCTTCTCTTTGTAACTAACTGTAACACACACACACACACACAGAGTGAGAGTGAGGGAGTAATGGAGAAGATGACACTCACCATTAACGCTTCTCTCTTCTCCACAAATACCATTCTTCCAAAAACTTCTCTTCAACCCTTCTTCTCTAATCAACTACTTGGCCTTCCCTTATCTTCTTCTTTAGCCGCCACCAAACCTCGCCTTCAATTTTTCTCTTACCGTAACAACACTACTTGCAGGCCCATTAAGTGTTCTGTTTCTCAAGCCACAGACCCTAAAACTGGTAATTCACACTCTCTTCTTTGTCTTTTTTCATATTTTAGGGCTCTCTAATTAGAAGATTTTTTATTATTATTTTTCAAGATTGATTTTTTTTGTTCGGAGTTCATTTATTTTGACTACAATGTTTGTCATTTTCGCCTTAGAGAAGAAGAGGCAATTGCTGAGGAGAGGGGACGTGAGAAACATAGCAATTGTTGCTCACGTTGACCATGGAAAAACTACTCTTGTAGATGCCATGCTGAAACAAACTAAGGTATTAATTAATTACATGAATATCTATGTTGCACGGGTTTATATATATATATTTAAGTGATTTATTTCTTATGATTATTGTGAATGTGAAGGAAAAACTGTTTTTTTAAGGACTTGATAACACCTGTTCGAACGGTTTAGCCATAGTTTTCATAGCAAAGACAATTTGTTTGTTCTTGTGGAAAAGAATGAGGAGTGGATAATGTTGATATGATATGCGTCTGTTGAATTTTGTGCAGGTATTTCGTGATAATCAGTTTGTGCAGGAAAGGATAATGGACTCGAATGATTTGGAGCGTGAAAGAGGAATCACAATACTGAGTAAAAATACATCTGTTACTTATAAAGACACAAAGATTAATATAATAGATACCCCTGGTCACTCAGATTTTGGGGGTGAAGTAGAGCGCATCTTAAATATGGTGGAAGGAATCCTTCTAGTGGTACTCCTACTCTTTTCCCATTTCCTTGATGATCATTATGCATATTTTGGCACTATTATTGACTATGATGATAGATATTGATAAATATTAACTTGTAGCTGCTTGTTTACGTTTCTTAGCAAAGAAATTTATGTTTCTATTGATGCAATCCGCCTGCACTTTGGCACATAATTTTGGGTAGTTTTGACTTGGGGAAGGGGTGGGGGTGGTAGTTAGTGGCTTCAACACTTCTCAACACAGGTCTCTGTTTTTTTATACAAATTAGTTCCAAGTGCAAGAACATACAGGCTTTAAAGAAACTGCTACATTTGAAGAAGAATCTCATCTATTTTGCTTTCTATATGATTAGTTTTATGCTTTCCTTTCATGTCTTGATGCCTAACAAATTGTCAATAATGGTTTTGAATTTACAAGAAATTATAAAATTATAAATTTCTCACCATTTTATTCTTATCTACTCTGACTGTAGTCACTGTACAAATATATCCTTATTCTTTGGGGGATATTTAATTTTTAACAAATGATTTGTTTTCCTCTGTTAGGAAAAAGTGTTATACTTTCTCTATAACATAAATTGTCAAGCTTCTCTTTGTTTCCGTAGGTAGATTCTGTTGAAGGGCCAATGCCACAGACAAGATTTGTCTTAAAGAAGGCTTTAGAGTTTGGCCATTCAGTTGTCGTGGTTGTGAATAAAATAGATAGGCCTTCTGCTCGCCCAGATTATGTTGTCAACTCTACTTTTGAGCTCTTCATTGAACTAAATGCAACAGATGAACAGGTATGCTGGAAATCATATAACTTAAATAGCTCTATTTTCTGTGTCGTTTACAAATTGGGTTGGAGTTTGGAAATTTGTCAGTGGTCAAAGGTCTATTGTGATTTCTTAATTTCCAATGGTTTGTGGGAAAGTTATAAAATCCTTTAGATTTGAAAGCTGTCTGGGGGTAAATTCAAACATATCATTGGTGTTTAAAGGATTGGAATTGTTTCAGTATTATGAAAGATAAAATCTGTAAGCATCATAGCTTTGTAATGTTTTTCCTGCTTGCAGTGTGACTTTCAAGTAATATATGCAAGTGGTATAAAAGGGCAAGCAGGGTTGTCTCCTGAAAATCTGGCAGAAGACCTTGGACCGTTGTTTGAATCCATCACTAGATGCATCCCTGGACCACGTATTGACAAAGATGGTGCACTTCAAATGCTTGTTAGTAGCTGTTAATTCCATTGCTTCTTGGTCTTTTTTATTTAATTTTCTATTGATTTGACTTTTCCAATGTTTAGCATTTTTTTTTTCCAATTAATTTACCCCCTCATGGCCATTTATGAACTTTGTAGGATCTACTTTGCAGTCCATTATTATTTGAAACAGAGCCTAAAAAATTTCAAAATACTAGATAAATCTTAATTTTAAATGTAATAGTGACCTAATTTATGTGAAGCAGATTCGTAAATGCGTGTACAAGATTTAATTGGTAATCTTACCACATATTCTTATTTGTTAACTAGGTTACAAATATTGAGTATGATGAACATAAAGGGCGTATAGCAATTGGGCGCTTGCAAGCTGGGGTTTTAGAAAAAGGCATGGATGTACGGGTGAGTGTTCCTTTTCCTTTATTTTTTTTCTTCAATTTGTGAATTCCTCCATGCTAACATTTTACCTTTTTGTTACATACATTGAGTTGATATTACCAGGTAATGAATATCTGTGCATGATGAGTGAAGTTCATTAAGAACAGTTACATTTTTAGTCTCAAACTCACTTTTCTCTAGCTCAATATTCTGGTGTGTGATTTATTTTAAATTTTTGGGAGAGATGGAGTAGAGATTATTGAGGACTTTCAATTTTTCATAATTATTTTGTTTAAAGTCCAATGTGGGAAATAGACAACTTTTTTCTGCTTACCACTTATTGGTTGATGTTGTCCAGGTATGTACATCAGAAGATTCGTGTAGATTTGGAAGAATTAGTGAGCTTTATGTGTATAATAAATTCAGTAGGGTACCTGCAGATAGTGTGGAGGCTGGTGATATATGTGCAGTATGTGGAATTACTGATATTCAGGTAAAGATTGAAAATGCATAATCTTGTCATACTGTAACCTTATTAACCTTAAAATTCTGTACTCAGATTGGGGAGACAATTGCTGATAAAGTTTCTGGTAAGCCACTTCCTTCCATCAAGGTTGAAGAACCTACAGTGAAGATGTCATTCTCCATAAACACTTCACCTTTTGTTGGCCGTGAGGTATGTCTATAGATTAATTCCTTATGGCCATAGAAAAAGATCTCTATTATCTCTTACTATGTGGATGTCCTGATGCTGTCTGTTGGCACCGCAATTGCTAGTAGGTTTAGCTTTCTTGGTAATATTGTAAGTTGTGCTTTCACAGCTAGATATGAGACCAGCTGAAACTCATTTGTAACTTTTCAGGGAAAGTATGTTACTAGTAGGAATTTAAGGGACAGGCTTGATCGTGAACTTGAGCGAAATCTGGCTATGAGAGTTGAAGATGGTGAAACAGCAGATACATTCATTGTCAGTGGGCGTGGAACCTTGCACATCACCATACTCATAGAAAATATGTAAGTATTAAAAATATTCCGTTCCTCATTAATTGTTCTTCAAGGTTTTTGAATAATATTGCATGTGCAGGCGAAGAGAAGGATACGAATTCATGGTTGGGCCTCCCAAAGTTATCAACAAGAAAGTGAATGAAGAATTGTTGGAACCTTATGAGGTAACTTCTCAATCATTTGTTTAATTGTATTTAAAAAAGAAAAAGATGATATACATACACATGACTTAAAAGGTGATATTTGACAGACATTGAAATCTAGTTATTTCCTGTAGAATTGACATGCTTATGGGAGGAAAAAAAACTTGCTTTATTTTCGTGATTAATTGCTTTGTCTCTTACCATGTCTGTTACACGAAGGTTGGTCTGAAATTATAAAATATAAATAAATATTTCTACTCTAATATATTCTGTAATTAATTGAGTGCACCGAAGTCCCATGATATGTTGTTACTTGTTAGTGTAGTGAAGGGTCCTAGACATCTGTGCTGGCATTTTACTGTACATTTATTCCAATATTTACTTTCCTGAAAAGTTAGTTTTACATGGACAATCAACGCAATGGCTATGCAAATAAATTAAGATGATGTATTATAAGTCTATATTCATACTGGAACTGTTTTCTTCTTCCTTACAAAATATCAGAACTGCTAGTTAAAGCTTTCTGCTGTTTGAAAGTTAATTAAGAGGTGCCTAGTTTTTTGCCTAACAGTTTAAGTTTCTTCACTCATTTCTTACATATTTTAATAAGTAAAATTGTTGCAGATTGCAACTGTGGAGGTGCCAGAAGAACACATGGGAGCTGTTGTTGAACTGCTTGGTAAAAGACGAGGGCAAATGTTTGATATGCAAGGAGCTGGGTATGTAAATTGCTTTCCTTTTGAGTGCATCATCATCATAGTTTATTTCTTAATCTTGGTTTCCTTTGAAATATCTTTAGTTCAAACTATTATTTTTGCTTATAATATCTTATGTGATTTTCTATTTTTCAGTTCTGCATTGTATCTTGATTTACCTGTATCCTAACTATTTAAGGAATGTTGGATCCCCATGTCGTACCTATATTATATCCAATACACATGTTCGTCTGTGTGTGTCATATTGCAGATAATCTAATCTGTTCATTTTATAATATCTTTATCCACTAGATTAAAATAGCATTTGATTTGATAATTTCAACATTCACTTCTCTGTTAGATCGGAGGGAACTACACTACTCAAATATAAAATCCCAACTCGTGGCCTTCTTGGATTGCGGAATGCAATTTTAACTGCTTCCCGAGGGACAGCTATTCTCAATACTGTCTTTGATAGCTATGGGCCTTGGGCTGGTGACATTAGTACTCGGGATCAAGGCTCACTGGTAATCTCTGAAATGCTGTTCACAGTGCAAACTTATAAAAATTAGTTTTGATAAGAGATAATAAAACTTATTATTTGTAGCATGGTACTCCACAATGCCAATGTTTCCTTCATTCATTAATGATACAGTTATGCAATTCCAGGTTGCTTTTGAGGATGGAACAAGCACTTCTTATGCAATCTCTAGTTCACAAGAGAGGGGACAGATGTTTATTGGTCCTGGAGTGGAAGTTTATAAAGGTCAAATTGTTGGCATCCATCAGAGACCCGGGGACTTGGCCTTGAATGTTTGCAAGAAAAAAGCTGCGACCAACATACGTTCCAACAAGGAACAGACAGGTTAGAAGCAGCTCCACTGCAATTACCATATGTTACATGAAATATACATATTCAAATAAGGTGGTTGATGCAATATTTTAGTTCCTTAGAGCAGGATTTCCTGACTTCAGATGATTTGCTCTTAATCAATTTTAATTTTTGATGTCGTCTTTTTATACAATTGAAGGAATAATGCTACTTTAGTAATCATTAGTTTATCTTAAGCTATTTTTCTTCTATTCTTGAGCTCCTTTTAGATTGACCTTGCAAAGAATTCTGATGCGACTTCAAGAGCAACATACCCCAATCTGATGTGTTACTTTTTGTTCTTTTTGGCAATACTGTTTCTTTCTTATATAGGTCTTGCAAATTATTAGCTCGAAATAAGAAAAGGAAAAGTTCTTGCAAACTATTCTTTTATCATCTGTTAGTCGACAGCCCTCGAATTCGGTAATACATTTTTAGGTCCAAAACATAATTGCTGTTATGGGATGGAATTGTACAAAGCTGTTGAATGGGCATTTCAGAGTGTAATTATGATATGAATCCTTGATTGACAAGTGACAGCATTATTATGTAATCCTGAACTGTGGTTATATATTTTACAAATCTAATACTTATTATCAGTGTGCAACTTCTCATTCACTCATTTAACTGCTAATAGTCAATAAAATTTGAATTTACTTTACTCTCTTGTGCAGTGATTCTTGATACACCACTGGACTACAGCTTGGATGACTGCATTGAATACATCCAAGAAGATGAACTTGTGGAGGTCACCCCTCAAAGTATCCGAATGTGCAAAAATCCAAAGCTTGCAAATACAAAGAAAACAAGGTAGACTTCCACTGTGAAGCAGTAACTTGCAAATGTTTTTTGAGGTATCACTGCTGAAGCTGCATAACTCATTAATGCTGTTGCTGCTAAAGTGGTGAAGAGGCAAGCAAATCTCTACCATTGATGTGTTTTCACATATATTTTTCCAAAGCTGAAGAATAATATAGGAGCTGGCTAAAAGCCATATTCATTATAGCTATTGTTTACAGTTGATTTACAGGGATGAAATTACACTGAATTTTGTTTACTTGTTTTGTAAAGTCTATATATGTTGGCAGCAAGGAACATTTATTTGGCAAATAGCAATAGAGCACAAAGAGAGAAAAAAAAAGGGGGCGGGGGTTCAATTTCCATGGAGATTTCTAATGTAGTCTCTGATTTTTAAATACCTTACCAACCGCCACATATGGCTATGCAGCTTTAAGTGTCTGAATACATTGGCTGTTATCCTATTTCCATTGAGTATGTGAAGGTGCGTTTGGGAGTTGGTTTGCTTGAAGTGAAGGAGGACATGATAACTATTTTTTATTTAAATTAAGAGAGTTATATAATATTTAAAAAATATATAAAAAGGTTAATTTATTAAGTTTATGCTAATTTATTATTTTATTTTTGAAATTTGGTAAACCCAAAATATTTAAAAATGAAAAAATTGTCCTTCAATCTCTTTCAAAACTTTTCATAAACATACTTTGAATGGTGGAAAACTTTCCTCATTATGAATGTGATGAAAATTGTTTTGGATCATACTGGAAAAGCCTTTTTCTGCAAGCATCCTGAATCAAAATTTATTGTAGTACACATTCATGTAATTGAGAAATCAGTAAGTTGTTATTACGCTTTATGTAGTTTCAATTGCTCTATTATTTTTCTTATCAAGCACCAAATCTAACATGGAAGCGGTTGATTGGAGATAATCAATTAGGACGAGCAAGGCTTGAATAATTTTTGTTTGGTAATTTTATAAGATATTTTTTAAAATAAAGAATTAAATATTTGTTTCAACTAAAAAAATTCTTATGAATTAAAATTTAATTAAAACTAAATCCTTCTCAGTTTAGAAGTTGTACAATAGAAGGCAATTCAAAGGTCTTAAATCTCTAGTGCAAGCCTTCATTGAAGCTTGTTGATTTTATAACAATATTTTATTTTCCAATCTTCTCCGAAAGGAAATGAATAATAAAAAAAAATTAATAGTTCACTTTTTATTTTATTTTTAATACATTCTTAATGCATAAATTTTAATTAAAAAAATATTTAAAATACTTGTTAGCAAGATAAAAAGAAAAAAGGAATTGGATAAACAATGCAATTTTATCCTTGTTTTTACCAGATAAACAAATTCCCAGTTCTGATCGTTGTAGGGTTAAATTAAATTTACTTGAATAACTGTCTTATAAGTTTAATATCAACGAAAATTACACAGCAGAAAGAAAAAGCATTCAATAATAAAAAGCTTTCTGATATCTACAAAAGCAGTTTATCTTACGACAATTCTTGTATAATCATGATTTTTGTTAGTTTTATCTCAGCCATTTTTGTATAATTATTGTTTTTGTTGGTTTATAAAAGTAACGAAATTTTTAATGTATATTTAGGTTGCTCTAAGGAGTTAGTGATTAGTACATATTGAAGTTTTAATCATAAGATATATTAATATACAAATTCTATTTAGTCTAACTTCAGGTTTAGAAATTGCAAGGAGAGATATCAGATATGTTATGTAAACTTAGGGATGCAACGAAAGCATACAACTCCTATTCTCCAAAAGTGAAAGAACCACTCTTATTTTGTTCTTCAATGACTTGTAGCACCAACATTTTTTATTCTGATCTCACTAAATTACCATTACTTCAATACATTGATTATAAGAATTTAAATATATAATCAAAGTATCAAAGTTCATCTAAATTATTTGCCTGTTTCTATCATTATCTTATGTAAAAACTTTATCTCTGATTGTTAGTCCCGTGAAAGGAGATCAGATTTGCCAAAAATAGAAAAGAGGAAAAGACCATTACAATTAGATATCTAAAAATCGGAAATTTGATACTCTGGCGTGAATAGGACAGAATTGGAAAACCAACTCATTGTGTTGATGGGTTTTCTTCTGTGTTGCCATTTCTAGGAAGAGAAAATCTCATTAAAGAGAGAGAGGGTTAAAGAAGAAGAAGAAGAAGAAGAAGGAGAGACCAAACCCAAGTGTATCAACATTAACCATCTCCTTCCTCCTTCTTCCCCTTCCCCTCTCTCCCCAAAACCCTCTCTTAAATTGCTTTTATTAAATATTTAAAATTCTTACAAACAATCACAGCCATTTTTATTTATGGGAAACTGTTGCACAACCCCATCAGGAATAAACAAGAAGGGGAAGAAGCAGAAGCAGAAGCAGAATGGGATAGGGAAGAAGTTGGTGGTGCTGCAGAAGCCAACGGGCCATGACATTGGGCTTCGCTATGAGTTGGGCCAAGAATTGGGTCGAGGGGAATTTGGAATAACGTATCTATGCATGGACAGAGAAACGAAGGAGGAGATGGCATGCAAGTCGATTTTGAAAAAGAAGCTCAGAACAGCCATTGATATTGAAGATGTGAGGAGAGAGGTGGAGATCATGAAACACTTACCCAAACACCCCAACATCGTCTCGTTGAAGGACACTTACGAAGACGACAATGCCGTTCACCTCGTCATGGAACTTTGTGAGGGTGGCGAGCTTTTCGACCGCATCGTCGCGCGTGGCCACTACACGGAACGCGCTGCCGCTGTCGTCACCAAAACCATCGTCGAAGTTGTGCAGGTAACGGCCTAAATTAATTTATAAAATTACCAGCTAGTTTATTTATTTATTAGAATTATAAAAGTACCGGTCATTCTAATCCCTATTTTTTATAATTTCAAAAATTAAAATTATTACAATTGGTAATTTCTAGGATTAAAATGACCCTTCTTAATTTTACCTGCTAAATTGACTGTTCATAATTTTAAGGTTTAGTGTAGGATATTATTTTTTTTTATGTACTCCCTTTCATAAATTAGACTCATTTTTGCAAGGATAATTAAATTACACTTTTGTCGTTCACTTTAATTCCATGTTACTATGTATCGTACACATTTTCATATATACTATGTGCTATATTGAAATGAAGCACAATGTTCCTCCTTTTATTCATTATAAATTTGATATTTAGTCATGATTGTATTTTGTTGTGGTTTAGAATTGCCACAAACATGGTGTGATGCATCGGGATCTCAAACCTGAGAACTTTTTATTTGGAAACAAGAAGGAAACAGCACCTTTGAAAGCTATTGACTTTGGATTGTCAGTTTTCTTTAAACAAGGTAATGTTTTTGGCTAGTAATTGAAACACTGTTGTTGTTTGATCCTATCATTTTGTTGCTGCCTTGATACCATCCATTTACAATTACCTTAAGTTTGCCATTTTCTACAGGTGAAAAATTTGATGAAATAGTTGGAAGTCCATATTACATGGCTCCTGAGGTATTAAAGCGTAATTATGGCCCTGAAGTAGATATTTGGAGTGCAGGAGTAATTCTTTACATCTTACTTTGTGGTGTTCCGCCATTTTGGGCAGGTTAGTTTTGTATTCTGAATGATATTTGTAGCTTATGTGAGTTTGAGATCTTAAGTAGCTTAGAATCCACTTTTAGGTCACTGGCATTCATCCTATGCTACTAATAGCAAATATTTATTATAATAGATTAGTAATAAAAAATGTTGTTGTTGGAAGAGAAATAATACGTGTTTTTGAATTTCAATTTAGAAAAAAAAAGAGTGGTATGCTTTTTAATAAATGAATCTTATTTCTAGTGAATACGATGACCTGAATTGTGACTATAAGAACAATGTCTTGGTTACACTTTAGTGATCTTGAACTAATTAGTATGATCTATATTCTCAGTATGAGGTGTTGTGACAATTAATTGTGTTATTATTGATACTGGACAAATTAACATGTTTATCCAATGGATTGACAGATCATTAAAAAATTTGAACAATATCTTCTTTCAATATGTTTATGGAGAAATATTTTACCATGATCTTTTTTGCATGAACAGATATAATTTGGTGCTTGTGTGAGATTTTCATGCATTGTATGTTTAATATAAGATACAGGATTAATATTTTGAATGATGTTTTGTTTATTTTCCATTGCATTTGTGCAATTTCTATTGGATCATTATTTCTTGTTTTCATCTATGTGGTATATTTGATTTTCTAAATCCTGTCTTAAAATGTAGAAACTGAACAGGGAGTTGCTCAAGCAATTATACGATCGGTTGTTGATTTTAAAAGGGAGCCATGGTCAAAGGTTTCTGATAATGCAAAGGACCTTGTGAAGAAGATGCTTGATCCTGACCCACAGAGCCGGCTGACTGCACAACAAGTGTTAGGTATATGTGTGTGTGCATGTGTTTGTGCAGTTCATATACAATGCTTAGGGAGATGAAGTGTAGATTTTTGTGCAATATTATGCTTAGAGGATGAGCAATTTTTTTTTTTTTAAATTTCAAAACTGAAATGTGAGGATGGTAATATTGCTTGTTCTAATGCAGATCATCCATGGCTACAAAATGCAAACAAAGCTCCTAATATTTCATTGGGAGAAGCTGTTAGAGCAAGGCTCATGCAATTTTCTGTGATGAACAAACTCAAGAAAAGAGCTTTGAGGGTAATGTTCTCAACAATAATTGAATATCACATGGGGAAAAATCTCCAAAATGTTTATTGATATATGGTCCTTTTAATTTATTAGTTATTGATTTTGTTCTGTTGACTTTCATGTGAATAGGTGATTGCAGAGCATTTGTCAGTAGAAGAAGTTGCTGGAATAAAAGAGGGATTTGAGCTGATGGACACAAGCAATAAAGGCAAGATTAACATTGATGAGCTACGAGTAGGGTTGCAGAAGCTAGGCCACAATATTCCTGATGGAGATGTCCAAATACTTATGGAAGCTGTGAGTATTTCACTTTATTATGAATCTTGTGTTTGTTCCATAGTTGACTGGTTAAGAAATAAGTAGTTTGTCAAATTTGATGTCTCTTGTTTTGGAAGATTATTTTGTTTAGAGCTTCAAGAGTATTTTCATTACACTATATCAAACTAATTGCAAACATGGGTTATTTTACTAGGTATGATATATTAGTTTATCTATGCCAACACAAACATGTTCTATAAGTAGGTATGCTTGAGCTAAATTGTCAGAAGCAGTCATTCTTAATACTCTTGATGATATTTCCTACTTTACTTTTATAGAAGTATTATTTGAGTGTACTGTTATGTTAATTATTGCTTTATATACATACCTTTGGAAGATTGACACTTCAACTTTTAATCTTTTGGGACTGCTTTTCAGGGTGATGTAGACAAAGATGGGTATCTAGATTATGGAGAGTTTCTAGCCATTTGTATTCATTTGAGAAAGAAAGACAATGAGGAGCACCTTCACAAAGCATTCCAATTTTTTGATCAGAACCAAAGTGGATATATTGAAATTGAGGAGTTACATAATGCCTTAGCTGATGAGGTTGAAACAAACAATGAAGAAGTTATCAATGCAATTATGCATGATGTGGACACTGATAAGGTTAGTATAACTTTTTTTATTCAATCTTAATTTTTTTGGGGTTAAAAGTTTTAAGGAAATTCTGTCGTCTTGTTTTTTTTTTTTTTTTTCATTTTAATGTCCATATTAAACTCTTTTTATTCAATCATATTGCAATTTTAATGTCAAATTGTGCCTTTGCTTGACGATATTAGATTCAAGTTGAAACAAGTTGCCTATGATAAACACAAAATAGTTAGATTTTACTTCCCCTTTGGTATGCATTATAAGATTCTTAAGGATTATTATTTTTTATTTGATAACTTATCCCTTCTCTGTAGTTTAAATTTAACTTTCAAATTAGGGAAAATTCATTCCTTGCCTTTTTTCAATTTTTCCAATTTCTATTTGGGCCCTTTTAGTGTTTCTATGAAACTATAAGATGAATCTATATGAATGTCTATAATGTTCTTAATCTAGACTGATTCTTAAAATTTTGCTTGTAAATCTCGTCTTATTTGGAACGACCCTTTGATCTTTAACTTCATGATATTGCAGGATGGAAGAATAAGTTATGAGGAATTTGCTGCAATGATGAAGGCTGGCACAGATTGGAGAAAAGCATCAAGGCAGTATTCACGAGAGAGGTTTACTAGTCTAAGTCAAAAATTGATGAAGGACGGCTCATTGCAATTAAACAATGACAAACAATGACAATGACAAGATTTACACATGGAAATGCAAAAAAGATGTCATCCTTTTATTCTTTTTCTTTCATTGTGATTCTTTTCTCTATTTTTTCTCTTATATCCTTTCAAGAAATCCTCATAATTTTGGGGTGAAGTGGGATATAGGTTTGAGCAGTAATGTTTATGGTTTGCGGTGTATGTTATTTTTTGTGGTTCTTTTGGTTTGTTGACAGCATCATTGGAGAAAGGAAAGGATGGGAAAATTGGATGAGTCTTCAAATTGTGACTATTAATATTTTCGTATAGTCACATGTTCGTGTGCAAATGTACCTGTTAAACAATAATAAAAATGATTCTTAAATTGAGTTTCCAAAATATTGATTCACATAAATTGTTTTTAATTATCAAGATTATTATGATTTAATTGTCTAAACTTAAATAGTACATAATAAAAATAAATCAAAAGTAAAGAAAAACAATGTAGTTTCTAGCACATTTGCAATGTTGTTTTCTCTTCACCATATCATTCTTTTCGATCCATCAAAAATCACCCTATCAGACTTCATATATTGTTAATGGCCTCTCCATTACTAACCACACTTGTATTGCACCTTTACACTTAGCTCTAACATGCAATGAGTAATGAATATGTTTAGTAAAATAATCACTAAATCTGACTAACACATATTCTTTACTTTACTAGAATCTTCTTGTTCTTGTGACATATTTTCTTTTCTCTTTCTTTTTATTTCATTCTTGAAATCACTTGACTTGATCATTTTTACAATGTTTGGAACTCAAGAAGGATATGTTAGAGAGAATAAATTAGAGTATCTTCTTCTTGTAATGTATTTTCTTCTCTCTTTCTTTTTATCTCATTCTTGAGATCACTTAACTTGATCATTTTTACAATGTTTTGAGACTCAAGAAGGATATGTTAGAGAGAATATTTTACTATATTAAAGTGTTATTAAAATTCTTTATAAATCTTATTAATTCAACGTATTCAATCATTATTCTCTTGTTTTGAGAATATTATATCGGCATGTATCAAAACAAATACAACAGTAATTATAATTTATCAATTTTGATAAAAATAAAAAGTATGAATAAAATAAGTTGGAAATTGACCTCAATCATCAAGTTAGGTTGATTGTTGCTAGCACACAAACAGATAAATCCTAAAAAATATTATATTGTGAACACAATAACATAATAAATTCACATTAATAACATAATAAGTAATTATTACATAAGACTCACAACCAATGCATGTTGTTGAGTTCCACTCAATTTAGCTAAAAAAAATTACTAACTGAATGATTGTAAAGTATGCTTATGATTGTATTAAGTGTTAATCGTATCTCTTTAGAACTAAGTATCAAAATTATTAATCATGCAAATTTAAAAGGAAACAAAAATCATTGAGAAAAGAATTCACAATTTGAGCCAAAGTGTAACCGTAAATCTAAATGTCTTTCAATTTTCAAATTAATTAACATTTCACATAATCCCCAACCATAGAAAAAAGTGAGACTTATAATATGATTCTGTAAATTCAATAAGAAAAAATAATAATTTAAATTGAAAAAAGTTATTAGAATTCTTAAATAATTTTTTATGAACTAATTCATAATTTAGATGAGGTGCATAACTAAGCTTAATAATTAATTTAAGTTATTCATTTATTTAGGTTAAAATATCTATAATTGATGGATGTGGATTAAAGTGTGGTTCTTAATCCAAAAACTCATTATGGGAGAGAACTAAGATTAGTACTTTATATATTTAGTTAAATTCCTACGTAATCATTAACAATTATGCAATTATATGAGTTGTCACAATATTTATACACTGAATATAATAACTTGAACTTGTTTAATAAGTAAATCTAAAACTTTATTGTTAATATTTCTAATTATCTTTAGTGTTTTAAATTCATATAAATTCATGTGAATACTTTCTTACTTACATCTAGTATCATTTATGCGAGAAATATACTAGCTTCTAATTACAAAAGTGTTAATCTTGTTTATGCTTTATGTGGGGAATATACTAGCCTCACTTTCTTATAGTTTATTTTCTTCTTGAATTATATTTTGTCACGTGATATATTTTGATACATTCGTATTTTATCCTAACAATCAATTATTAATTTTTAATAAACAATTGTTTTACATCCATTGAGTTATTGAAAAAATGCATTGGGTTGAGAAATGGAGACAACTTCCTAAGTTCAGTTTATGCTTATAAATTAACTTAAGAGGTATTTACTTGGGTAATAACCTTAATTTGTACATTCTGGCCAATCACTTTAATAGTTTGCTTTCTTCCTTCTTTATATATTATTCTGTGATATGCATTTATGCTTTATCTTAACAACTTTTTTTATGAACAATTTTTTTTTTGTCCATTATGATTCTAAATGGATAAACAATGACAATAAATAATGACAAATGGAAGAAAGATCTATAATTCTCTTAAAAATTACTTATTTTGATTTAGTTTTACTTAAAAATAGGTTTGCAACAAAAGTAAAGTACACACTAAAAAAAAAGTTAGAATTTTTTATTATAAAATAATACATAGATAGTAATTTAGTTCAATATTGTTAGACAAAGTAATAATTAAAAATGAATTAATTTTTATATTTTTTAATATTTTTATTAATAATTTGATTGGTTATGAATTCTTTTTAGTTCAATTTTGTATTTATAACCACTCCTAATAAAATTTATAAGTTATCTCTGTTGAATAATGACAAATGTTAACCTGTGTCTTCAAGAATATTCGTTAAGAAACTAAAAATAATATATATATATATATATATATATATATATTTACACATTATCGAATATGTAAATTAACCATTAAAGATTATTTTAGCTTAACTTGATCTCAATTTTAATATCTCAATAAACGTAATTATGTTAAATACTAAAAAATTCTTTTGGATACCAAATAATTTTTTACTGAATAAAATCGCAAACCACCTTATGTATCATTTTTAATCAAATAAAATTATAAAGTTTCACCCATCAAATGCTACATATTGTAATGAACAATCATAAAATAAATTTTTATATTTATAATATAATTTTATCTCTTCTATATTCAATATTTTCAATATGCAACTTAAACCAATAAATTAATTTAATCTAACACATGCATTTTAGTAAAACTATATTAATTAACAAGACCCTTAAACAATTTTTCATCAGATTAAAATGGGCAAAAGGTGATGATGTTATGGTCAAAATATTCGGCAATTATGAATTCTGAAACACTTTAATATGCTTTACAGATGAAGAAAAAGAAATAAAATTCAACGTAGGATTTTGGTTTTGACGTATGGCTTTCGTTTCAACACGAATTTGAAGTTTATCATTATCAGTTCAATTCTAGGGTTCTAGTTGATAGATAAATATGAACAATTTTTTTTATTATAAAGTAGTAATTTTGGGGGGTAAAAATATTGATTACCGAGACATCGCACAAACATCCAAATGATATATGCGACTCTTAATTTTGTTGCGAAACAATTCAAGTCGGCACTTCAATTTATATTATAAATTTATATAACATTTTTGTTAAATTAAGTTTAAAATAACTTATAAAAGTTAAAAACTATTTTTGATAATTTCTTTAGTTAACTCTGTTAAATAATTTCTAATAATATCTCTAATAACGTTGCTATTGTTGTTTCAAAAATTTTGAGCTGCTGTGTATATTTCTAATCATTTTTAATTATCTTTTATTTATCATTTTTAATCAATATTTGAAAGCATTAATTAGCATAATTTAATAAATTAAAATATTGCTAATAAGTTTTTTTAAAGACACTGATTACAATGTTAATAAATAAAATATTTTTCTAAAATATTATTATAAGAACATATTAATAAAATTAAATATTATATTTTTATTAAAAAAATTTAAATGGTTACGAAGTATTTTGTAAACACTAATCAGTATTTTTATAGATAAATATTTTTCCATCTCCTGTTACTATTTGCTTTTTAAGGTAACGCAAATATTTCGAAAAAAAAAAGTCAATTAAATTAACTACAATGATATTTAAATAAAAACTTATTCAAAATTGGGAATTAATAAAAAAATAATTAACGCATTCATAATATTTTGAAACATATTCAAAATCCTAAAATCGATAATTTGAAAATTTGAAACAGTAAAAATATTATTCTCACTTTTATTTTTATTTCTTTTTAATTAAACTCTTCTAAGCAAGTACTTGAAGTATAGATTTAAGAATTATTATTTATTTAAATAAAAAATACCTAATTTAACTCACTTTAAATTAGACACATACAACTTTACTTACAAACTATACCTCTACTCACTTTTAATAAGCTAAATATTAATTAAATAAATACTGAAACAGCAATTTTTAGCACTTTTTTTTAACATCATTCTAAATTTTTTTTAACTTTAACATTCATTTTACATATTAAAATAAAAAAATGCACAAAAACTAATCAATAAAAACAAATAAGATAAACTTTAAACAAAATAGTATTTTAAAAAATTATTCACAAATAATATTAACTAAATGCTACATATGCCTCAATTCAATGACTTACATTGCATGTTGAGGAAGTGTTTGAGTGTGTTTGCAATCACAGATTTTGTTAACCCACCAAATATAACGCTGCAAGTTTCAAAATCCCTTATCCTCTGGAAAAAGCAAAGCTCGTTGCTTCGCGAAACCAAATAAATAACCTTTTCACATCATTCCTTTATTATTATTATTACAAATGATGGTTATTGTCAAATAATTTTTTTATTAAAATATTATTTTTTAATTACAAAAATTATCATTCAATTTTTGTGAATTTTAATATTTTTATTTTTTTTTTAACAAATTTACCTAATTTTTAATGAAAAAGTTGTTTGCTTTTAATAAATAAACTGAGGTTTAACGAAACATCATCCATTCGAACCCACCCGATACTTCCAAGTTCATGAAGGGTCACAATGGTAAGAATTGGATAAGGTAAAGGAATTAAAAATTTAATTTTTATTATTCTTTTTAATTGAACAAATAAAATTTATTTAAATTTTACTATTAAATAATCGTATTTATTCTTAAAATATGGTTGTAATACACATGAAAAATTAATTTCTTATCATATTTATGAGCACTTGTTCCAATACATAGTACTTATCTTATTTAATTAAATACTCATTTGATTTTATTTTTTTTATAAGAATTAACTATCAGAATATATTTATTTTCTAATGGTGGTCCGTTTTCACACGTTATAATTGTTAATTTTTGTATATGCTTATTTATTATAATTTTTTTTTAATAATATATATATATATTCATTATTCTTATAAATAAATATATTTATCAAATTTATAAATGATGTTTTTATTTATTTAATATTATAATTTTTTTAAAAATATAATATAAATTATGACATATAATATTTTTGTTAGTCTTGATAAACTGATTATCTATTTATTTTTTATAAAAAAACTAAACTCATAAAACATTTTTTTTTATATTTCTATTTAGATATTTTAAAAAATAATTTATCACCAAGTTTAATTATAAAAATTAATAAAATAAAAGGTACCGTCTGATTTAGATTCAAAATAACTAAAATTTTTCTATAAAAAACTAAAATTTATTCAGATTTTATTTATCATGTATATAAGTGTGTATATATGACACAAAGTGAATGTTATAAAATTCATATATATATATATATATATATATATATATATATTATATTTTAAATTTTTGTGAGTAGTTATCTGAAGTAAAACTGAAATCTATTTGAAGATAAAATTGGTTAGACTTAGTTTGAATTAATTTTTTTAATAAATATTTATAGGAGAACATATAAATAAGTAAAATAAATCCAAATAGTTCTTCATAAGTTAAAATTAATTATATTTTTAAATTTAAGATTCACAAATTTATTAAAAAATATTTTTATATTTTATATTTTTCTCTTACAAATGTTTATTTAGAGATTTGTTCAAATAAGATCCTGATATTTTAAAGTCACTCATTAAATTAAAAGAAAATAAAAAACATTATTTAATGTTATTAATAAATTTTTAATATATAAATAATTTTATTAACATTAATTTTTAGAGTTATTTATAGTTTAATATTTGAATTTTTATTTAATTGATTATTAATTTTCTCGATTTAATTTTGTATTTTAAAACAATTTAATTCGATTGATGAATACTTCTTGTTTTAATTCCTCAACAGCGAAATCCAAATTATAATAAAAACTTTTTATCTGTTAATAACTCTTTAATCAATATTTTTAGACCCTCGATAATGGAAACCCTTCTATAAATTACTAACGTTTCCTAAATAAATTAATAATCTGACTTAAAAATAATTATCTTTTAATGGGTACTACAAAGCATGTTAAAAAGATAAAGCTAATTTTTTATTAAAATAAAATATTTATTATCTTAAAATTATAAAAAATATTTATTTCATATTTTTATAATAATTTAAATATTTCATCAAATATATTTAATACTTCTTTTAAACACATTAAAGACAATTAAATAAATAAGATATTTTTTTAATCTATATTCATGATACATTTTAAAAATAAAAGGCATAATTTTTTTATTAGAAAACCTATAACATTCAATATTCTTCAATACATTTAATTTTGTAATATTTTTAATAAAAAAATTAAATAAATTTTGACGGTTAACTTAAAAAAATTGAAACTCAAAAACCTGTGTTCTTTATTTCTAATCGTGAATAATTCAACATTTTCCAAGGTTGAATAGAGAATGGACGTGTCACAATATGAAGGCATCAATTTCTGGAACTTGCTCGACATTTACCAGCGGACACCGTATAAAAAGCCTCGCTGCGCTCTCATTAGTCTCAATGTAGTTCGTACTAAGCTTAGTTACCTGCTGTTCCTGCTGCTCATATTTTCATACAAAAACCTTTGCTCTTCAAACGCCGTCGTTCCGGTGAGTTCTTGTGCCTGTTATGGTTATGGATGAGATTTGGAAAATGGTTCTACGTTGAGAATATGAAATGGAAGCGTTCAGCTTCACGACCACGACGTTATTTGTTGTGTTTGTGAGGTTCTGTTACGTCTTTAAGAGGCCACAGATTTCGAAACTTGCTTTATTAATTTTCTGGTGCTTCGTTGGTTCGGTGACTGAAAGCACCGACTTTAGGAAAGAGACAGTGTTAGTTCAATCCTTATTACTATACTCTCTTTTCCTTCTACCAACTTCCATTAATCTGACAAAGCAGCTACTGTTCACCAACATAAGTTTAATTGATATATGTTTTATAAAATTTATTTTAATTAAAAATAAATTTGAAGTAAATGAATTTTTTTATTTATAATAGTTAAAATTAAGTTAAAGAAAAGCTTAACCAATGTCGTTAAGCTACTTAGTTAATGAATTAAAAATAAAAATACTTTTCAATAGAGTGTAATGTTATATATCTCTCATAATTTTTAATGCACTCTTAAGTGATTTTTAATAACAATTTTTTAATTAATTTCTTAACTAGTGTTTTATGTCTTGAAGGTAAACTGGTTACTAAATATTTTAAATTTTAATATTTTATTTTTATGGTTTGTCCCTTGTCTTCAGTTAATTTGGGTATGCAACGACGATGCTAGTATCGCATATTAATATATGTAGGTGGCTTTTTTTTGTTTAGATTTTCATTAGTCTATAATTCGTAGTTTATAGAGTCTTCAAGTATCAATAGTTGTTACGTTACTTCCAGTATGGTAATACAGGGAATTACATTGGATTATATGGTGAATTAGTTTGGTGTTTCTTAATTATTTGATATGGTGTTATGACAGTAGTGTAGCGTTCCAACATGACGGTGACACCTAAGATCTCGGTTAACGATGGGAACCTGGTAGTTCATGGCAAGACCATACTAACTGGAGTGCCAAACAACATTGTGCTAACTCCAGGAACCGGAAAGGGTCTTGTGACCGGTGCTTTTATTGGTGCCACTGCTTCCAACAGCAAAAGCCTCCATGTCTTTCCAATGGGTGTCTTAGAGTAAGTTCCTTAACCATTTACAACTTCATTTGCTATTCCTATGGTGTGTTGACTTGTATTTGCAACCATAATCATGAGTTCAAAAAACTTACTTTAGGTTTATTATGGATAAACTTCTCAATGAGTACTTATACGAGAAGAAATAAGGAACTAAAATAAATGTGCATTTCAAATTTTGGAGAAGTTAAACTAAATAGCTTTTAAAAAATGTGAGGTATATAAGTTGATTTTAATTTACAAGAGAAGTTTGATTTATGTTTAAGTCTTTATTTTCTTCTCCTATATGTACTTGGTAATAAGTTTATTTAAACTGGAACTTATTCAATTGAGTTGGACTGTAACTGTTGACTTGATTCTTGATGAATAGGGATGTTCGGTTCTTGTGTTGTTTCCGGTTCAAGTTATGGTGGATGACTCACAGAGTGGGAACTTGTGGGAGGGATGTTCCATTGGAGACTCAATTCATGCTTATAGAGAGCAAAGAGAGTAAAGATAACCAGGAGAATTCTGCAACAATCTACACTGTCATGCTTCCTCTCCTGGAAGGCCAGTTCCGTGCTGTTCTACAAGGCAATGACAAAAACGAAATCGAGATTTGCCTTGAGAGTGGTGAGTTGCTCTTCGCCATGAAAATTGACTTGGTGTTAGCTACATTGGACCTTGCTATTGGGTTGTAATTATCTTCATGAAGTTTGGAGAGATGATGAGGTGGAGCTATCATATGTGAATAGTTAATACTAATTGCATGGAGAAAACGCTCAATGACTACCAATCAATTAAATCAAACAAATGGATCAGATTATATACATTTGGAGAAAATATGTATGTAGGGAGGAGTCTTGAAGAATCGAACCGAAACGATCTTTTTGCTTTTGGTGTGTGATTTGGTTTTGCAGGAGATCCAGCTGTTGAGACCAATCAAGGCCTTCACCTGGTCTACATGCATGCTGGTACCAACCCCTATGAAGTCATCAACCAGGCTGTCAAGTAAGGCATCTTTCCCTTCTTGTCTCTGATATTTTATCTGTGTTTCGAGTGCAAAAACCAATCAAACTTACAAGTTAAGCAATCCTATTTGCGTTGGCTTGAATTTGTCTTTCATTTGAGACTGTATGTTGACAATCCTAGTATTACTAACTCCTCCTTTTCTTATGATCACTCAAGGGCTGTAGAAAACTATATGCAAACTTTCCTTCGTCGTGAGAAGAAAAAAGTAAGGAACTCCTCCTAGTAGTATTACCAAAGGAAACACACTTAATGTGCAATTGATCAGGTGTCAATTTTTTTCCTTCTGTTGGTTTAAGCAGTTGCCATCTTTTATTGACTGGTTTGGCTGGTGCACATGGGATGCTTTCTATACTGATGTCACAGCAGAGGGTGTTAAAGAAGGCCTTAGAAGGTAATTGGTGACAGAAATAGTAGTATACTATGTTTGTGATGAGTGAAAAAGAGATCAAAATACTACCTCTATTCCTATTTATCTGTCCTTATAAAAGTGGAAGACAATATTAATTGCAATTCTTTCACTAATACCTTTTGTTCATATGAAATATTTATATTATTTGAGTAATCCAAGAGTCAAAAAGAGACTTATTAATAAATGGTAAATTAGTAAGTTTAACAATTAATTCCAACAAAATGATTGAATTCTTTGACTTGTGTAATTTCTTTTCTCTCTCGGCTGGTAAGTTAGAACAGATGTAGTAGTATTTGGGAACTTAGATATTGACTGGATACTATAATACTGAACTTTCTCCAATATTTCTTCAGCCTGTCAGAGGGGGGCACATCCCCTCGGTTCCTCATCATAGATGATGGTTGGCAACAGATTGAAAGTAAACCAAAGGATGAAGATTGTGTTGTACAAGAAGGAGCACAGTAAGATTTTATTTGTATTGATTCAGCATTCTAAAATTACATCTGATTAAGGAACTTGTAATTGTTCTTTCGAAAAATTTGATTATTGCAGGTTTGCTACAAGATTGACTGGTATTAAGGAGAACGCTAAATTTCAAAAGAATGAACAGAGCAATGGTACAATCTCAGGCCTGAAACATGTTGTAGATGAAGCAAAGCAACATCACAATGTGAAGTATGGTCTTGAATCCTTAAAAAGTGATGCTATACTTTGTTCTTGTGTTGTTCTGTTGGACACATCTAAATTATGTGAGAAGAAATGTATGAGAAAAAGTTTATCTAATTCAAGTTTCTGAACTCTGGACTTTTGATGGTAGATATGTTTATGTTTGGCATGCTCTAGCTGGTTATTGGGGTGGAGTAAAGCCAGCAGCAAGTGGCATGGAGCATTATGACACTGCCTTAGCATACCCAGTGCAGTCTCCAGGTGTCCTTGGAAACCAACCAGACCTTGTCATGGATAGCTTGTCGGTACATGGATTGGGTCTGGTGCACCCGAAAAAGGTTTTTGATTTCTACAATGAGCTCCATGCTTACTTAGCTTCATGTGGAGTAGATGGAGTGAAGGTTGATGTGCAAAACATTATTGAGACCCTTGGTAGTGGTCATGGTGGTAGAGTCTCACTTACTCGCAGCTATCATCAGGCGCTTGAGGCGTCTGTTGCTCGTAATTTTCCTGACAATGGATGCATTGCTTGCATGTGTCATAACACTGATGGCCTTTATAGTGCCAAGCAAACTGCTGTTGTGAGAGCTTCTGATGACTTTTATCCACATGATCCTGCTTCCCACACCATCCATATTTCATCCGTTGCATATAACACACTTTTCCTTGGAGAATTCATGCAACCTGACTGGGATATGTTCCATGTAAGTGGAAGTGATAGCAATTTTTTACATCTTGATGTTGATAATTGGCCATTTTCAAAAACATGTATATCAAAAGTTCTATGCTTAGAAAATTAGTAATAGGATGATCAAATTGCATATATTTTGTATTTTAAAGACTGGTTAGTGCAAAATGGAGTATAATTTGATGTACTAACTGACTATTTATGGTAGCATTGGTTTGTTGTTAACAAAAATATTTGAAATTTCAGAGTTTACATCCAGCTGCAGAGTATCATGCTGCAGCTCGTGCAGTCAGTGGAGGTCCAATTTATGTTAGGTATAATGATATGCATCGCAGATCTTGTTCTATGATGGATCATACTTGAAATGAGCACATTTGTTATATGTATTTTTGTTGTTTTATAGTGATAAGCCAGGAAGGCACAATTTTGATCTTCTTAAAAAACTGGTTCTGCCTGATGGTTCAATTCTCCGTGCCCAGTTGCCTGGCCGGCCTACTGTTGACTCTCTCTTTCTTGATCCAGCAAGAGATGGAACTAGGTGTGTTAAATCTTCTATCTTTGTTCTTCTCAAGCCATCCTTCTTGTGACATTTTGATGGTTCACGTTTCTAAATTGTAATTTCCAGCTTGCTCAAGATATGGAACTTGAACAAATTTTCTGGAGTGGTTGGGGTGTTTAATTGCCAAGGTGCTGGATGGTGCAAGATAGAGAAGAAAACCCGAATTCATTGTGCATCTCCTGGGACACTTACTGGCTCTGTTTGTGCCTCTGATGTTGATTTCATTGCTCAAGTGGCAGGTGCTGACTGGCATGGCGACACTATTGTTTATGCCTACAGATCAGGTAAAGAGGATGCATGAAAGCAATTATCTCGGTGCTTTTTTTGGTAAGATATTTAATTTGAAGAAATAATAATCGCTTATTTTTTAAAAGTTCTATCACAAAGCTCGTCAAAATAAGTGATCATTTCTTCAAAATAAGTTGATTTTTCTATTTGTGATGGAGTTTTATATGAATTAAGAAATTAATTAGACATCCCATTCATCATGCTTTTGTTGAATTGAATTACCTCAATTCCACTTTATTTTATTAAAACTAACTCGCATCCATATTTTAGGTGAGGTAATTCGGCTACCAAAAGGTGCTTCGTTGCCAGTGACACTTAATGTTTTAGAGTATGAGCTTTTCCATTTTTGTCCAATCAAGGTAAGTCTCAACTATTAGTTAATATAGAATACGGATTCTCTCACGTTGACAAGTAACATAATATGGTGATATTGGAGAGAAAACCATATCATGTTAGTAGTATGAGAGGATCCAAATCCATTAATATATGATATTATGATACTTTATAAGTTTTTGGTTTATGCCTATGGTATGTTCTTATTAATACAACATATAGCTTGATATGTTAAGTGAATCAATTCTTTTGGACAGGAAATTGCACCAAGTATTTCATTTGCACCAATAGGTCTACTGGATATGTTAAACACTGGAGGTGCTGTGGAACAGTTTGAAATCCATGAAGAATCTGTAGCGCCTAATGGAGAGAAATCAGCAAAAGCAACTATTACTCTCAGAGTCAGGGGAAGTGGCAGATTTGGGGTCTATTCTTCCCAGCGCCCACTTAAGTGTGTGGTTGGTGACAATGAAACTGACTTCAACTATGTCTCAGATATTGGGTTGATAACCTTCTCAATCCCAGTACCAATAGAGGAGATGTACAAATGGTTGATAGAGATTCAATTTTGAGTAGTTAATTATTTCCATTTTGGGAATGTTGGTTGAGGGTTTTATGACAATAAAATTTAGATGTAGCAGTAGCATAGGGTGGGTAGAGTGGTTTTTGGTATGAGTGTATCTTTGGTGGGGTTGAGTTGTTCTTTGCCAAGGGATGTCTTTCATTTAATAAAAACTTGCACGTTTTTCCAATTTTGAGTGAATTCATGTTCTTTATTGCCCTTGGACACACTAAAATAGGAAAAAGAGTGGAAAAAAGTACAAATAAGATTGTTTGGATCTGTTTTTAAAGCATTGGTGAGCAAGTTAATGGTTTAGTATTCTAATTAATCTCAGCATCATGTTGCTGTTTGTGCTCACTGGTCCTGGAGTCTTTCATGAGGATCTGAGGCAAGTTTTAATCGATAATATTAAAGATTGTAAGCACCTCTGAAGATTAGACAATACTGGAAAATAGTTATATTGGATCTTGTCATGAATATGAGAAAAGGATGAGGATGGAAAGACTAATGACACTTTATCTATTACAAATGTTTTTGTTACTTTGGTATTAGGCTATCTTTGAATATTTAAGAATGTATATGATAACATAGAAAGAGATGAGATGAAATGAAATGTTATCCTTGTGATATTATTGATTTGATCTAGATTATTCAAATGTTTATCTTAATATCTGAATATTGGTAGTCCTAGACCAAAAAAAAATGAGATGAAATAATAATCAAAGGGGTGAAAAACGTTGAAAATCTATTGAAAAGCAGGTATCACTTATAATTTCTTGCTCCTAATATTCTTGGTCTCTGCCTAAAAGGAACAAGAAAGAATCCATAGTATCAACTTAGAAGCATAGGATTAAAAATTGGATGTTTAAAACTAATTTGCACTTTCAATCATAACCTTTTTTTCTTCAAATAAGTTATATGTAAAAACATTAATGTGATAAAGTCAAACGAAAATGAAATAATCTTGTAGAAACAAGACAAAATGCGAGTTTCCAAGAGCAAGGCGTATGTGATATATGTACTCAAAGCAAACAAGTAATGGTGTGGATATGGAAGGAAAAGGGTGTTAAATTGTAGGATGGGTGGGCAAAAAATCAGTCTTTAACTCAAACTAAACTTTTTAGACTCATTTTTTAAAAATCTACTTTATTTTTAATCCAGACATAATTTGGGTTTTATTTTACAAAACTAGATTTTCTTTCGTCAAAATTGATCTTTGCACTAGAGTTCCATTCTGGAGTGGGGCAAACAACCAATTAAGTGGATTAGAATTTTGGCTAGGAAATACAGTCTCGTGTTTCTCGGAGTAGTGACCTCATGCTGCGACGCTTTAATACTAAATTTATGTAATAACAATATATATAATATGAACTTCTTAAAAATATAAGATAAATAATAATATAACTACAAAAATTAATAGGAAAAACTATTTTAAACATAATCTTTTCAAGTTTTACTTACAGTTTTTATATAAATAATAATTAAAAATAAAAAATTGTACAAAGATTAAAATAATATTCAAATCATTATAATAAATAATTTGAATATTTGGTTTTTTATATTTTTAATTATTAAATTAAAATATTAAATATTTGTATATTTTAAAGTGATATATATTATTTTTTGATATCAAGTTTAAATTTCAATAAATACAGTGTGACATGATTTTAGTGAAAGATAAGTATGATTTTGATTAAAAAAAAAATAATATATATTATTTTATAAATTAATAAAAAACATTAAAATAAATAGAAACATAGCAAATTTAAAAAAAAAAAATTTTACATGATAGTAATTTATTCAACATTACTGCAGATTAAAAATACTTTTTAAAAAATTAATTTTGTTAAATAAAATTTATGTGTCTTTTTCTCTCTTCAAAAAATGCCTCTGATAAAAGAATGAATAAACTTGAAAAATCAAATCAACAAAATTATAACTACACTTTTTTTTATTAAATTATAACTACACTTTAATAAACATTCAATAATTATAAAATATAATAACATTTTTTTAACTAATATCTTTTAAATATATATTAACAAAATTTTATTATTGAAATAGTATTTCAAATACATTCTCTATTTAGAATCATAGTATAATTTTCATCACAAATAAAACTTTGACATTGTTGATACAGCTTTAATTAGAAAAATGAATTATTTATTATTTAGTTTGTGTGGTAGATAAATGATACAAAGTAAAAAATAATAATTTAATTTTAATACAATATAAATATGAAAAAATATATACTATTAACTGATTAAAATATATGCAAATATAATTTTAAATGAATTATTATAAAATTTATTTTTTAAAATATTATAATTCAATAATAATATAAAAATATTTATTGTATATTTTACTGGATTTAAAAATAATTTTAAATTAAATCCAAATTTTATAATCAGTTTTAAAAATATAAAATAGATTGATTTAAAATCTAATCTATATAATTAGATTTATAATGAATATGGATTGATTTTGTGCATATCTAATCACCCTTGCAGGCTAGGGTGTAAATATGTAAGTGAGGACGATCAGAGTTGTGTCACAAGGAATGAAATATTTAAGCAGAGGGTGTAGATAAAGCTTCTGACTTGTTCTGCCTAACATGCATATATGTCAATTTGTTGGTTCCTAGAATTAACTAATCAATACAAAGAGAATTTATTGATTGAATTAAGTGTTGAATTATTATGAGTGAAGATTATAATTGTCTTTGCATATCTCATATCAAGATGCTCACTTCATATTTATTTAGCTTGATGATTTAGTTCCTGGTTTTATTTGTACTATTATATATCTTAAGTGCTCATGAACTTCTCATTATTTATACTTTTTTCGAACTCCAACCTCTACGTATGTGTTTTAATGCCTTCATCAGTGGAAATTTTCACAAAATTCAACTTCTTATACTGCTGGTTGCTTTCTTTATCACACCAGTTTGGATTATGAAAGGTAAAAACCAAAACAAATTTAGCAGAAACTACATAGTTCAAAATTTGAGGTAGAATAGTAAATTCACCAACAGAATTTAAAAAATAAAAATATTTAATTAAATCATGAAGCCCAAACAGGATAATGATCAGAACAGAAGCACAAACTACTAAACGTTTGTACATGAACTCTACCCTAGAGCTTGATCTGCAACAGAAAGAGCAAAAGTAAAAATTACCAATAGTCTATGAAGGTAATAGTTTCATTGGTTTGCAGTGACAAATTTATAACTGAGTGGTTGTCAAGTGAAAGAACATGTATTCACACATCTTTATTAGTTCTGAACAGGTTTATTTGATAGTTGGGTAGCTTGTAACAAAATAAATTTCCTAACATCAAGATCAAAATCAAACAACTCATGAAATTCAATGTTTTTTGCCAAGGAAATGTTAGACCAAAACATTGGATAGGAATAAATATGGGTAAAATTACACATTCTACTCAGTAATTAAAACCAACAAGGATAGGATTACACATTGGCAATCTCCACAAATCTTATTTCTGTCATTTAAAAACTTCCATATGTTCTGAATAGAATTATAGCAACCGAGCAGAACACTTGGAGAAAAATAATGGAAAAATTTTGTCCAGAAATAGCGTAAGAACATTGATAATGTTTGTTAAAATTTCATTTCCAAATTCACAGTGAGTTTATTCTAGTTCTTACAAACTAATTCCCTCATCAGATTAGTCTTTATAAACCACAAAAATCATAAAATCAATAAAAAAATAAAATCGTCGAATAGCTTGATGTGAATTCAACAATTCTGTTAAGTTGAGCTTCTTTGTTTCTATCAGATATTGGAACTACTGTAACCAATGCATCAAACTGTAGAAGAATCAGTAGACAAGGTTTCAATGAACCACTTGAGAGTAATGTAATCAAACATACACCTAGATTCTATTAAATTTGAGCATTTAAATTTTGTACTCAAGTTGTATTTAGAAATACTTTGTGTAGAACATAAGAAAATAACTTATTTACAATTTTCATAATTTATTTTTACTTTATATAATAAAAACTTATATATATATATATATATGTATATGTATATGTATATATATATATATATATATATATATATATATGTATGTATGCATATATTCAAGCGTTTAATTAATTAATATGTTTTCGAAATGCAGGTCAGAAGTAGAGATCAATTTTTTGAAAAAAGGACATGGTTTATTGTTTCATTCATGTTACTTCCATTAGCCGTGTCCCTTTTGGTTGAATTTGTAGTTAAACACATGTGACATGACCAAAATTTGTTGTCCAATACATGGATGTGTTTAAAAGAAAGTTAATGATACATGTGGAGGTAATTCATTTTAGATGACAATCACATTTATATCCATTCAATTACTTCTTGACAACTACTCAAGATGAATTCTACTCATAAATCTCTTCCTCTTATTCTGTCTTCTATCATAAAAAAAATTTGTTACAAATTTGAATAGGACTTGCAATTATTAAGTGCATCCAAGTATTCCCTTAAAAGCTTTGCCTTCCTCTTTTCACATTTCTCTGCTCAACTTGTTAGAAAAGAAAATTTATCATTTTAGGCCTACCCTATACCTATACTTTCTATATCTAACTATATATATTCTTATAGGATATGCCACCTACGAAAACATCTTCAAGTATGTTTACACAATTTTAGATGATATGATTTATTGTACAATCATTGAGAATATACAAATGCTTACGTCTGTACGAGCCCATTTAATTTGATATACTTGAGAGCAAAGTACAAATTAAAAGAATACATTACGGTAATGAGAAGTTTTAAAAATATACTCCTGACGAGAATACATTATTTTAATTATTGACTGAAATTTTTTAGAAACTATAAAAGAATGAGTGAGATTTATTATATTAAAACTGAAATTCACATAATTTTTATTTATTTTTAATTAACAATAAAAAATGTGTTTAAAAGAACGTGTTAGAAAATATATTTTTAAGATGATCAAGAGTACAAATTAGCAACAACTTAATCAAACTTTAGCGTTCAACTTAAACTTTCCTACCTAAATTGCTAATATGTTTATGAAACTAATCCATCCACCTTGTGCTCCATACCTTGATGATATAATGATTCAACTTGGATCATCTTCTCGGGCATCTCTTGCCAAAACAACATATAACACTTGTCACTTCTAGAGATGTATATTATTCTTTCTATTCAATTTGCTAGCATCATCACAAAATAGCTTTGGATACCGTAATTTGTTTGAGCAGGTGCATGTTTGGAGGGTATGGCTTTGACTACAAGGCATTCAACTTTGTCACTTTGAAACATTTTGTGGCCTCTAAAGTTCCCTAAACCTTTGTCAATGTATCAATAGTTGCCATATCAAATATTAGACCTCAATGCATCTCGTGTTTCATTGATTCTCTTTTTCTATCCACGTGAAAATATATACATGCATTCTTAATTTTCATTATATTATATGACAGTGTTCACACATTTATGGAATGATTTAGTACAAGGGAGTAGAACAAGAAACCAATTACAGGGAAGCCTTTGAATCTACTTGGAAATAGGACCTCTTATACGTAAGATGGTTAAATGGCAGAAGTATATAGTGCCAGGAGGCACTATAGGGTATATTAAAATCTCATGATTATTTGTCTAGCGTTGATTTTTTTTTAATTCTCTAATAAAGAATATCTATCATTTGTATTAAAATTATGATGCTTAGTAAGTGTAAACATTTTTTTTTTCAATTATATATTTTTAAGAGAAGGATTACCAAATTACAAATGATATAACTATCAAGAAAATAAATGATATAAGAATACTGAAAATTTGCTCCTAATATTATGTCATATTCTTGTTGATTAAGATCATAGTTATAGTTTACAAGGAAAATTTTGCTTGCCAGAAGAAAAAAAGCAAATCATAGTTATCAATTCATCTGTACACGTGAAACCATTAAACCAAACAAAAAAGTTTTGCCAGTCATGTTGTTCCTAACTGTCCTAATTATTATTAATGATGAACACCTGAAAAGAAAGTGCAAAAATTCCACACGCATACGATGAGCCAAACATTCACTCCTACGTGTCATGAGTAATATGCATGGAATGGCACGGTAGTGTCATACGTATATATATATATATATATATATGTTTTCTTATTCACCAATATGCGAAAGTCATGGGTAGCGTATTGTTGAATTACTATATGATTTCAATCATGCTTAAGGAAACATCCATAAATGGAGTATACGTTAAACCAACCTGCAAATAGTGTGTAATTCAAATTTCTGTAAAGTGAGAAACATCGACTAATATAGAAAGGAAGGGGGAATATGATTTTGTAATTCTATAATATAAAGTGTAATGGATATATAGAAAATAAAATTGTCTACAATAATTATGAAAATTTTCTTTTATATACATCAAGAAGTGATATTTTTCCCCTTTGAATGAAAGTTTTGGATCGATTTTTCTCCCACTAATTCATGGCCAAGGCATATGAGAAACATGTAATGATTTACACTGTGTGATATGAGATGTGACTTTTGTTATAGAAAAATAAGATACAAGTAGAATAATGTAAAATGATTTAATTTACCGTCGCATAAAATGAGGGGGGAAAAATTTCTTTTGAAAATAAAAAAGTATAGGGTAGGGTATATATTGATGTCAATAAATAACCTATCCTACATTATAAAATGAGGGGTCATATACGTTTGTATTAATTAGTTACTATATTAAATGTACCATTAATTTCATTTGTAGAAAATTTTATAATAAAAATGTAGATATATATTATAAATTTGATTAATTAATTGTTAAATTATAATTATATATTTATTAAGTGTTTTTTTATAAAATTTAGACAATAATAAAAATAATAATTAAATGTTTTTATTTTTATATATTTCAATTATATATATACATATTATTTATATACATAATGTATATGATAAAATTTTTACTTTAATAATAAAATTCATAACAAAATTATAAAATAAAAAATTATTGAATGGCGAAAAGAGGTGTTATAATCACATTCCCTCCTCTCACTCTTTTTTTCACATAGTCATATAATTAAATGACATATTTAATAATTATTAAGAGTAAATTTTATCAATCTAACTTTTATTCTTTTAATATTTCATTATGATAATTATGTATATAAAATTTAATGTAATTTATATACACTCGTAGATGTATAATCTAGTAAAAACTATTAATAGCAACAACAAAAAAACTTTTTTTTTATATTTTAAATAATATATATGTTAAATATAGTAATATAGTAAAGTATTAGTTATTTTTTAAATTGTGTAAATTTTTAAGATTTAATTTTCTTTTAGAAACTTTAAATTCAATAATTAAATTGATAAATTCTCTCTAGTAAAAAATTATTAACAATGTTATTTTACTAGAAACCTTATCTTTTTAGTGTGTGTATCAATAATCGTAAGTATGTACAGAGGACTTTAACCTATAACCATACTTTTACAAATTTCGTTGTTTATCTTTGACATGGATCAAAGCAGTAATTATTGCATTCCATGAATCTTCGAATTTATTTATACGAATTTATAATAGCATAAATGCACTAGATGTCTCTGAACATTCTTAGTCAAAGCAAAAAAAAAGGCAGGAACATTAATATTACCGTGGAAGCAAATCAACTATCCTTTTTATATGTCGTATTCCTGGTTCTTCCAGTTAATAATGACATCTTAACAAAAAATAAAATAAAATTACAACTATGAGAGAGAGAGAGAGAGAGAGAGAGAGAGAGGGATCTAGTTTTCGAACTTATATATATATATATATATATATATATATAACGTGTCATTTTTCAGCCAAAGGAACAAGAAGCAATTAATAAAAATGTGATTTCAATCCAATAAGCATGTATGTATGTACTCCTTTGAATTCTTATATATCCACCGACCAATGCATAGCCAAAACACAGCATGAAGCATATTATTAATATTTGAATTGAAATAACCTATCTTCGTTTTCTACTTTCTTTCCTGTTTTCTGAAGTAAAAAAAGAAAAAGACGAGGTTAAAGAACTTTTTCTTTCTTTACTAAGTGAGGAAATTTAAGGGCAGGAGATGCTTTTTACTCAATTTTAAGATCATAGCATTGTTATAAGTGCTAATGATAATAAATTAATTTATTTATAGATAGCCTATTAACGAGAGATGAACTCCAGGCACTAAAAGTTAAACTAATTAAGTTTCAGGAGTTAAATGTTTCAATCCTTTCAAGTTAAACCAACTCAGATTGGTGTCCTTAGGCTAATTGATATAACACATAATGGAGAGAGACACATATACCAACTAAAAATATTTACATATTATTAATATTCAAGTGCATACGTTGATACAAATACACAGATATAATTAAATAACACATTGGTGAACATTTTCGGGGTACAAGGCTGTATGGAGCAAAAGTCAGAGTGTACCTGAGAGATCCTTTCGTCTCAATCTCTCATATCCTTCCATACCGTAATACCCTTATGTAAGATGAAGAATAAAATCCAAATTTATTTCCATTTCTTTTGTCTATAAATACACAAGACCCACATGACATTCCTCATCAACTCCATCCCAAGCTAGTTAGCTATAGCCATTTTCATCAAATTAACTACACCTTCTTTCAAAGAGCATCTATTTTCACTTACGTACGCACAAAGGGAAAAGTAATAATAATGGCCCTCCACGGACATTACCTTTCATTCATTATTATAATGGTTTCTTTTGTTGCTTGTTGTAGTACATTTCAAGAGGACCCACTTAGTTCATTTCTTGAGGGTTCGCCTAATATTGATGATGGTGCCACATTCAAGGACTTCATCAAGCAAAGTACAGATGTATTGAGCTTAAAGAGTTTTGACAAGTTGGGTGACATTTCCTCTTCGCTTAAAACTGTTAGCGTCAATGATTATGGAGCTCAAGGTGATGGTAAAACTGATGACACAAAGGTACATATTCTCACTTGGTCTAAATTAATATCACGTAAATATTACCACGTTTCACTGCATAAAAAATGTCATATATTATTACATTTGTTTTAATAGGTGTATCTAGACAGATAGATAGATTCTAAACAAAAGCGTGTATATCATGTTGTGAATGTAGCTCCACAGTTAGATAATTCTATTCTAGTGAAAGTTAAGTCTAATGACTAAAATTTTTGTTCCATGGCTATATGATATACTTTTTTATAGCGTTGTGTGTCTTATTCTTTTGTTAGTAAGGTCTGCTTTATATATTATGCTTCACAATAGAAAAGAATGAAAATATTAATTAATTTCTATTATATGGCTATGTCTATGCCTATTTGGGCTATATTTCAGGCATTCATGAAGGCTTGGCAAGTGGCATGTTCTTCTGGGGGAGCAGTTCTTGTAGTGCCTCAGAAGAATTATCTACTCAAGCCGATCACATTTTCTGGCCCTTGCAAATCCAACATCGCAGTTCAGGTTAGTTATGTACAAATTAAATTGATTGTTGGTTTTGAATGAATTTGAATTCTCTCATATGATGATATAATCATTATAAAAAAACAAAAGACATAATTCTTATTAACTATGATTAATGGGACCTCAATTAATCAAGCTGCATAGGTCATTATATAATAAAAATTATATATTTTTTCTTTAATATGATTATATCATATTAATTATTAACTTGAGAAGATCTAAATTTGTTCTACATATTTTTAAACATTTATTGATTAACCTTCAACTATGTGCCCAATTTGGGATGAAAAAATATAATCAGATCTCTGGAACAATTGAAGCATCAGATACCCCATCGGATTTCAACGAAGATCCCACACACTGGCTTATGTTCGACAGTGTTCAGAAACTATCAGTTAACGGTGGTGGAACCATCAATGGAAATGGAAACACATGGTGGCAAAACTCATGCAAAAGGAACAAAAATCTCGTAAGACATTATTAGAAAGTACAATATTGTTATCCCTTCAGTTAATACATAAATTTAATGCTAACCTTTCATTTGATGTTTCTCTTTTGCAGCCTTGCAAGGATGCCCCTACGGTATGTACTGATTCATATGAGAATAGATTCTTTCATATTAAATATTTACGTGACATTATTACTATGTAAAAATTTTATGTTTATTTTTTTTTCTTTCTAGGCATTTTTTAATAAGTGATGGATTTTTATAAATATTTATAAAAATAAATATAATTTTGTATGTGTAAATTGATAATGAGAAAATATATTTGCAAATTTATATGTATGCATATGACATTAGGAACGAATCCTCTTATATACATAATGCATCATGTTGAAATATTTATATTCATCTTATAAATAATATATAAATGCCAATCATTTAATGATTTTTAATCATTAAAAGATAAATAAAATTTTAGCATAATTTTGTCAATTTGAAATTTGACATGATCAGAATAGATTCATTTTTCTTTTCATGTAAAATTCAAATGCTAATTAACCATTGTTTGTCTTTGCAGGCGTTGACTTTCTACAAATGCAGCAACTTGGTAATTGAGGATTTGACGATAAAAAATGGGCAACAAATCCATGTTACATTCGAGGACTCCGAGAATGTTAAAGTTTCTGGTCTCACAGTGACAGCACCAGAGGATAGCCCAAACACCGATGGAATTCATGTCACAAACACCCAAAACATTCAAATCTCAAGCTCCGTCATAGGAACTGGTAATCATAAATATTGATATTCCGTGTTTCAAAACAACAAAATTAAAATGGCAAATTAAGCATTGAAATTTTGTATGTTTTCTTAGTCACTTTTGTTTTGGGTTTGAATGTATTGCAGGTGATGATTGTATATCAGTTGTAAGTGGAACCAGGAATCTACTAGCCACAGATATAACCTGTGGACCTGGCCATGGTATCAGGTATACCTTCATTCAATTTAGACTATATATAGATACATAAATTAATTAAACATTTATATCAAATAATAATTTTTTACGATTAAAAATATTATTGAAATATTTTAATAAGTTTTTTATAAAAATTATTGAGATAAATCGAAATAAACTTATTAATTATAAGCCACTATTATATAATCCCAAATAAATTTTGAAGAGTTTTTTTTTTTCAGACTTGTCTTAACATTGTTAAAACTTTGCACGTGTTAATAACTAATTCAAAATGTGATTTATATTTTCTTTTACAATAATGATTTCAGCATCGGAAGCTTAGGGGCTGGGGAGTCCAAGGAATTTGTTTCAGGAATAATGATTAAAGGAGCAAAGTTTTCTGGAACTACAAATGGAGTAAGAATTAAGACATGGCAGGTAATTAATTTTAATATTGAACAACTTCACATTATTTAGCCTCATCATCACTTTAATATTTGTACATAAAATGCATGATTAAATTTATTAGAGTAAATGTAAATTCATTTTGGTTTAATATGTATATATGTTAGCAGGGAGGGTCAGGAAGTGCAAGCAACATCCAGTTTCAGAATATTCAAATGGACAATGTGAGCAACCCCATAATAATAGATCAGAACTACTGTGACCAAGCGGAACCATGCAAACAACAGGTAATTAATAAACAAACTCCATCCACTACTAGGAAAGTGTGCTACTGCATGTCTATTGGCTTAAATATAATTTTAGTACGTGTAAATATAAATAAATTTGATTTTAACAATATTTATAAAAAGAAGATAACTATATTTTGCTCTTATATAGTAATGATTTAACTTAATTGGTTTTGTCATTGGATGCAGCAATCTGCAGTTCAGATTAGGAATGTGTTGTACCAAAACATAAAAGGCACAAGTGCTTCTGATATGGCTGTGCAATTTGATTGCAGCAAGAACTTTCCATGTCAGGGACTTGTAATGCAGAACGTAGACTTGCAATCTAAAAGTGGAGTGGCAAAGGCTTCATGTGACAGTGTTAAATTGTCCTACAGAGGAGATGTTAACCCTCGCTGCCCATAGAAAGTGGGAAAAGCTTTACCACCTTAGCATACAAAGATTATTCAAATTATAAAATATATTCCATGTATAAATGCAAAGATAGGGCATGTTTAATTATTGTTCTGCACCATGCTAAACCAATTTGTGGCCAATAATATGTGATTTAATTCACACAATCACTGTCATATATTGACAGTGACGATTGTCATTACTTGTATTATATGTCAGATAAATAAAATTCCATTCATACTATTTTATTTTTTAACTTGTAAAATTGCATGTGTATGAGACCCGACACGAATGGTTAATATTTTGAATTTATTTTTATATCTAATCATTGTCTTTTAACGAGAAATGATCTCTTTTAATTTTACGTGAGAATAAAAATAATAAATTACAACTATTAGATCTTATCGTAAATAATTTTAAGTAAAAAATAAAAGTTATATAACTTATTAGAGATAAAACTATTTTGTTCTTAATAATAGATATAAATTTTAAAATTTGACAAATATTTTCTTAACTCTGATTCATTTTTTTATGTACTTTAAAATTTATTATTCATAATTTAAATTTTAACGGTCTTTATTTTTAATCTAGGTTTTTTTAGTTTTCACTCAAAAATACTCGAGCAGTGCATTTATATTTTTAAGTTGATGAAAATATAAAAATATAAATAAAAAGATAAATAATATTATAAAGATACATGCATAATTAATTCACATTGAATTAAAAAAAGTATTATTAATTAATTACGAATGAAAAAATTTATAACTAAATTAAAGGGCTATTTTAATTTGTACCATCTTAGTAAAAGTTGTCAATTAGATATCTAAGAATTAGAAATGTCAAATTAGGCCACGCTTGTTGATTAATGGGAAATGGAGCTTAATTAATTCTATTTAAGCAAAGCTTAGGATTTAAGTCTATGAAGAAAAATGGGTATTGAATGACAAGTTTTTAATCAAATAGATCGAGATTTAAACTAATTTTTAAATAATAATAGTATAGGACACAAAAAGTATGAAATTGGCTAAGTATAACACTTTTGAAGTTTTCTGAAGATTATTTAATTATTTTAAAAAATTAATCTTTGTAATTCAAAATGAAGTATACATAACCTGTTGAAGGAACATTTTATCGCCCACAGTAATTTCATCCTACTCGACCAAATTATATGTGGCGTAATTTAGACAAAAATAAATAAATAAATAAATAAAATATTTAAACAAAAAATAAATATCATACATCAAGTTTTTTTATTATTCTAAAATTTATAAGATGTCTTTTAGAGGAGAATATTATATTTTTACATATCAAGTAATGTTTGTTAATTCTCTATGAAAATACTAAGGTTGGGAGATTTTCAAATCATAATTTTAATGATAATTTGAAATATTTTATTTTTTTTCTTTCAACAACGTCACTTTATTAAGATGTTGGAAAAGTGATGAAAATATTATTTTCTTCATTAAGGTTTTCAAATTTTTTTTTTAATTTTTTTCTGTGGTCACTTCTAATAACAAAAATATAAAAACATTTATTTTATATTTAGTTACAAAATATCTTAAAATCTCAGAATACTAATCCTTTTGAGCTAAAATTATACCTACCTGCATTAAATATTTTTTTCTACCTTTTTTTGTACTTTTTATAGGTTAGAAAATATTCATGTGTAACACTGTTTTAGAATTTTAGAAGTGAAAATCACATTTTTAAACTTGAATGGAATTAAACCTTTTTTATTTTAATATTATTTTAGTTTTCTAATATATTACTTTATATTATATATATTATTGTTACTCAATTTTTATTACTAAATTATCATTTTTAATTTACTATATTTAATTATTAAAATTTCATTTTTAATATTACTTTGACTTATTTGTGAAATTTTATTTCATTATTTTTGGTAATTTTTTAATTATTATCGTTTATAATATTTTTATTTGATATACCATATTATTATTTTATTATTTTTATAACGTCATTTATTTGATAATAAAATTGTATCTATATAAGTAATATTGTAATTCATTGAATGAGGCAGAGAAAAATAAAAATATGAATAAAAATATATTACAATAATAAAAAAATACAATAAATACATAAGAATTCTGAAAGTATAAAATAATTTAAAGATCTTAAAATTCTTCCTTTTTATTTATGATAAAACCAAATTATATCATTTATTAATTGTTGATGAATTTAATTACTTTAATTTTTTTTTTCTACAAGATGATACAACCCTATTCAATGAACGCGGTTTAAGAGCTTGTTTATTTTTTATGTTTAAAAACAGTTTTTTAAAATAAAAATAAATAAAATTTATTTGTAAACATTGATTTTATTTCTATTTTTTTTCTTAAAAACAGTTTTTAAAATTATTTTAAAATATAATTTTTGAAATAAAAATTAAAACAGAAATAAACAAGTCACTTAATAAAATGTTTTATTTTATTATAAATAAAAGGGAAATCACAAATTGTAATAATTTATTTGAAGATTTGATGGTAATTGGCATTGGAGAGTGGTCAAGGTCAAGCACAAGAAGACTTCGTCTCAGTTGCCACCCTTACCCACCTACCTTCCCTCTGGAATCGCCATTTCTATTTCTCTCTAATTACTGAATTTCATTTCATTTCAATTTCAATTTGTTGGCTTGTAGCGTTGGATGGGAACTCCAGAATTCCCAGATCTGGGAAAGCACTGTGCTGTCTCTGATTGCAAGCAGATTGATTTCTTGCCCTTCACCTGCGATCGCTGCAACCAGGTCTCTTTTTCTCCATTTCTTTCATATTGATATTCTCTTACCATTTTAATTAAAAATATTAAGTATAAAATATTTTTATTAAAAATATCCATAAGATTGTCTGTTGAAATATTCCTACAAAACAACTGGATTTGTGAAATTAGTCCTAAAGATGTATCTTGTTAAATTACTTATATTAATGTGAAATTTGAGGAGAGTTAATCTTGCCCATTTGAAGGAAATTTTATTCATCAAGCTTGAATTTTAATGAATTTGCATGCATGCATGTCCATTGTAATTGCTTCGAATGAATTGAATCTAGTTATTTGGTGAGATGAAATTGTATTCAGGACTTTAGTTACTTCTATAAGTCCCGATTTTGCACAGTGTTGTGGTATATGGCAGTGTACTGGAGTGTATTGATGTTGGTGTTGGTGCTCCCCAGATTGTTCCTAATTCTTTTTTAATTAGTATTGTGCTATCATGTTGATGACTTTGATTGCGCAGCATGCTAATAAGTAGCTCTTCGCTTGCTGTGGTGGTATACATGGGCAAAAATCTCTTTTCGTCCCATAAGCTTATCTCTTTTATACAAATTTCTTGGAATTATAATGCAAAATTGAGTTACTTTTGAGATGGTAAGCTATGGAAGGATGGACTTATTTTATTTTTTATTTTGAAGTAGGAATGAAAAGCTGTTTATTAGTAATTGAGTACACGTCTGCTGAATGAAGCAATGGGAGAAAATGCAGAGAAGACACTGATTACCCTGCCTTCGATAAGAAGTAACTGGGAATGATTGTTAAGAATAGTTATAAAATAGGAGAATGATTATTAAGAGTTGGAGACCAAAACGGTGGAAATGATTGGCTCCTTATGGTTCAAGTTTAAAGTTAATTCCATTTTGACAAGCTTCAAAGTCCTCTAGAGGCCGTGTTTGAAATAGCTTATGAACAACTTTTGTAATAGCCTATAATTCCCATAAGCTTTTTAGCTTATTTAGCTTATCAAAATAAGTTGTTTTCAGTTTATCCAAATAAGTTTCAAGCTTAAATTTACGTATAAGTCATCATTTAAAAAGAATTATTGGAAAAAGCTTAATTAAACTGTATATCCAAATGCATTCCAAATCAAAGTATAATATTATGTGTGAAGGGATGTTGAAATGTTTTAAACATCTAAATATTGGAACTCAACTTAACTCTTACCAACCTAAAATCCCTGGGTTTTCCGCGCTGTTTTATGATTTTTTATTTTGGTTACATATTAATCATTATTCTTCTTTAGCTCTAAGAAACACTTAACTTCATGAGTTCATGCAAGTAACTATATTTCTCATTAGTGATTTTGCCTTATGACATTCTGGGAATTTGTTTAGGTATGGATTAGTTTTTTTTACCTGTGTTCAATTTAAGAGCTTTCTGTTTGACCTAACTGTATCAGCCAAATCTATTGCAGGTGTATTGTTTGGAGCACAGAAGTTACATTAGACATCAGTGTACAAAAGCTGACAAGCTAGATGTCACTGTAGTTATATGTCCCCTTTGTGCCAAAGGAGTTCGCCTAGTTCCTGATCAAGATCCAAACATAACATGGGAGAATCATGTTAACACTGAGTGCGACCCATCAAATTATGAGAAAGTCACAAAGAAGAAAAAATGTCCTGTTCCTGGATGCAGAGAGATCTTAGTATTCTCAAACACAATTAAGTGCAGGGACTGCAATGTGGACCATTGTTTGAAGCATCGGTTTGGACCTGATCATAAATGCCCCGGGCCTAAAAGGTTGGAAACAAGTTTTTCATTCATGAGTCTTTTGAATAGGAGCAGAAAAGAGGAGCCTAAACCCAATTCAAGTTCAACCTCAACATCATCGAAGTGGACTGCAAGCTTTCTGAATGCAGCTTCTAACATTCGAGCTTCAGCTGAGGCTGGCATGTCAAAGTTGAGTGGTGAAATCAACCAGGCCTGGCAGACATCAAGGGATAGCGCAGGACAGAGCCGTAGCAATGGTCAAGTGGAGCAATGCCCTCAATGTGGTGCGAAGTTTTCCTCGGTTACCACTTTGGTGGACCATGTGCAAAAGGTTCATGAAAGGGGTGGCAACCGATCTGGAGCGAAGGTTACAATTGATGTTTGTCCTAAGTGTAGCAGAGGATTTCGAGACCCTGTTTCACTTGTTGAGCATGTTGAGAGGGATCATGGAGGTAGCTCTAGAGCATAGGGGTGGAGTTGATATTGGATGAATTTTAATTTGAAAAAATTGCAGTTTCTACAACAAATAGCATTCTTGTGCCCCATTTTATAGCAACGAAGTGTGAATAACTGAATATGAAACAGATGGAATCATAGAAATTACTCGATTACTTTTTCAATATTAGTTTAAAAGATTCTTCTTTCATGCTTTGAATAACACTGACCGTTTGAATTGACACTTACATCAGATTTGGGCATGGCCAGTCCTGCAGGAATCGCAAATTTGGCATTGATATGCAAGCCTAGTTCAATCAATAGTGGTACTAACCTATGGTTGGACTGCAACTTGAAAAGCTCTTAATTGTTGAAATATATAATATCCTGTTTTAGAATGAAAATGCATGGTCTTGAGTACCAGTTTAAATTTTGATTAGGAACAAATAAATATGAAAATTTTCTGGATCATCACGTTACAATAAAATTAGGATGATTTAGTAGGATTTTAAAGTTGTATGGTTGACGGGCCTCATAAAGGGAGACAAAGGGATGAAAAATAAATCCGAAGGAAATTGGTAAAACTTCCGTTTTAGTCCGCAATGTTTCTAGGGCAAATTATTCTGTTCCTAAATTAAGTAAAACTAAATTATAGTCCTTATTGTTCTAATGGATGTGTTGATTTGAAAGTGTTACATGGTATTTAATGATAAGATGATATAATGTAGTTGAGAGTTTATAGTTGTTTTTCTTAAAATTTGTTAATTTGGTACTTAAAAATAAATTTCAATATCAAAATTTATCATTTTGATCTTTAAAGAATATGTAATTAGTCAAATTGATCTTTAAAGAATTCTTAATTAATCAATTTAGTTTTAATTCAGTTCCTATAATTCTAAATAAAAAAAAATTCCCATTTTCTTCTTTTTTTTTATTCCTTCTCCTACCCTCCTTTCCCCTGTTTCTTCTCTCTCTCAAAATTTTAAACTCATCAATCCTTATAATCAAGGCATTACATTTTAGAACCAAACCACTAATCCTAGTGTTGTTGCCAGCACTAACCATTGTTAACTCCTCCATTGCCCAGCCACAACAATTTTGTCACCATTCATTACAATGTCACTACAAATTCAGAAGTCATCACAAGTTAAATATTGAAGAAATACCATATTATCACCTCTCAATTACAGCCATCATTGCTTTATGTTCCCTCATAGACCTCATCATCCACATTGGAATTGACAATCCAAATACACGATTATCATGCTAAACCAATCACCTCATTGCTAGATCCTACAAACTTAGCCACAATTAATCATTTTATTCTGGGTTATATGAACCAAATTGATTAATTAGATATTTTTAGGACCAATTTAATTTATTAAAGATTTACATTCACATGCATTTTAGGAAGGGAAAATCAAAAATATCAATTGGGTCCTAAATTTAGTTCTTAAATATAAAAGCTAAAATAACAAGTTCACATGACACTTCTTTTCAAACTGTGCAGAAAAATAAATCAACCGAAGTACCAAACCAACATAAAAATAGAAAAAATATTGATTGGCACTAACATTAACTAGCGACAGACAAAATTTTCTTCAACTTCTAAATTAGCTCTCATCTCCTTCTTGTTTGTAAATCCATTGAGGATCATTGCAAAACAGTGATAAAAATCCTTAGTAAGTTAATGAATTTAACTTGCAATAAAGTTGAGAACATGAAGAGAATAAATATTGAAAGGGTATCATTTACCTATCCATGATGGTTGCAAATGTTGAGAATGATGATTTGATATGGTGAAGCAAAGCTTTGCTTGGGTTTCAAAATAACCATCACGTTGAGAGCATAAAAGTGAAATTTATAAGATAATATAAAACAAAAACAATGATATGCATATTACAGATTAATACGTGAATGTATTTAGTGGAGAGGGAGCAACATCTTACTATCAACAACATAAAATAAAGGGGCTTAAATGGTTTTTGTCCAAAATAATTCAACAAAAGTAAAAAAATATTTGCACAAAATAAATTAAAGATTAGTTCAAAATTAGTTCATAAAATCACTTTGTTTAAACATTTGATAATGTTAAAATGAAAATACAAGAACCTACACTTTGTCCTCAAGGATTCTACATAGTCCTTGATCCAAAATAAACCCAATTGATATTCATCCCAAAAATAGCATTTATTCAAACAGTCTTTTTATATCTCAGGCTTCAAAATGTCATTGCTAAGAAAAAAAATATCAAGGCAGAAAGTTACAAAAATAAAGTTAAATAAAAAAGTGAAAAGAAAATAAACAAAGACAGTATGTCAAAAAAATAAACAACTTACCATATAAGCAACCTTAGTTAATATTGATTGGCTGAGATAAACTAGTAAAACTTTAGGTCCAATCCCTCCAGCCACAAGTGCAACACCTCCAATAATTGACAAGTCTAAAATACATGAGATCAACCAAAAATAGCAACAATAAACTACCTGTTATAGCAGACTCTAAAATTTCAAAGTCTTCATTAATGTCCTTATCCTTAAATTGGAAAAGAGAGGGTTTTAACCAATTTTGGGTAGAAATGAGTGCTTCAGTCATTTGTGGAGATAAGGAACTTCTGAAGTTGTCCAACACCTTACCCCCAGTGCTAAATACACTTTTGGATGCAACAGTTGAAACTAGAACAACAAGTACGTCTCTTGCCAAAGTGGAGAGTATTGGAAAACGTGAATTGTTCTATTTCTACTATAATAGAAGATCAAATTTATCACTAAAACTCAACCATAATTCAGCAAGATAGCTCTTAAGTTTATTTTTTTCATCAATTGAACTTTTCTCTCTTAAATGTTGTTAGTAAGTATCAGCCCTTGCAAAACGGGCAACAACTTGACGAGTAAAAGTTTGAGCTAAATTCTCGTGTAAAGAAACTTGAGAAGATTGTGTAGTCTTATGTTGTCGTTCATGGAGAGCAACATACCAAGCATACAATTGAAAAGCTTATGTTTGACATCAACAGATAGTTTCCTTACAAAATTTGTGTCTTTTAGGTACATGTCTTTAAAAGATCACTCAACATAAGTCAACTTGTATCTAGGATCAAGAATTACTCCAAAATAAAGAAGCTGGTTTATGTGTTCCACTTGACCCTAATACTTCTCATACTTCTTTTTCATCTCGAACCCTATATTGGCAAGAATTGTGTTCAGATTCATTGCATAATGATTCAACTCAATGAGAATTTCAAAAAGTTGGCGGAAGACAATATGAATAGTGACATGGGTGGAAGCAAAAAGGATCTTTGTTGTGTAACGCCCCAAATTTTGGTAATATTAATTATTACTGTTCTTATATATATATATATATATATATATATATATATATTCATATGTGTGTTGATTTATTTGAAAATGATGTTTATGTGTATTAAGTACATGGATGTGTGTATATACGTGTATGTATGACTGGATGGGCTAAAAATAGGCTAAGTTCCTAAGTGCAGGGCGTAACACTGGACTGTTCTCGCTGCAGCGAGAGGATTCTCGTTGTAGCGAGAGGGCCCTAGGAACATGACTGAAACTGTCATCTTCTCGCTGTAGCGAGAGACGTCTCGATGTAGTGAGAGGGTCTCGTTGTAGCGAGATTCTGCAGAAATCAGAATGCAGTGTTATCTGGTTTTTTTGCTGTAGCGATAAGGCGTGTCGCTGCAGCAAGGGGGCCTCGCTGTAGCGAGAGTGTCGCGACCAGAAAAGGATTTAAAGGGGGTTAGGGTTCGGAGAGAGTGATTTCTCCCTCTACCTTTGAAATCCCTTCGATTCTCTCACTCTCAAACCCTATTCCACCAATTAATTGCCTCCAAAGCAGTTTAAGAGCAAGATTGGAGCTCGAATTTGTGTGAGAAACGCTTGGAGGTGAGTTTTAAATGGTTAGGATTTTCATTTTTCCTTCCCTTTCTCTGTTCTTAGTAATTTTCAGGGTTCTCATGAAATTCTTCCATGTGTTTAGGCCGAAAGCCGTGTGGGGAGCATTTCCGTGGTTGAGTTCGGGCGTGGGTCTTCAATCCAAAGTAAGGAGGGACTCTACCCTACTCTTTGTATGCGATTTATTGTTATTTAGCTGAATATTGTGATGTGGCTGACTAGAGAATAGGAAATTACTGTGAAATATGATGTGGGTCATGTGCTGTGATATATGAATATTATGTGTATGGATGAGAGAATATGTGGTTGATGAAATTTTGCTATGTATTGCGGTGTGTGAACAAATATGGGCCAGAGGGCTGTGTAATATAGATGAATGTTGGCTATGTGTCATGTAATGTGAAATGAATGTGGACTGTGTGCCGTATGTAAGTATGATTATTGCATGCGTGAATGAAATATGTGTGAATGAGCATGGTAGTACCGTTGTAATGTGTTGTGAATAGTTCAGCGATACACTGGAGGTGTGGGAAAAGAGGACGGTAGAAATACCTTGGGGAAGAGGGAGTGGTGGTGACACTGACTGTGGAACGGGTGTACCACGGGCCACATACTCTCTTCCTGACTAGACCTCTGACCATTATTTTTATTGAGCGACCCGTGACTGCCCACGTGGTATCCGTGAGGCGGGAGTAACCGGCGACCATTTATGGTGTAAATCTGTGATCATAGTATCAATGTAAGTGTGGCTGGCGTGCGTATGTATGGGTTCATGAATTGTGCTTATGGATGTGATAATGCTGCCTGTGCTTGTATTTGTTTAATGTATTAGAAATGTGCTGGATGTGAGACTCTATGCTTAATTGTATGTTTTGGTAGTGTAGAGTACTCACCCTTACATTCATTTTTCAGGTAATCAAGACGATCAACACCGGACTCAGTGAAAGGGGCAGATGGAACTACTATAGGACTAGGAGTTTAATTTGAAACTAATGTATTTGAATGGGTCCTATAGTAGTGACTTGATAGAAATTGTAACCCCTTTCCTTATTTTAAAAGTATTTGATGAAGTCAAGAATTGAAAACCTTATTTGAAATGAAATTTATTTTATTCTGAATTTGCAAAATTATGATTTATTGAAATTAAACATAAGGTGTTACAATTTTGGTATCAGAGCAGTTCATCGAAACCTGACTGGGGTATCGGGCTGAAGCGTCCAAGATAAGTGTTGATCATTTTGTTTGCCTGAATTATAATGTATCAATTGATCTAATATGCTGGAATGTGATTGCTGATTTGTTGTAGCTAGATTGAATATGTCTGGTAGAGGTAGAGGAGTTAGAGGCAATAATAACCTCATGGAATGAATAGCTCAGATTCTGGAAGCCATGGTGCATAATCAAGGCGGAGAGCTGGCTGAGTATAGAGGGTTATCTGCCTTCACTAGGCATGATCCTCCAAAGTTTGAAGGTGGATTCAATCCTGAAGTAGCCCAAAGGTGGGTGGCTGATGTGGAGAAGATGTTCAATGTAATAGGGTGCCATGAGGAGAACAAGGTTGCTTATGCCACCTACTTGCTGTGTGGGGAGGGTGAGGACTGGTGGAGGTTTGCCGGTCAGACCTTGCCACAAGAGGATGGCTACATCCAGTGGAAGACATTCAAAATCATATTCCTAGGAAACTACTTTCCCCGGAACCTAAGGAAGCAGAAAGCTAGGGAGTTCCTTGAACTGAAGCAAAGAAGTATGACTGTGGGAGAGTATGCGGCTAAGTTCCAGGAGCTGATGAAGTATTGACCTCATTATCAGCATGGTGATAGAGAAGAGGATCTGTGTGCTCAGTTTCAGCATGGATTGAGGTTAGACATCCGGGCTGCAGTCAATGTGTTTCAGCTGACAGATTAGCCTACCCTGGTGAGCAAGAGCAGAATTTTTGAAGCTAACTCAAGAGGAAAGACGGTGGACACTAGGGGAGCCGGCCCAGTGAGGCAAGATAGAAGACCTTCTAGGTTCTCAAGGGGACCGTATTCAGGTTCGAACAGTTCTCAATCCCGAGGAAGTTCTTCCCAAGAAAGGAGTAGTGGAAGTGGTTCAGGATCGAGTTCTTTCAGAGGGTCGCTTAAGTGCTTCAAGTGTGGAGGGTCACACATGGTGAAGGACTGCCCACAGCCGAGGATAACTTGTAGCAACTGTGGGAAGTTGGGGCACATTGTCAATGAGTGCTGGGCCGCTAAGAGGGGAGGTAGTGCAAGTACAGCTCAGAGGCCAGAATCAAGAGAAAGTAGGGGCCAAGTACGGGGCAGAAGCCGAGCATCCCTGGGAGAGTCTTTGCTATGAGTGGGGCAGAGGCTTCACAATCTGAGGAGCTGATCCGAGGTAAATGTATAATTAAAGGCAGATTATTTGATATGTTATTTGACTCGGGTGCTATGCACTCTTTTATATTTGTGGACTGTGTGAAGGGTCTGGGCTTGTATGTGACCGAACTGCCATATAATGTGGTGGTGACTACCCCTACGGGTAAGCTGGTTGTGACGTCATGAGTGTGTTTGGGGTGTGCAATGATGGTACATGGTAGAAAGTTTGAGGTGGACTTGATTTGCTTATCTTTTTCGCAATTGGATGTAATTCTGGGAATGGATTGGCTTGCTGTCAACCATGTGCTGCTGGACTGTAAGGAGAAGACTTTGATCTTCGATGAGACAATGATAGAGGTTCCAAGGCTTATGAGCCAGGGAGCGTGGGAGAACACGGTGAATGCCAAGGCCTTTATGGTTATGTTTTCAAGGGAAGCCGAAAGTGTGGTGGAGCTGGAGTACATTCCAATAGTAAAGGATTTCTTGGAGGTGTTTCCCGAAGATGTTTCCGAGCTGCCACTTGAGAGGGAGATAGAGTTTGCTATTGACCTCATTCCAAGAGCAAGCCCAATTTCTGTGGCACTTTAGAGGATGTCACCTGTGGAGTTGGCGGAGGTCAAGAAGCAAGTAGAAGATTTGTTGCAGAAATGGTTTGTGAGACCGAGTGTGTCACCGTGGGGAGCACCAGTGCTCTTGGTGAAGAAGAAAGATGGAAGCATGAGGATGTGTGTGGATTATCGGCAGTTGAATAAGGTGACAGTCAAGAACAAGTACCCACTTCCGAGGATCGATGATTTGATGAACCAATTAAGGGGAGCAGCAGTGTTTTTGAAGATCGATTTGAGATCAGCATACCATCAAATCCGAGTGAAGGATGCAGATGTGCCTAAGACGGCGTTCAGGACGTGGTATGGTCACTATGAGTATTTGGTTATGCCGTTTGGGATGACCAATGCGCCTGCGGTGTTCATGGACTACATGAATAGGATCTTCCACGAGTTTTTGGATAAGTTTGTGGTGGTGTTCATAGACGACATCCTTATTTATTCAAAGACTCAGGAGGAGCACACCGAGTACTTGAGGATTGTCCTACAAATTCTGAGGGAGAGATAACTGTATGCGAAATTCTCCAAGTGTGAGTTCTGGTTGTCAGAGATTCAATTTCTGGGACATGTAGTGTCGAAGGAAGGTATTATGGTAGACCCTGCAAAAGTGGAAACAGTGCTGAATGGCCGAGGCCGACAAATGTGATTGAAATGTGCAGTTTTCTCGGATTGACGGGCTATTAGAAGAAATTCATTGAGGGATTTTCTAAGATAGCGTTGCCTTTAACGAAGCTGACTCACAAAGGAAAGGAGTTCAAGTGGACCAAGGGGTGTGAAGCTAGTTTCTTGGAGCTGAAGATAAGGCTGACTTCAGCGCTGATGTTGGCTCTACCCGACCTAGAGCAGAAATTTGATGTGTATTGTGATGCATCCAAGCAAGGACTTGGTTGTGTCTTGATGCAAGACGGGCGAGTAGTTGCTTATGTCTCAAGACAGTTGCGTCCGCATGAGGTCAACTATCCGACACACGATCTGGAGTGAGCTGCGGTGGCGTTTGCTCTTAAGGTATGAAGGCATTACCTATATGGGGCATGGTTCGAGGTGTTAAGTGACCACAAAAGCTTGAAGTATCTATTTGATCAAAAGGAACTGAATATGCGGCAAGGAGATGGATGGAGTTTCTCAAGGACTACGACTTCACATTGTTTTACCACCCTGGCAAGGCAAATGTGGTAGCCGATGCTTTGAGCCAGAAATCGTTGCATGTGGCAGCAATGATAATGAAAGAGATGGAGTTGATTGAGAAATTTTGGGACATGAATTTGGCCATGGAGGTGAGGCCGAGGAGTTTGTATCTTGGAGCAACGATGATTCACAACGACTTTCTGGTGTACATCCAAGATGCTCAGCAGGGATATGCCTTCCTAGAGGACATGATGAGACAGAAGAATGAGGGAAAGGACTTGGATTTCCACCATGATGAGAACAAGGTGATTAAGTTGAGGAATCGAGTGTGCATTCCTCAAGTGGCTGAGCTGAGACAGATGGTGCTTGAGGAAACGCATAAGAGCAGGATGAGTTTTCACCCTAGTGCAACTAAAATGTATCAGAATCTTCGGAAGATTATTTGATAGAATGGTATGAAGAAGGATGTGGCTGAATATGTGGCTAAATGCCTAACTTGCCAGAAGGCGAAGGTAGAGCATCAGCGTCCACTTGGGTTGTTACAGCCGTTGGAAATCCCTGAGTGGAAATGAGATAGTATTTCCATGGACTTTGTTTTTGGGCTACCTAAGACCAAGAACAACCATGATGCCATCTGGGTGATAGTGGATCGGTTAACTAAGGCTGCACACTTTCTTCCGATCAACATGAAGTATAAATTGGAGCGACTTGCGGAGTTATATGTGTGGGAGATAGTCAGGCTACATGGAGTGCCGACTAGTGTGGTGTCAGACAGAGATCCGAGGTTTACCTTGAGGTTTTGGGAGAGCCTGCAATGGGCGTTGGGGATTAAGTTGAGACTGAGCTCAGCTTATCACCTACAGACTGAGCGAACCATCCAATCCTTGGAAGACTTGTTGAGGGCTTATGTACTCGAGCAACAAGGAACTTGGAAAGAGTGTTTGCCGCTAGTGGAATTCACGTACAACAACAGTTACATGCTAGTATTGGAATGGCACCGTTTGAGGCCTTGTATGGGCGGAGGTGCAGGACTCTGTTGTGTTGGTATGAAACCGGAGAGGCGACTCTGTGTGCACTGGACATGATCCAAAGGCAGAATGAGCAAATCAGAATGATCAAAGATAAAATGAAGGCTACGCAAGACAGGTAAAAGAGCTACTATGATAAATGGAGGAAATCATTAGAGTTTCAGGTGGGTGACCACGTATTTCTGAAGGTCTCACTTGTAACCGGAGTTGGGAGAGCTCTGAAGTCTCGGAAGCTGTCTCCTTAGTTTATTGAACCGTTTGAAGTGCTGAGTAGAATTGGTCCTGCTGCATACCGGATCACGTTGCCTCTGAACCTCTCGAATCTACATCCGGTGTTCCATGTGTCACAGCTTAGGCAATATGTGTCGAATCCTTCTTAGGTGATTGATCTTGACCCGGTTTAAGTGAGAGAGGACTTGTCGTATGACGTATACCCGGTAAGGATTACGGATCACCGGTTAGGTAATATGGAGCTCAAGTGATGAGAGAGATGCCACATGGGAAACAGAGAGTAGAATGAGAGAATTGTATCCAGGGTTGTTCTTGTAACTGTGTGTGTTTGGGTGAATTTCGGAGATGAAATTCCTTAAAGGTGGGGGAGTTGTAACGCCCCGAATTTTGGTAATATTAATTATTATTGTTCTTATATATATATATATATATATATATATTTATATGTGTGTTGATTTATTTGAAAATGATGTTTATGTGTATTAAGTACATGGATGTGTGTATATGCGTGTATGTATGATTGGATGGGCTGAAAATGGACTAAGTGCCTAAGTGCAGGGCGTAACACTAGGCTGTTCTCGCTGCAGCGAAAGGATTCTCGCTGTAGCGAGAGGGCCCTGGGAAAAGGACTGAAACTGTCACCTTCTCGCTGTAGTGACAAAGCGACAGTTTAGGGTGCATTTCTGGATGCAGTCTTGCTATAGTGAGATTCTGCAGAAATCAGAGTGCAGTTTTCTTTGGTTTTTTTGTGGTAGCGAGAGGGCGTGTCGCTGCATGCGTGAATGAAATATGTGTGAATGGGCGTGTTAGCACCGTTGTAATGTGTTGTGAATAATTCAGCGATACACTAGTGGTGACACTGACTGTGAAACGGGTGTACCACGGGCCACACACTCTCTTCCTAACTAGACCTCTGACTATTACCTTTGTTGAGCGACCTGTGACTGCCCACGTGGTATCCGTGAGGCGGGAGTAACCGACGACCATTCATGGTGTAAATCTGTGATCACAGTGTCAATGTGAATGTGGTTGGCATGTGTATGTATGGGTTCATGAATTGTGCTTATAGATGTGATAATGCTGTCTGTGCTTGTATTTGTTTAATGTATTAGAAATGTGCTGGATGTGAGACTCTATGCTTAATTGTATGTTTTGGTAATGTAGAGTACTCACCCTTACATTCATTTTTCAAGTAATCAAAACGATTAGCACCAGAATCAGTGAAAGGGGCGGATGGAACTGCTATAGAACTAGGAGTTTAATTTGAAACTAATGTATTTGAATGGGTCCTGTAGTAGTGACTTGATAGAAATTGTAATTCCTTTCCTTATTTTAAAAGTATTTGATGAAGTCAAGAATTGAGAACCTTATTTGAAATGAAATTTATTTTATTTCAAATTTGTAAAATTATGATTTATTGAAATTAAACATAAGGTGTTACATGCTGCATCATGAAAATTTTTTAGAAACTTAACAAAAACCTTGCATTCTCCTAATCACTACTATATAGAGGAGTTGCACTTGTAAAGAAGGCTCTAAAACAACTATCTTCAAAATCTAACTTCTCAAACGCAGCTTGAAACTTTTCAACAACTTCTAGCATGAGTTATGTTGAGTTTTAATGATGGAAATATCAAGACATACTAACTTCTTACAGGAAATTGTTAAAAGATGAACACACTTCTTGAATTTGGCTAGCCTTTGAGGAGATAACCACACATATCTAATAGCAGTTCTGATGGTAGATATAGAGGCATGTATATCCTTTAAACCATCATTCACTACTAAATTTAAAATGTGTGCATAATGTCAGAAAAACACAAGACACATCAAAAGATAACAAGTTAGAGTATTTCTGTGATAAGATTGATTGCCTTCCTTGAGACCCTGTCTCTCTTTAAATATTAATTGTGAAACTTTACAAAAAGGAATATGTTGTAAATGTTCCTCTAATACAACAGATTTTCAGGGATTATAAACAACTTCCTAAAACTGATATCTATATATGATAATAAAATAATTCTGCAATAAACAAGTATCAATTACAACAAATATGTACAGTTGTATTGAGATATTGACATCTCCCCTCAAATTGATGTTGGTAAGTCAACCAGTAGCAATCTGTCAACAAGAAACTTATGTCGTGACTTTGTCATTGCTTTAGTAAAGATATCTACTACTTGGTGGGTAGTGGAAATATAAGGAAGGGAGATAAGTTGTTTGTTGAAGACCTCTCTAATATAATGGCAATCCACCTCGATGTGCTTGGTACGTTCATGGAAAACGGGATTGGTTGCGATCTGAATGGCACTTGTATTATCAGCATATAATGGCGTGGAATCAGATAGTGCAAAGCCAAGTTCCTCTAAAAGACTTCGCAGCGAAACAATTTCTGAACTAGCAGATGACATTGCACGATATTCAGCATCAGTGGATGATTTAGCCACTCGATCTTGTTTCTTACACTTCCAAGATATCAATGCATCACCTAGAAACACACACCAACCTGTAGTTGATCGGCAACAGTCGGGATAGCCGCCCCAATCAGCATCATTATAAGCTATGAGCTGCAAAGATTTACCAAAAGAAAAATACAACCCACGTATAGCAGTGCTAAGGAGGTAGCAAATAATACAACGAACAGCAGCAAGATGGAGATGTCGAGGAGAGGACATAAACTGACTAACTTGGTTAACTGCATATGAAATGTCAAGGCGAGTGATTGTTAAGTATATAAGACTTCCAACCAAACGTCGATAGAGAGTAGGATCAGGCAGCAAATCTCCTATGGTTTTGCTGTGTTTCACATTGACTTCCATAGGAGTATCCACCGAACTAGCACCATGTAAACCTGCCAAAGCCACAAGGTCTTGGATATATTTATATTGATTCACAAAAATTCCATTTGACCGATGATGAACTTCTAGACCCAAAAAATATGTGAGATGACCCAGATCCTTCGTGTGAGAAGTAGAATTAAGCATTTCTTGAAGCTTGGAAATTAAGCTTCTATCTGAGCTAGTGATAACAATATCATCCACATAAATTAAAAGAAGAAATATCCCTGTAGAAGACTTATGAAAGAAAAAAGAATAATCATTGTGACTTTGTGAACAAGAGAAGTTGAGAAGTGTACGGCAAAACTTCTCAAACCAAGCGCAAGGTGCCTGCTTAAGTCCATATAAGGACCATTTTAATCTACAAACATTTTGAGGAGAAGAAGTAGACAAACTAGGAGGAAGTTTCATGTAAATTTCTTCATTAAGATCACCATGTAGAAAACCATTTTTCACATCCATTTGATGAAGTGGCCAAGATTGGGATGCAGCAATAGCAAGTATAGTTCTAATAGTAGTTAATTTAGCCACAGGAGCAAATGTCTCCTCATAATCAATTCCATATTCTTGCTTATTACCAAGAGCCACAAGACGTGCTTTATAAAGATCCAAAGAACCATCAGAATGTAGCTTAATAGAAAAAACCCATTTACTCCCAATGGGTTTAATATTCGATGGACAAGGAACAATGTCCCAAGTTTGATTCTCTTTAAGAGCCTCCAATTTCGCTTGAATAACTTGTTTCCAACACTCTTGTTCCATTGCCTGTTTATAACTTGATGGAACAGAAATAGAAGTCAAAGTAGTACTGAAGGATACATGGAAAAGAAAACCATACCAATCTGGAGGTCTAGATGACCGAGTGGATCGACAAATAGGAGGCACGATAGGATCTTGTGCCGGGCTAGGGTCTGGATGAGAGCCTAACTTGTTACGATGTCTTTCATACACAACACCAGGTTTGAAACGTTCCACCGTGGTTGAATCATTTGAAAAGTGAGGCATAAGTGAAAGTGAAGAAGATTGTGGTTCAACATATGATTGAAAAAAAATTATTTTTCAAAAAAAATAACATTCCTAGATATTCTCATGCGATGAGCAGATGAATCATAACAAATATAACCTTTTTGTGAATTAGAATAATCCAAGAAGGCACACTTAACTGATTGAGCAGCAAGTTTATGACGCTTATGAATAGGAAGATGCACAAAACAAACACAACCAAATGTACGAAAACCAGAAGAAGAAGGAGTATATCCATGCAACTTATGAAATGGTGAAACATTACCTAACACGGGAGATGGAAGACGGTTTATTAAATGAACTGCAGTAGAAAGAGCTTTACACAAAAAACGAGGAGGAACAGATGATTCAAGAAGAAGAGTTCTAACAACATCAAGAAGGTGACGATTCTTTCTTTCGGCTATGCCGTTCTGTTGCGATGTTGAAGGACAAGAGTGTTGAGAAATTATTCCCTTGTTTTGTAGAAAGATCTGAAATTCTTTAAACATATATTCCCAACCTGAATCAGATCTCAAAATTTTTTATATGCTTTGAGAATTGAGTCTCAATGAAGGCTACAAAACGTTTAAAATTTGAGAAAATCTCTATTTTAGACTGAAGAAAATACACCCATGTAAAGCGACTGCAATCATCTATGAAAGTAACAACATACTTATAGTGTGCATGAGTAATAACAGGAGCAATACCCCAAACATCACTATGGATTACATCAAAACATTTAGTTGCATGGAATGAATTAGAAGGAAATGGCAGAACTTTACTTTTTCCCAATTTACATGTGGTACAATCAAAGGAAACATCAAGAATGTGAGAATTTTTATTGCCCAATGAACCAGATTTAAGCAAGGTACAAAGAATGTAAGGATTGGGATGGCCTAAAAGCTTATGCCACTCTTGGTTACCAATTTTTGCATCAATACAAGCAAGTCAAAGTAAAGGAAATCTAGGACAAGTTCCAAAAGAAGGTAATCTAGGAAGTTGTATAGGAAAAAGTCGTCTTACTTTAGGCCCCTTTGCGATTATTTTCCTCGACACTTGATCCTGCACAATACAACCAAAAGAAGAAAATTGCACATTACAATCATGGTCTACTAATTGTCCAACAGAAATAAGATTAGTAGATAGTCCAAAAGACACAAAAACATTAGTTAGAGATGGAGAAATATCACCAACAACACTTATATCCAGAGAATTTCCATTAGCAGTATGTATTTTTTGAGTTCCATCATATTTTTGAACATTGGACAGAGGTACAGTTGTATTTGTCATATGATTAGAGGCTTCAGAATCAATATACCAAGGCAGAGAATGAGAATTGGAACTACTTGAGAATCCAAATGCAGAAAAAACAGAAAATATCATCTGCTGTACCATTTCAGGAGTGAGTGTATTTGGATTTTGAGACGAGGTTGAAGGTGCAGCTGTATCTGGTTCGATCATAGGAGTAGCAGCAGAACTTGACGCACCAACTGAGGCATGATATGCAGTTCCTTCCCTCCTTACAGGTCGTGTGGGACATGAGGAAATGATGTGTCCCCATTGTTTGCAATAATTACAAAATTTCTGCGAACAATCCTTTGCAATGTGACCAAATCCTTTACAACTATAGCATTGAATACCACGAACATCTTTCCCTTTGCTTCTTCCATGTGCTGCATAGGCTACATTAATTAGGTCATTAGCATTAGCTTTCTGTTCCATTGATGCTTGAGTCAGTAAGCGTTGTTCTTTTCGAAGAAGTGCACTCAAACAAGCATCTAAGGACGGTACAGGATCGCGGTTCATCAGATTAGAATGAGCCATTTTAAAGTCTGGACACAACTTCATCAAAAATTGGTTCCTCTTACTGGATTCATGTACTTTTATGATAGCAGTGAGAGCTACATCAGGAACATCACCCTAAACAATATCTGAATATTCTCCCCAAAGGTTCTAAAAAGCAGAGAAATATTCTTCTATTGAAAGACTTCCTTGTGTGAAATTTGCCATCTCATACTCAAGTTTAAATTTTCTTGTTAAGTTTTCTTGATGGTAAACCTTTTTAAGATATTTCCACATTTCCTTGGCAATCTTATAAGGTCTCAAATTGAGAACAATGTGAGGCTCCACTGAGCTCATTATCCACGTCATGACACGAGCATCCTTAATTTTCCATTTTGCCAAGGCCTCTGCATCTTTGGGAGCTGGATCCTTCCCATCAATATGACCTCATAATTCTTTCCCTTTCACAAACAATTTGAACTGAAATTCTCAAACAAAGTAATTTTTTCCATTAAAACGAACATGGGAAGATTCTACTTTCTCACAAGACATGATGCACCAAGAAAACACAAAAGCAACAACCAAGAAATGTGTTGAGATATGTCCAAGACACAAATAACCAAGACAAGGAAACTGACCACGGTTTAAAGTTTTAGCTCTGATAACATGTCAGAAAAACACAAGACACATAAAAAGATAACAAGTTAGAGTATTTCTACGATAAGATTGCTTGCCTTCCTTTAGGCCCTGTCTCTCTTTAAATATTAGTTGTGAAACTTTACAAAAAGGAATATACTGTAAATGTTCCTCTAATACAACAGATTTTCAGGGATTATAAACAACTTCTTAAAACTGATATCTATATATGATAATAAAATATTTCTACAATAAACAAGTTTCAATTACAACAAATATGTACAACTGTATTGAGATATTGACACATAATACTTCATGTGAAAAAATTTCTCACCTAAGACTAGCCCATTGAAAAGCTTCAATCTATTCTTCAAATAGTTGACAACCACAGTCAACAGTAATTGTGATGACATTTCTAAGTCTCCACTCTCTCAAAATTTCTTCATCATGCATTCCTATGGTTTCACCTCTATGATTGGGAACAACTAAAAAGCCATAATTTTTTTTTTCTAGTAGTTTCACTCCTTATTAATAGAATGAGTTGTCAATGTTAAGTAGTTTAAATTTTTAATTGAAGTTCAGCAATCAGTAGTGAGTGTGATGCTACTGCAATTAGACATAAAAAAAAGCCTTAAGTTTAATTTTTTCATCCAAAAACAGCTGGTAACAGTCTCTAGTGAGTGTTTGACGAGATAGAAGAGGGAATTAAAGTTGAAGTTGATTGACAAGTAACCTAAATCCTCACCCTCAACTATTCTAAAAGGTTGTTAATCTAAAATCATAAACTTTACAACAACTTTTTTACAAGCTTCTAAATTAAATCTTAGGTTGGCCGCACTCAACATATTACTATCAGACCTAAAAGTGATATTTATGACAAGTACAAAGGTGACTTTCCAAATTAGGTGTTTTATGAATTTTAGAGTGACAATTATCATTTACTAGAGGTAGTTTGGTGATATTACAATGAAAATGGAGACTTAAGATTAGAAAGGTGTAGGGTACGTAATGTATAAGCAAGGCAATGTGGAGTTGTATGGTACTTGAAAAGGCAGTGAAAGGAGCTTTACTTTTAAACCGTTTGAATTTGCATGTGCATGCATGTGAAATGTTTATTATGGCATGTTATGTTAAGTGTTGAAATTCCTTCGTCTATGTCTCAATCATTACTCATGATGACATTTATTCATTCCATTGCTTCGTTCTAAAAGCGAAAACAAAGCTACATCAACCTGTTATTAACTTTAGGTGGCATCTTACATGGACCAGTGCCAAATTTCTTCACATCATCCTTCAATGGCTCATTGCATTATTTTAATTTTTACAGTTTTGTACTTATGATTGCTTTAATTGCCACTTAGACTCAGTTTAAATAAGTTTTTAAATAAAATTTATGAGATAAAATATTATATAAAAATAAATAATTTTTCATAAATTAAAAGTTAAAAAATGTATAAGTTTTTAATTTCTAAGAGTTTAATTTATTTTCCTATTTAAAATTTTACTCATACTTATTGAGAAGGAACCCAAACTGAACCTTATTCTTTATACCATTTTCATACAGTAAATTCTATTAATTAAAAAATTGTTTTTAATCCTTTTTTTTTAATTTAAAAGTATTTCATTATGACCGATAAAACAAATATTTTACAACTAACCAATCTTTCTTGACTTGATTTTTATCTGCATTTATTTAAAAGTTTTGATCTGGTCTTACTAATTGCTAGTTAAACCGACTATCACTCACATTTAATTAAGCTTTTTAATATTTTATTCTTTCTTAATTTTTTTATCACCTAATTGTGCTTGTTCATTTAAAAACTGATTAAACTAATTTAAATAATAAAAGCTTTATTCATGTTTTCCTTTTCACACATACGTTCTTTTGTGATGTCCACATATAGTTTTTTAAATTTATTTTGTTGACTATTAGATTTTTTTTAATTTTTACTATTAGCCTAAATGAAACTAAATCGAAACATTATTGGAGTAAAATAAATTAAAATAGAGACAAAAAAAATCTTTGGGCAGTGAAACTAAGTTTTCTTCCAATTAAATTGGACATATTACATAAATTTACACAACTCATATATAGTATAGATATAGTTGTTATATTTGAACTTCTTATCATTAATAAAAGCTAATTCTTGTCCATTGGTTGCTTATGAACCTCCATTGATGTTATTGATAAGATTCGAAACAACTATTTTATGGAAGTTTGAGTTAGAATGAAGATATGAGACAAAACCTAAGGCTAAGCTAAGCTAATAAGGCGAAAACAAACGCCTTGCCATTGCACTCTAGGCTGCGAATGTGATTTGCTAGGGTTTGCTCCTATCTCTACCAAGACTATTTTACAAAGCCAAAAAAATTACTTTTATAGCAAGACTAAATTGTGATACCCATAAAATTTCTGGTAACAAGTACTAAAGCTTAGTTTGGATTAACGTATAATAAGCACTCAGAAGATAAAAATAAGAAAATAAGATGAATCGATTTTTTTTCATAAATTAAAATTAATTTACTGTTTTTTATTTTCTAATTTTTTTAATTTATTCAAAACATGAAGTACATAAGTTGATTTTATTTTATAAAATACCTTTTTAATTATTTTACTTTATATTTCTTTCATCTGTAAATACTTCTATATAAATTTACCACAAAACTGATTCTATGCCATTAATTTGATCCATTTTTTTTTCTAATTTATCCTACGACTGTTGTTAAATGGTCCGTGCGAGGACCATGTTAAAAGCCACCTTCTCTCTAATTGTCATAAATTCCTCTCTTTTTTCCTTTACCTATGAAATGTCTGTCATGCACATCTTCTTTTCTTATTAATTTTTATTTGCCTTCCACTTTTCGTTGACAATATACTTTATGATTGGTGTTTTATTTTTTATATTATTTTTTATTTAAACTACAGTTACTTTCATGAAAGGAAATAATGTTAGAGGATTAGAGTAATTTTTTAAGAATATTAGCAATATAATTTTTAACACGCTTGTTAATATATTTTTAATTATTAATTAAAATTAATTTAAAACTACAAAAATAATATGAATTTTACTTCTTTTCAATTATAATTTAATATTTTTTTCTCATACTTTTATAATTTTTAATAATTAAAGATACGTTAAAAAATTTCTTGTTATCATTCCTATTTTTCATATACAAGGCTTGAATTTGAATTTTTTTTTAATATATATATATATATTAAATAATTATCAATATTTTTTTATCTTAATTATAAGAATATTATTAAATGTATTAATTATTAAATTCTTTTTATACTATTATTTTATTTTAAAGTTACACTAACTAAGAACCCACTTAATTCCCATGCAAGTCATTAGCTTAGTGAGTAAAAAACTTATCAAAATTTTTAAACCAGTTTTGATTATACTACTGCTGTTGCCGTTACTGATAAAGTGTTAAGTGCTTAAATTCAACCTTACATGTCGAGATTAATAAATTTTTAAATAAATATATTTTACCAGTCGACATTTAATCTAATATGAGTTGTTCATTGTCGTGGAGATCGAAATGATGATGTAAGTGAAGTGATATTTAATGCCTTCTTTTGCCAACCTAGTGACCAACGGCCAAAGAAATCTAATTCTAAAGTTCATAGTTTATAAGTTCAAAGAGTTTATAAAAACTAATTTTTGTTTAGAGTTCGTGATTATGTTGGTATAAACGAATTTGCACTCAAATATTTTAATTAAAAGATTTGATAAAACCTTCTGTGCTAAAACCTGTATGAATCAATGATTAGCATTATCTACTGAATGAGATAAGGTTTAACATTTTCCTCATTTTAGTTTAATTTAAAAAGGAAAAAAAAAAAAACTCTAACCCATGTCACGAAGATCCTTGTTCCACAAATATGTTTCTAAGTTTTTTATTCTATTTTGGAATGACTAAACTCTCACTTTAGTCTTTGAGAAAGTTTGAGTCTAGCATTTAAATTCTTGAAACATTTAAAATATCACGTTAACCCTCAACTTTCTTCTGTGTCATTCACTTTTGTCCTTGAGCTCAAACTCCTTTAAGAAATAGTAACAAAAGGCTGGGTTGTTATATTAAGTGCCACGTCAGAAGCCTAGTTGGCAGAAATGACGTCATTTTAAGAAGCTAACATGGCACCTTGAATGACCAAACATTGTGGCCTTTCTTCCTCCTTAATAATTTCAAAAGTATCAATCAACTGTTGAACAGTTTTTTCTAATCCAAAATATGGAATGACTCACCAACTTCAACTATAGCAATAGTGCATGCAAAAATATTGAGTTTTTCACCTTGTGCAGACTCCCTAGTTGCAATAAGTGCATCTTCGATTAGATCTTCCAGTGAGGAGTTCATGAAGTTCTCAAACTTGCATTCCAAATATGTCTTTGCAGCTTGTGAGCGAGAGCTAATTGCAAAAGCCTGATAGTCAAAATAGTTTCCACTCAGACAGTTGTAATAGAGGTGAGCTCCAAATTCATTTAATCCAGCTACCAGAAGGTCAACCCCATAAGGACGTTTCCATGATCGTTGGGTGCAAACCTACTATTCAGAATTGCATCACAAATACTGACTGATGAGAAAAAAATATTTTAAGTTCTAATAAATTTTGCAAACACTTTCTTTCTTTATTATGTAATTTTGCATATACAAACATAAGATTTGCCTACCATACCCCACCAATCCAACTTTCGATAACTAAATCACAAGCATGATTCTATACCATAAACATTAGCCCAAACTTCAACTTTATCCCCCCTGTATAGCTAGGGTTCGTCATCTCTAAAACATTGAACACTTAGGGTTTGTTGTCTCCAAAACCCAAAATGACTCACATTGAATTAAGAAATTTTTTTTACTGGATTTTTCATCTGTTAGCTCTTCTTCCACTATAATAAACTTTAATTTCTAAATATTTTACCGCTAAACACAACTATGAACAAGAATTTGGGTGAGATTCTGTGTGCACTTAAGGTATTTCTTCGAGGCAAAGGACTTCAATCAAAACCATGTTGTTTGCACAACAAGAAAATACTTGATTAGCCACCAAATTTAGAAATTGAAATAAATCCGTAACAAATAATGACTAATTTAGTGACCGAAATTGATCCGTTGGAAATAGCAATCGAATTTAACAATCGAAATAAATCAGTGATAAATAGCAACCAAATTTAGCAACTAAAAAAATTAGGTGGCTAATAGCTACATAATTTAGCAACCAAAATAAATCAGTGACAAATAGCAACCGAATTTAGCAACCAAAATAAATCTGTGGTAAATAGCTACTGATTTTGGCAACAAAAATAAAAATATGACAAATACCAACTAATTTAACAATGAAAAAATATTTTTTGTAAATAGTAACCAAAATTAGGAACTAAATTCGTAGCAAATAACTATTGAATTTAGCAATCAAAATAAATTGTGACCAATAGCCACAAAATTTAGCAACTCAAACTAACAAGTAACAAGTGTTATTTAGACACCAAATACAAAAAAATGATATAAAATTTATAATTTTGAAAATAAAAATTAAAGTTGTTCTAAAATCTATTATTTTTTAATTAAATATCTTGAATATAATTCAAAATATATTACTAAAAAATAATTTGTTAATTATTTACAAGTTTTATTTAATTTTTTTAATCTAAATACGTATGAATGTTTATATATATACATATATATTAAAAATAAAAATTAATTTATACATATATATATATATATATGTATATTTTTAAAATAAAAATAATAATATTTTAAAAAACATAAAAATATATTTGTTAAATAAAAAATGATATCAAATTCATATATTTTAAAAACAACAAATTAAAACTATTTTCAAAAATAAATAAACTATAATTATAAAATGTTACTTAAAATTAAAATAAATAATGATTATAAAATGAAGATTAAGTTTAATAGTTATAACTATTGCTAGATAAATTTTTTTGAAAGATAAAAATAATTATTGATTGTTGCATAAAATTGTTCAAATCATTCTATGATCATCATATTATTGATTTAGTAACATAAAATTAATAATTTTTATAAATGATATAGTTATGTTTTTAAAATATAATAAATAATAATTATCAATTTATGTCTATATTTTAAAATTATAATTATAAATCAATAAATTTAAATTAAATTTTATTATTGTAATCAGAATAATTAATAACAAACGATCTTAAAGCAAGAAAATATTTAATCTATTGTTCATTGGAAAATTACCCGCTCCTACCTCATTAATATTTCTGCTTGTAGCCAATCAAAAATTCTTTAGAAAGTTCATGTCTTTGTTCACTAATAGCTCTGTATTTGCTGCTATGCATCGTGATAGAATGGTAATTATTTAAACTGTCTTTTTTTTTCAATAATTTCCTTCATTAGAACTTTACACTTGTATTATTATGCAGACTGAACAATTTAAGCGAGTTTCCACAGCATTTGATATAATGAGAAAGACAAAAAAAAAATAATAAAGCTGGAGAATAAGTCAATGACAAAGCCAAAAACATTGTTGTATATACCTTTCTAAATATTATTTTTTATAAATTTTAGCCTCACTTTTATTATAAATTATGACTAATATGTTATTTATTTTTTTCAATAATTTCTTTCATTGGAACTTTACACTTGTACTTTCAACTTAAGCGGGTTCCCACATAATTTGATATAATGGGAAAGACAAAAAAAAAAAAAAAGCTGGAGAATAGGTCAATGACAAAGCCAAAAATATTGTTGTATATATCTTTCTAAATATTATTTTTTATAAATTTTTGCCTCACTTTTATTATAAATTATGACTAATATGTTATTTAATTTTTTTTAGGATGAGTTTATTCGACATCGAACTAAAGCCCATGCACATGACAAAGATGATCATGGTGAATAATGTGCCTCAGGTGACCATTCTGTAGCTGCTGACAATGCCATTTTTTTGGAAGTTGTTGGAGGGAAAAACAAGAAAGGTCATGTGTATGGGTTAAGATAATTGGGTGAAGAGTTTGTGATGTCATCTTCTTTTTGTACTCAGTTTGATCCTAGTGTTAACTATCAACAAATCATTGTCAACCTTAATACAGAATTAGCAGCAAAGGACATCCACATTGATACTATGCAGTCTGAATTACAAAAGACCAATTCAAAACTATAGAAGATTGAAAACATTCTCAACAAGTTGTTAAACACTTGAGAATTTCTACCAGTATCCAAATGGATGATTTTCATGTTGATGGTGATGATGTTGGTTCTCCTCATGATGACATTGATCCACATTCATCATTTAGGACCTTTTTTTTTATTTGTTATGTCAATTATTGTACCCTTCTTATAAAATGAGCTATACTTTTGTTATGAAGTGAAATATATATTGTTATGGATTGTAAGATGTATTTTACTTCTTTAGATATATTTTTTTACCATGTTTGTAGTTTTTGACTATTAGCAGGTTTTATTAAATATTATGTCAAGTAGTAAGCATGTTTTGTTATACAAATAGGTCTTGTTGAAAAAAAAAATTATAAAAAAGGTAAAATTATTCATTATAATTAACCGCCAAATTTAGTCATCGAATTTAGCCACCGGCTTAGCGACCAATTTAGCAACCAAATGTTTGATGAAATTTAGCCACCAAAATAGCAACTAAAAAAGGTAGACAAAAAATTGCAATCGATTTAGCTACTAAAATGTTGACAACATAATACAACCAATTAGCAACCACATTAACTACAATTAGCAACTGAAATAGTTACCAACTAGGTGGTTGCAAAATAACTATTGGAATTTTTCGGTTGCTAAATTCACATTTCTACAACTGAATCCATTTTCGGTCACTAAATGTGTTTGCAACCAATATATTAGCCACCAATTGTAATCGGTGGCTAAAAATATTTACAACCAAATTTTATGTTTTAGCCAACAATTTTTTTGGCTACTAAATACAATTTTTCTTGTTGTGTTGGTCATTTGAGGTGTTACTTTAGCTTCCAAAAACGATGTCGTTTTTTTGCCAACTAGGCTTCTGATGTGGCATTTAATGTGACAAGTCAACCTTTTGTTACTATTTTTTAACGGAGTTTGAGCTCAGAGATTAAAGCAATGACAGAGAAGTAAGTTAAGGACTAGCGTGACATTTTAAATGTTTCAGGGATTAAGATGCTAAACTTAAACTCTCTCAAGGATTAAAGTGAGGGTTTAGTCATTTTGGAACTCTAATTTATGTTATCTCTTTGCTCTTGCTCAATTCTTTTCTTAGGGATGACCCGACTAATATTTAATTCTAAAACAAATTCTAAAATAAAATTTCTTAATTAATTATAAGACATACTAAAATTATAATTATTCTACTCAAAGTTCATATTTTAAGCATTTTAAAGGTACAATTTTTTTACTAAATTATTATAATTAAATTTATTTTATATTTTTACAAGTAATATTAAAGTCAATCTATTTCTTTTTTATTGATACACTATTAATAATAAGTAGTACTTTGTTAATTTTAGATTTAAAAAATTATTCATACTAAAATAACATGAATTACTAACATCTTTTCACAAGCATTATATGTGTATTAAGTAATTAGCATTCATGATGGTTTATATGTTGGTGACTTTACTTTATTTTGATATTACAATATTTTAAAAAATAGAGTATATATGTATTTTGATTAAGACTAATAAAAAATAAAAATAAAAGTCAAATAATAAGATAGATAATATAATTTTGACACAATAAAATAATGAACTTATATTTATGTAAAAACTATTTATCCTTGTCATTATTCATATGTTAATTGATAATGTTTATTTTCAGTGATAAATAAATAATTAATATTATTTTTAGAGAATTTTTTCTCTACTAATATTGGAGCCCCTCAAGAATAAATTTTAAGTGTTTCATACTTGATCTGCCCTGCCTTCTCTTGTCTATAGATAGTTAGGGTATTAAAAACCTTCTTTGCCCCTTTAATTTAATTTAAAGTGCATGGGGCAGAAGGAACCACATGCCCCCTTTAATTTATTTTAATTCCTTGATGTCCCATACCAAATATTTAATTGAGTTTAAAATCTTTTAGATGATCATACATACAGTTAATTGACTGAAAAATGAATATTTTTATAAAAAAAAACTTTAACGCTAAAGTTAATAAAAATAAAAACAAAAATATTTATAAAATAATAATAATAATTTTAAATGATGCAATTCTCCTTTGTTATAAGCATGAGTGTCTTTGGATTAGGTGAGAAATTCGTTAAGTTAAACCCTAAACTCTAAATTTTAAATCTTAATTTTTAAATAATATTAAATGAAATATTAAAATTAAGTGTGCCCATTTACAAAGATTATAAACTATTTTTCATAAACAATATCAATTATTGATTTATATGTTATTTTTAGTCGTAAACTTTCTAATACAGTAATAATATCTAAATCTATCAAACATTAGAGGCAAGATAGCAAATAGCCGATTATTTTATTATTCCCACTATATATATATATGAGAAAATTATAATTAAATATAATTATTAACCATTATATAAAAGTTAAGTTAAATTAAATGTAAGAATTTTAGATTTATATTAGTGTAAATTTATATATATATATAACGTTTTCATTATTGTTTCAGTTGTAGAAAGTAAGAGGAGATTCAATGCTAACTAACTAAGGCCGGTTTGTTTGTTGCCATTTGCCATGTGACATGTCTTTGTATAATATAATCTACCTTTATTTCGTTAATTTATTGATTTCGTAAACATCACTAGTTTAGTTTTTAATATTTAAAAATGATTATTTTACTAAAACTGTGTACTTTTAATATGTTTAAAATTAACCTTTACATGAAATAACATATTTATTTATTATGCACTCATATTAATAAGTTAGGTTTTTAATTGAAAATATTATATAGGAAAAAAGTAAGTTTAAGATGTGAATTTATAAATACTATTTTAAAATAAAATGACGATTTTATTTTATATTTTTATTTATGAGAAATCAAACCGATTTTAGTGTTATAGATACATTGAATACCTGGATTTTTTTTACAATGAACAAATAATTTAATTATTTTAAAATGACTGATTCTAAGAGAAAAACTTAACATTATTTTTTAATGCTGATGTTATGTATTTAAAAGCGATTAGTGTAATATCAAAAAAAAAAAAAAAGAAGAACAAGCGATTAGTGTATAAAATTTTTATTACATTTTGAACTTAATAAATACCTTTTTTAATTAAAAAATAACTATTTTTATGTTTAATATTTGCCTTAAAAGTTGATATTAACAAATTATACTGCTATAAAAATATATGTTTGGCTCAAATGAAATCACTAACGAGGTGTCAAACTTAGTAAAATGATATCTTCAATAATTTTTTTTATCAAAATTGAATTTTATTAATCTAGTAATTAATATTTTTAATAATATCCAACAATAACAGTTTATTTAGATTTAAATAATATGCGATAATTATTTTTCCATTTAATTACTATATTCTAAAATACAATAATTTCTAGATTAAAATGTAGCAAATAACTTCTAAAATATAAGCCAAAAACTATAATATGATTATAATATGCACTTTTGGATTTTAGTCTAAGTCTAGCGACCCCACCATGGATCATAATTAAAAAATATATAATAAATATAAAGGAGGGTTAATGAATGGGACCACCTAACACCATAAACCGTTGCATTGTGTGGAAAACGTTGAGGCATCATTTGCAGGCGCCAGGCGTGCAATGTTTCCCTTCCTTCCTCCTTTAAGCTTTCATAATTTATATTCATATGTTATTACAATTGCAATTTCTCTCACACGGCCAAGCACAAATAATCTTACTATCATCATATCATATAAATTGTTACAATGTACCATAAAATGTCTTCCATGGCTTAAAGGGGTTTCCACCTCTCACCTCTTCCATACATTGGTGGTACAAGGCACTTTCTTTGCCCACCTTAAATTTAACAAAATTGTTGTCCACCCATGCACAATTATCAAACTCACATGTTTATCATTTTTTTTTTTTTGTAAATTAAATGTTAAACTTTAGTGTTTATATTTTCCATATTTTAGGCAGATTCATTAGGTAGCTTGATTCATACCTTCAGAAAATTTTCTATTTGCAGGTGTTGTTGGTTGAATTTGGGAGCTACCCAGTTGAGATTTGAGCCTTTCTTTCCCTTATTGAAGAGAAAAATCCAATTTTTCTCTTTGATTTAGAAGGGAAGGAAAGCACAAGATCAATCCAACTTAAAAATCTGGAAAAACTTATTTTTTCCCTTTAAATCTCCTCTCTCTAATTGGTTAATATTGGAAATTGAAAATGAGTGCTGTTTCTGGTGTAATTTCGCGCCAAGTTCTGCCAGCTTGTGGCACCCTTTGTTTCTTCTGCCCTTCCCTGAGGGCAAGGTCAAGACAACCTGTGAAGAGGTACAAGAAGCTCATTGCAGACATTTTTCCTCGTAACCTCCAGGTCTGTTGTTTTAGTATTCTGTTGATGTTTATTGATGTCTTTAATCATGTCACATTGTTAGTGGAATAGGAGTTGCTTGTCTAGAGCAATATATGTTTGATGTTGGTGGATGAAGGGATGGACCTGTAGTGATTATAATTCAAGTTAGTTTAATGATTGCTTGTAGTATTTCAAAGTAGGTGTCACCGAGTTTATAGTAAGTACTCTCAAACTCCATAGTCTAGGTTGCAATTTCTTTTTGTGTCCGCTACTTTGCAATGTTTTCTTCCCTCTGTATGCAGCCTGATTCAATATTTAAAAACGAAACATGACCTACATTTGTCTCGTTAATTGACTTATTTGTTCAATTTGTGCCATTATTTGTCCAACAAAAAGCACCCGTATTGATTTTGTTTTCAGTTAATGACAGGAGGAAGGGGCAAATGATAGGAAAATAGGAAAATTATGTGATTATGCTGCCAGAAACCCATTACGCATACCAAAGGTAAAATTTCTTTTTTTTTTCTTTTTTTTTTAACGAAAGCACAAAGAAATGTTGATGTGTCATACTGTGTGAATTGGGATTAGAGGTTGATTCTTGTATGATGTTTTGTATGAAGTTCTACTAAATGAATATGTTATTCTCTAAATATCATTTTTGTTTTCTTACATTACAAAATGCAATGATATGGAATTCTTCTAACAGCTGATGAAAACATCAGCCTAAAAGAGACATTACCTCTGCGTGCTTGACATAGAAATCACCATGAAAAATCATGTGTTTCAATCCACACTGAAGCCGGGGATGCTATCCTGTCTCAAAGAAGGTTCACTCACTTTGCAGCAACTACTGTCAGAGCTAGAATTTTTCTTAGCCAAATGATCCACTTGCCACTTGCCTGCAAAAGGAGCATAATCCACTCAAAAACACCTTAACCTTCTGCTTTTGAAACCCCCAGAAGGCTAGAATAGTTACAGAAAAAAGAAAATTGAATGAGGTAGACAGATCCAGGCATGCTATTTCTAGACATAACTCACGCCCTGTAATTAATAATACACTTGAAGACAAAGCATTGTGTGGCATATCATTAGTATCATCCAATTAAATATTTTTTGTCAACCAAAATCCAAAATCTTGGAGTCAGATTTAAACTTCCAAACGGAATTTGTAATTTGATGAAGGGTTGAAGATCCATATTCATGCATTAGGAGAACTACATAACATAAAATAGATGAACATATGAAGCATAGAGATCAAATCAGAAACATTTTGATTATTTATAACATGATGTTTGAGAAAAAAAATTTGGGAAAATCATGAACATGCAGTGTATATCCTTTCTTTTGGTTTTATATCCTTCTTTGATTTCTCATATTTTTTTCAGCAAGTACATAATAAAGTTCTCCAGCTCATTTCATTAAGCAAAGTTTAATTTTATGAATACTTCAAGGTTGTTACTATACTCAATATGTTTGTCTAACTCATAATCAGATAACTAATTCCCTTGAGAGAAGGTGCTACAAGGAACTGCGAAATGAGAACTTCCATTCAACAAAAATAGTCATGTGCATTTACAGGAAACTGCTGTTTTCATGTAAAGAACAAATGTGAGTTCATATCTCTCCTCTCTTTTTTCTTAGATACATGGCTCCATATGTGTCTTTTGAAGAATTTTGCACTAATTATGCCTGAATCATTTGTCTATTCAAAGTCACATGTTATATGATCTCTTTTCCTCCCATGCTTTATCTCTCTCTATATCATCAAAGGAAAACTGATTTTCTTCTTTCAAGTAACCAATCATAACTTGTCTAATGTAAATGCCTTCTAAACCAAAAGGGGTAGATGCATCCATCCATGCTAGAAGAGAAAGTTTCAGGGTGACAGGTGGACTCGTAGAAAATATCTGTTGCAGTTTTACTGGAAAGTTCTGTTTTGAGGAGAAAATCAAGTGGTATCTGAGTGGTCCTGAATTTGATATTCATTCCAACTCACATTTTAGTACCTTATGAATCTTCATTTTCAGTCTGTGCACTGTTAATATTTCCTTTTTGTACTTTTGCTATATCAGTAATCAATTTAATATCAACAGGTACTGTGGAAGAGTAACCTTATTAGAGGTATCATAATTGTAGTGTTGAATTTGACATATTTGTATTATGAGAATGTTATAGTATTTTTATTATTCTTCTAGATAGGCTTGATTCATCTACTGAAGTTGTCATATTGGAAAGGACTTCTGGTGTAGGGAAGTGAAAGTTTTTCATGTTGAATATTTTCTCTTTCAAGATTCATACTCCCTTGGCTATGTATTTATCTATAGATTTTCTTTGTAAAGAATCTGTGATTTAAATAACCTACAACCAGAGTATATCTGAACCTTCATTTACAAATGCAAACAATCACCCAATCTAACGAAAGGAAAAACCCCAAACATAAGTTTCTTCCTAGTATCAATTTGGTGTAAGCTGTTGGTATGAATAAGCTGCAACAATTTAGCAATCATATCTTCAGATTCAATTAATTGTTAGCTCAAGTTGATAATTGATAAGTGCAACAATAAATTAACAACAATTTTACATCATGAATTGTTGTTTTCCTTATTTACACTTTGATTTTTCTTTTTTTAATAAGTGAGAAGAAAGTAATTAACCAGGAAAAATGAAGATAAAATCAATAATGTATTAGTTATTTGTTGCATTGTTTTCCATCCTATTCCATCAAAATAAATAAGGGAAAAGTGGAAGAGAACCAGGAGATATCTGGAAAGAGATGTGACATTTTACATAGTAATTCAGTGGGCCTAGGTGATCATCTTTTTTAAGATATGGGAGACTCAAGAGTGCTACAGAAAGTAACAGGGGGTGGAAGCAGGGAGGGCATATTGATTGACTCGGACTTGAACAACTTAACTCTGGTAAAATGGCAAAGGAAGCATAATTAGCTTGTGTTTGTAGCATATGTAAAATCACTTATATGTACTTTGAATGGATCATGCGTGGCTTAATTCTTCTGTTGTCTACTGTTTCTCAATGTCACAGAAGTTATACTAATATTTATTTATTGGTATCCTATTCTTCTTACAAACCACATGCAACAAACTACTAATTTTGAAGTGAAACTGCTGGTGTTCTCTCTCTTTCTTTGTGCCTTTCACTCTTCCTCTCATTTTTGTTGGGTGACTAAAAGCATAAGACTGTTTTTTATGGCAGTTATAGCTAAATGTTACAAGCAGCTCTTTGATGGATTTATTCTTTCAATATTGATATAGGCCACTATTTGCGAGTAGCTTGCTAACTATTATTCACACTCTGCTGGATCAAACACGGCAGGGTGAAATGAGAATTATAGGATGTCATACTCTTTTTGATTTTATAAATAATCAGGTTAGTTACACTGTTGCTTCCTCACTTACATATCTATAAGTTCAAACTTATTTTCAGCAACTGTGATTCCTTTCTTTTCATAATGTTGACTGAAGCAACATTTGAAACTCAAAGTTTCTAATTTTCCAGGTTGATGCAACTTACCTGTTCAACTTAGAGGGTTTTATCCCAAAACTCTGTCAATTAGCTCAAGAAATAGGTGACGATGAAAGAGAAACAACTATTCGGGCAGCTGGTTTGCAAGCTCTTTCATCACTGGTATTTATTTTGTGATGCCATTGTTGTTTTGAGCATCTAGATTAACACTTTCATTTCAGAACTGTATGGAACACAAGGAATGTGATTGATCCATTTTTTAAAAAGTCAAAGTAATATTTAAAAAGTGATCAATTTATATGGAAATTGCTTTCACTTTTTGAAAACTAAATAATCACAAGGAATGTATTATATAGTTTGTTTAAAAGAATGTGTTGCTAACATTTTTCTCTATAGTAATGGGCTAGGAATTTTTAATATGTAATATATTCAATGCTGAGGGGGCAAAATTACCTGTATCAATCCCGGAAGAAGTTACCCCATTAATTAGCTTATGCTTAGCTCAGGTGCAACTTTAGGCATTTTTTTCATGTAAGTAGATCTGATAATAATGCCTATACTGTCATGTCACCAGTATTTAATTTATGTGAGTATGGAAAGAATGACTAGAAATATAAGAAAAAGTGATTTCTCTTTTGTTTATTTTACAACAATAGGGTATTGTATATCTATATGTGTTTGTGTGTCTAGAAAACAAATTCTATCCAAGTAATTTTAGGCTAAAAAAATTTGTACATATTATAAGAAATAAGGAAACTAGATCTATACAAATAAGGAGAAAAATATTATGTGTTGCAATATTCTCCCTCAAGTTGGTCAATAGATACCTATGATTCTCAGCTTGCAAGTAAGATCTTGAAAGGCACTCTATGGGAAGTCCCTTAGTCAACATATATACCAACTGAAGCCATGATGGGACATATGTAGTAACTATGATACTAATGCCAAATTATCTCAATGTGTTTTGTTTCATCATGTTGATTAAATTGTATGAAATATTGATGGCAAACTTATTGTCACAAAAGAGCTTCATACTTAATCTTAAGATCATTAAGTATGATTTTTATCTATAATAGTTCACAAACCGGTCAAATCATAGCACAAAATTCTACTTTTGTACTAGACCTTGCAGCTACATTTTCCTTATTATTCCATATAACCAAGTTAGCACAGAAAGACATACAGTAACAAAAGATCTCCTGAAAACAAGAAAACTATTTTGCATCTTTGTATACCTCCATGTACAATTTCCCCTCTTTTTGAATAATAATCCTTTCCTTGGGCTTGTCTTCAAATACTAAAGAATTCTATTCATGGTTTGTTATTGTCTTGTAGATCATGCATGCATTGACTCTTTACACTGATTGTATAAGCTATGTCTGGTCTAGTATGACCTAGGTAAATAAGCTCTACCAAATCCTTTATTTCAAATTTAGTTGTTAACTTTTCCTGTAAATTCTGTCTATCAACTTTATCATAACTTGCAATGATCATGTCATCTAAATAGCTGAATTAAAACATTAGTTTTCCTTTTGGAGGATGTTTTATGAAGAGAGTATGGTCACTTTTACTCAACCTATACCCAAGTATATGATAGCTTGAGTGAACCTTCTAGAATAAGCTTGGGGATACTACTGAAGACCATATAAGGTCTGTCTTAATCTCTGGACCGTATTTCTTCCATAAGTGGAATCACATTTGGATGGAATTTCTATATACATCTCTTCCTCTGTATCTTTGTAATTTTTTTTTGTCAAACTATTTTTTTTCCATTGTTTTTAGAATAATCTTGACTATATTCACTTTTACCATTGGAGCAAATGTTTCTTCACAATCAATCCCATGTTTTTGAGTGTATCCCTTAACAGACAATTTTTCCTTATACTCGTCTAGTGAGCCATTAGACCAATATTTTATAGTGCATATCCATCTACATCCTACTAGCTTTCTTATCTTTATGCTTCTCAATAACCTCCCAAGTGCATTTCTCTTCAATGTACTCATCCCTTTATTCATGGCCTAAACCCATTTCTCATTTTTCAAGGCTTCTTGTACTGATCTTGGGACCTTGATAGAATCAATAGCTAGGATAAAACTCTAGTGTTACACCAGTGTTTAGTAGACACAAAATAGGATTTGTAATAGCTGACACAAGATCTATTTTCTTTTCTCAAGGCAATAGGCAAGTCTGTATGATTAGAATCACAATTATTCAAAGGAGTATCTAAAGATTAGAAATATCTGTGCTTACCTCTAGGCAAAGGTCCCCAAATATTAGAATGAACAAGTTCAAAAGGTTTGCCATTTTTTATCATAATTAGGCAAAAAGTTGTATAATGATTTTTGTCCAATTGACATTCATCACATTTAAAAGACTTGATGTACTGTGAAATCAACAAACGAGAAACCATGACCTAAGAGAACTAAAAGGAGGAAGCCTTAGAACTTGTCTGATGCTTTAGAGCTTGATGATTCTTCGCAAGTTGAGTTTCATGAGCAAGTCATAGAGCTTCAAGCTCATTAAAAAAATATGGTTCTAATTTGGTGACAGCAGTAGTAACAAGCATGTCAGAATCATCAAGGAGATCATTTAGTATAGCATCAATTTGATCTTGAGTAAGAACAAGATCTCCAATGCAATCACTAATAGTTTTGATTTGTAGAAGGTACTCAGAGATTGAATGAGTTCCTTTGTTGTTATTGAAAAGTTCTGAGTGGAATTGGCATGCCGGCTTGAGTTTGAGAATGAAAGAAGTTGTGAATCTTGTCCGAAAGCTGCATAAATGAGTGCAGCCAACTACTCGAGTGAGGATTGATTCTGAGAGAGGAGAGAAGCCAGGAAAACTAAGTTGATTTTGCTGCTCCCATTGCAAGTAGCTCTCATTCACTTTGCTAAGATTTTGATCTTCTTTGGTGATAAATCGAGGTGGAATTTGTGGATTTACCACAAAATTTTGTAGGCCATGCGCTTTGATTATAGCTTCAACAGAAGAAAATTATTCTCATCAATTCATAGAGAAATCACATAAGGAATGTCACTGGAGTTGTCACTGGAATTGTAGCAGAAACTGGTGTGGACCACCATTATCGGTGGTAGAAAAAGGGTTGGTTTGTGCTGCCATAGATTAGGATTGAACCGAAGCTCTAGATACCATGTTAAACTTCAGTAGTTAACATGTTGTAGAGAGAGAGAGAAAGTAAAGATATTTGGATACAAAGAAAATGTAGAATGATTATATTGATTGATTCATGAGAATTACAATCATTATATACTAGGAGCTGACAGCTAATTGAGTACTGCACAATCTGTAACTGAGTCAGTTACAGCTGTCTTAAATCAGAGAACTAATTGAAAGACTAACTGCAAGTGATTCTACAGTAACTCTAACAGGGAAGGAGAAACAGGCCCCTTGAAGAGTCTAGGCCATGTCTATGGTTTTTTGTCAGTTTCTGTTCAATTTTCTGTGGACTGTAATCCATATATAAGTTGGTACTGTTTTCATATCAAATTAGGATCAATGTATAGTTACATTTCAATTCAACTTGGTATTTTTCTGATCCAGTTTTCTATCATTTTGACTCTCTTATTTGTATTTTTTTCAGGTTTTTTACAATAGGGCAATTCCATCTATCTATTGTAACCATCCAAATTGAAAATCATCTTAGATTTAATTTCCATTTTTAGTTTTAAGTCAACCAATGTATAAGGAAAAGTGCAGTGCAAATTAATGATGTTTATAATGTGCTAGTGTGATGATCTGTCTGCATAGATAATATGTGGGGGCAGTTCAATCAGTCATAACTATTAAATTTGCAAATAATCTTTGATTATATTCTCATCTTATCTTCAATCGTAAAATAATGTCTTGGAACTGCCATAGTTCTTAGTCATTTTTTGCCACCCATGCCATTTTTTGTTGTCACTTCAACATTCTTTTCTTTTGAGTAGAAGTTCTTCTTTTATACTGAGATTTCTTGCCCTTTTTTGACAGTTTTGTTATCTTCAGCTCTTAAAGTTGATGTTAAACAACTATAGTGAAATGTTTTATTGGAAAATATTTTCTTTGCCCATAAAAACCTTCCACTTTTAGGTCCTTAAAAATTAGCTGTAAGAGCTGATTTTGCCAAAACACCTTTCAATTGGAAAGCTTGGATCATATCTTCATAATATATGACAGTAATGCTTTTATTTTCTTTTCATTCTCTTGCTTTGAGGTTGGTTACCTGTAAGTTACCTTCCGAACATGTTAGAATGAAATTAAGTTACTTCTTTTTCACTTTCTGCTTCTTATTTAGTAAATTCTCCACCCTTTTTAAGGGAAAATATGATTTTTATACACATCCTTTAGAATTAATGATTTAACTTGTTCTTCAGGTTCGGTACATGGGTGAACACTCTCACATATCAGTTGAGTTTGATAATGTAAGTAGATTTATACTTCTTCAAATCTTATGGTTATTTGAATAACTTTTTCCATACATGCTGACTGTGGTTTTTGTGCTTTTTCTTCCACTAGAGAGAATTTAAAATTTAACTGGGTTGCACAGCCACTTGGAAATTAACAATTTTATGGTTTAATTAATTTTCAGTAATAAGTCTCATTAGAATTGGAATGTGACAGAATAAAATGGTAACTGAGAATTTAAGGATAAGGGCAAAAGCAGAGCCACATTTGTTCCTGCCATTGTCCATGTGGGCCACTGGCTACACTAACTCTTATAATCCCTTGAATTGGAAATGCTACATTGAAGTTCCAACACCATCTTTTGAGATTTTCCCCAGCCCAAAACGTTTGTGTTTTTCATTGACAAGGATTGTTTCTTCTAATATTTAAAATGCAAGGGAAAGCCTAAAATAAGAGCATTGTGCTTATACTTGGTCATGGACTTTTCTGGCCTATATTTTGCAAGTAAAGAAAGAACCACATATAAAGCACTAGTGCATGGGGACTTTCTTTTAAAGATTATACTAATTAAACTTAAATGAATAAAATACTCAAAGTATGGTCTTTTAGTTTATGCTAAGGAAGTTTCCAAAATAAGCCAACTGAGAGAAAACAAAAAGTAATAACTACACAACAAACCCTAAGACAGTCTCGCTACCAAATGGCAAAGCACTATAACTAGAAACTTCCTCAAATATTAAATGTACATTGTTATAATATTCTTACAATAATTTTCTCTCTTATAAGATTTACTCCCTTTGACCCTACATCAGTTTCTCCATTTGGTAGGCTATTCTATTAGAGATTTGATACCCCCACATTATTTCAGGGATCATACTTTCTCTTTAGAATTGAAAATGACCTTCATTTTTCTTTGGGGAACATGAAATTGTTTTCTTAAAAATATTCTATCGTTTGTTGCATCAACTGATTTGCACCATGCTTATGTGTATGTAAAATGCTATTAAATATGCTTAATGCTTGAACTTTACTTTCAATAATCCTATTGAAAGTTCCTTGATTTTTCTGAAACTATTGAGGACAAATGAGTCTAAGGAGTTTTGAGCTTCTATTGCACTCTATGGAGTTTTATATGCTTAATTGCTGTAAAAATTTGTAATATCCCTCGAGTAAGTGCATCATTCTTGAGATTCAAAAAGTTAGGATTATGTTTTGTGGGAAAGGTTATCCCAATTTCGATATGTTCACTTTGATATTCTTTTATTACTTGAAAAAATAAGATATAAATTTATTATGTACTGTTTTGTTCAGTGCATGGTACATTAATTAGCGTGGATGGATTTTCCTTGTATTTGTACTATCACTTATAACTTTTTGTCATTGTTAATTCAGCTAAATAAAATAAATATCTTATTTAGTAATTTTTCTTTTCCCCCCTCCTTTTCTTTACAGATTGTTTCTGTTGTCTTGGAAAATTACAGAGGTCCTAACGGAAATTTAGAAAGCCTCAATCATGAGGAAGAGAAAGGTCCTGAGAATATGTGGCTCCAAGAAGTGATTAAAAAAGAGGATCACATCTCTCCTGTTATAGAAGTTGAAAAGCGAACTCCATCTTGGAGTAATATTTTTAATGACAAAGGCGAAGTAAATGTGACAATGTAATTAAAAAATTATTTATTTTGCAGAAAAGCTTTGAAGTGATTTTTTGCTATTTTTTGGTTTGTTTCAGTATCTATCAATGAACTATATTTCCTATATTCTTGCAGTGAAGATGCAAAGAGCCCATCATTTTGGTCCAGGGTTTGCTTATATAATATGGCCAACTTAGCCAAGGAGGCTACTACCATACGTCGTGTAATGGAATCTTTATTTAGATACTTTGACAACGGAAGTTTATGGTCTATAAGCCATGGTCTTGCCCTTTCTGTTTTAAAAGATATGCTATTTTTAGTGGATGATTCTGGTATACCATTTTTCTTTTTTGATTTTATATTTATTTCATTTCAAAATAATATTTTGTTAAACCAATTGTTCTCTTCAGATTTCTCTTTTAACTTTTCCTCATTTTGGTTGTTGCAGGAAAAAATACACATGTTTTACTGTCAATATTAATCAAGCATCTAGATCATAAATTGGTCCTTAAACAACCCAACACGCAGCTTGACATTGTTGAGGTGGTCATTTCACTTGCTCAATATGCAAAGGTCCAACCTTCTGTAGCAATAGTTGGTGCCGTAAGTGATCTGATGAGACATTTGCGAAAAAGCATACACTATTCGCTTGATAACTTAAATCTGGGAGTTGAAATAATCAATTGGAATAAGAATTTCAGAGAAATGGTTGATAGGTGCCTTGTACAGTTGTCAAATAAGGTATTATATTTTTCACAGCCTTCAATCAAGCTTATACATAAACTTTCAGAATAATTGTGTCATAAATGCTTTGTATGATAAAGTTTATTGGTTTTATGTTATCGTTCAAATTTTAAAAGATTATTGGTTTGCATAAGTTATTTGCTACACTGGTGTCATTTATTATTAGTTATATCAGAATAGAATACGACTATGGTGCTGATTATGGACAGGTAGGTGAAGCAGACCCAATTCTAGATGTTATGGCAGTGATGTTAGAGAATATCTCAACTATTACTGTAATATCAAGAACCACAGTCTCTGCCGTCTATCGAACTGCACAAATTGTAGCTTCCTTACCAAATTTATCTTATAAGAACAAGGCAAGGATTGAATTTTTGTGGTTGAGTTCTTTCCTCAATTTTTTACTACTACTGTGTTTCATGGATAAATTTACTGCTTAAATCATTCTTTCCTTTCTCAGGCATTCCCTGATGCATTGTGTCATCAACTACTCCTGACTATGGTCCATCCTGATCACGAAACTCGAGTGGGAGCTCACCGCATTTTTTCTGTTGTTCTTGTGCCAACCTCTGTTTTTCCTCGTCCATGTTTGTCTTTGTCTCACCTCCAACCATTGGGTGTTCCACGAACACTCTCAAGAGCAGTCTCTGTCTTCTCTTCTTCAGCTGCCTTATTTGAGAAGCTAAGATGGGAGAAACAATTTTCAAGTGAAAATCCAAGTCAACATAATAAAGAAAACACTGCTATAGAGGTGGTACCAGCTCACAGCGAAGGTGGAATCCTGAACAGATTGAAATCAACCTATAGTCAGGTGTACAATGCCAGTGGCACCCTGCAACTTACTGCAGTAGATGAAATAATGACAGACAATGCTAATAAGGACTTGGTGAGCCTTACAATGATGATTATACCCTAATGATCTGACTAAGGTCCTACAGTTGTAATATGGATGATATATACCTTACTCTAACCTTAGTGTACCATTTTACGTGGGCTTAAGTTTGGCATCTTATCACGTTTAACATTACAGGAGGCTACGACCCTCAGGCTCAGCAGCCATCAGATAAACCTCTTGCTATTGTCAGTTTGGACTCAGGCTATCTCTAGTGAAAATATGCCTGCAAATTATGAAGCAATTGCTCATACATACAGCTTGGTGCTTCTGTTTTCTAGATGCAAGGTAATAATTGAACACTCATATGATTCATGTTTTTTCCAATTTTATGATCTTTAGATAATTTTACTTGTTCCCTTCTCTTTATATATTGTTGTGTTATTTCTTTTCAACATGATGCTTGCAAGATTGTTACATTATTATTGGTGCTTATTCTTATAGTGTTCAAATATTCAGAAGCATCTCCTTTTTGTTATTGTTATAGTATTAAACTTGATCAATATGTTTATAGATTGGTTATGGTATTGAAGTAAGATTTCAGGAACTTTTGTCCCTCAATTGTTTGTATGTTGTGTACAGCTTCGATGTAATTTTTCCTGATTAATAATTTTAATACTATATTGCCTTGAAGTTGTCGTATGGACTCATTTCTGCTGCTAGAAATATTTATACTTCCCTAGCAACTATATTGTCCTTGTGAATATGTGTCATCAACATCCAGTTTATTATATTAATGTGCATTTTCCAGGAATCATAATGATACTGCTAAAATTGAAAAAATTTAAAGCTATATAGTTGTCAAAATTCATAATGTCAATAATTGGGTAAACTTGCAAATCAGTCCCTAAGATTGTAAGCATCGAGTATATTAATCCTGGACTTTTTAAAATTGCTTTGTTAATCCCTGATATCGCAGTTTGTCCAGCAGTTATGTCCCTAACATTAAATGACATGTAAGAAATGTTAACATTATTGGCATGTCATGTGACATGAGTGATGCCAACATGACACTAAAACGATGTCATTACAATCTCATGAACTAATTTGACTGATTTTCATTATCGTAGCTATTGCTATTTTTGACTTGCCCTCCCCTTTCCTTCCCACCCATGACCTTCCCAACTGTCACTACCAATGAACTCTCCATCGTAACCTTCATTCTTCATCATCGTAATGATTGTAAAGGATACTTCCTTATTCTGCACACAACCCACCATTCGCCGCCGCCATCGAACTCAATTCAGCAGCAAAGAAGCAGCCTAGCGACGGAGGTGGAGTTGTTCCCACCGCAGCCCTCTTTCTCCGGGGAACCAAAACTTGCAACAACAAACCCTATGAGGAAGAATCTCCAGCAGTAATAACAAGCGTTGCGACATGGTTTGGATGTATAGATTTGGGTTTTGATGTTAGTGATGACTCACTAAGAGGTGTGAATCTGGGTTTTGATGTTAGCTAAGGACATGGTGGTGAGTTCGGTGGTTGTGACAGCTAGAAATGTTGTAGATAGGGAGGGAAGAGAACATCAAAGATGATAGCGACAACAGAGACGAAAATCAGTTAGATTAATCTTTGAGATTGTAATGACATCATTTTAGTGTCACGTTGGTATCATACATGTCAATTAATGACATTTTAACAAAAGTTAATGTTTTTCACACATCAATTAATGTTGGGGACCTAATTGCCTTACGGATTAACGGAACAAGTTTAAAAAGTAAGAGACTAATATGTCCAACGCTAACTATTTGAGGGGCTAATTTGTGGGTTTACTTGCCAATAATTTTTGTTCCTTAGATTTTCCTTTTTAATGAGTGGGCTATCTTTTGTGTTAACATATTCTTACAAATTTATTTTGTCTTGCAGAATTCTTTTCATGAGGTCCTGGTCCATAGTTTTCAGATTGCATTTTCTTTGCGGAATGTTTCTTTAAAAGAAGGTGAGCTTTCCTTCATATTAAACGAATTTGATACTCCTTAGAAGAATATCTGACCTGATATGGACTGACAGAATTTTATATGCTTGAGACTTCCATTTGCCAATGTTAGGCATGACTTAACCAGAATTTTATATGCTTGTCCATACTTATTTGGTTTTGGTTTAAATACATTTTGTCCTTATAATTTTTCTCAATTTTGATTTTGGTTCCTGCATGAAGTTTGGTTTTGAACCCCAATAGTTTCAAAACCACTAGGAAATTTATCCCTGCTATCATGTGTACACTTGGGTTTCAGACCCTAAAGCAAGAACCAAATCATATTGTTTTGAAATATAGGGATTTAGAAACCAAAATTTTAAATTATTGGTACCTAAGCACAAATTGAGAGACTGTGGTATTTGAGCTATGATTGTTATACTTGAAAATGAAGAGACTGCTGAATTCTGTCTCTTGTCAGACCACTAATTATAACAACAATAATCATAATTATGTACGAATCAACTCCTAAAATAGCTCCTCAATTAAACACTAATGTATGCATTAAATACCAAGATATTCAGACATTTTCTATTAACTTAACTTTTGTGGTTGAGACTTGAGAAGAGCTTGTAAGAGTATCTTCCCGTATATTTATGTTTTGTGTTACATTGCTTCAGGGTATTGATTTAATACTGATCAAATCAGGAAGGTACAGACTAACTATGGAATTGGAAATGTCAAGCCTTTGAGCTCTTAATTACTAATTTTTACTGCAGGGCCATTGCCACCATCACGTCGTAGATCATTATTTATGTTGGCAACTTCAATGATTCTGTTTTTTTCAAAAGCATACAACATTGTCCCTCTAGTCCATAGTGCCAAGGCTGTACTTACAGAGAGAAAGGTAAGTTGGTTCTGCAGTTTTTTCTTTTCCACATCCTGCTCCTTTTTGTAATCCCTTCTTTATGTGTCAAAATCATATTCAACTGATCTATGATTATGTACAACTCTTTTGTTAAGAACCTCAATTAATTGGAAGACATTTTTCTACATCAAATATTTATATGATCATTATAATGTCTCAAGCAATCAAATATTGTGCATAAATGAAAGTACTATGCTTGCAAAGAAGCAGTTCTGTGCTTCTCTGATTGTTGATTCATTATGGGAATTCTAGAAGCAAATAATCTTATATCACCTTATTGTTTTCATATTCTGGACACAGGTTGACCCCTTCCTTCATTTGATTGAAGATCACAAGTTACAAGCTGTCAGCTTTTCTCCTGACAATCTTACCATTGCCTACGGTTCCAAAGAAGATGATGATAGAGCCTTAGAAACACTTTCACAAATTCTGACTTTTAAACACCAAGATCAGGAATTCTTTGTTTCAGAAATTGTCAAGAGCTTGGTAAATTTATCAGAAGTAAGGCTACTACTTGTTAATAGAAGATAAAATATTGCATTTCTATACACATTAAACCTGATGCCTTTTGTGCAGCTTGAATTATCCTCAATAAGGGAAGAGCTGCTAAAAGAATTCTCTCCAGATGATATGTGTCCCCTTGGATCTCAATTGACCATGGATATGCCAGAAAAGGTATGTCAATTGTCAAGTGAATTTCAAATTAATGGATTGTGTAGGAAGCAAATGATTATTCATATATTGTTTCTTTGATTATATGCTTGTCAGTGGTGAGTGGTGACTGATGTAATTAGTTTGCATTTTACAGGATGCTTCAGTAGTTTCAACTGATGATGATAGTATTTCCGATATACTTGATAGTCAAATAAAACAAAATTCCATGGAGTTCCCAAAACTTTTGAGTGCTGATCAACTTTTGGAATTAGTAGTATGTCTGCCATTTCTTGCACTCATAAATTGTTTCTCTTTTAATTTTAATTGTGTTTGAAGCTCTTTAAATTATCTCATATCAATAATGAGGAGATTGATGCCACACTTCATGAATGTAGGTTTCAGACACATCTATCGAAGCTGGGAGGATTTCAGTATCAATTGCATATGATATGTCTTACAAGGATATGGCACATAACTGTGAGGTATTTGTGATGGGAAAACAGAACATGTCCAGACTGATGAATAGCCAACAAATGCAAGAATGTTTGATGAACTTCCCTTCACAAAATCATGACAATGACTTGAGAAATAAGGACACCTCTTCCCATGTGGATGTGGGTTTTCAAAAGGTAATTCCTAGATTTTGGAAATCATGCTTATATTACATATTTCATCGATGTACATTCACATTTGGTGGCTGTATTCGTTTCAATTTGAAACCATGGTGGTTAAATTATTTTAACTAAAAATATGGGGATGTTGAGTGGAAGTTAACCTCACGCAGCTTCCTGCTCTAAGGCATTATTACCTTGCAAATGCCTTCAGCTTTATGACTTCATTATCCACATACACTAATTTTTAGTTCATCAACTAATTAAATTATTAAATAATATAAATGCAGGAGAACACTGTTCCATTGCTATGTGCAACCATTCAGAATCATCCTCACTTGTTCAAACTGCCAGCAGCAAGTCCCTTTGATCACTTTCTAAAAGCTGCTGGTTGCTGATACCAAAATTGTACTGAATTACATATTCTAGCAAATGGTGAAAATTTTTTTACTGAAGTGAGCTCTTGGTCACTAGGGGAAGGCTTCCAAGCACTGTTACCTTGCTAGTGCTCAGTCCTGAGATATATTTGAAAATGTTGCTTTTATATTCAAATTCAATTTATTCTTTTTCCTTCTCATCTATGTGATGGCAGGAAAAGCTTCATGCTGTGGAATCCTTATTAAGTATAATTTAATGGCTATTTCCATGTACATGTACAGAAAATGCATGTGTTGGTGAATGTTGAATATAAACATAGGAATTTTTCAATGATGTCTTGTTAATGTCATCAATAGTGTTAATGTTCATTATCAATGTTCGTAAATATTTACTCAATATTTAATTTTTGTTGAGTCTATAAATAAAAAATATGCAATGTTTGCGTCAATGTTGTCAATAATTACTCAAAATTTAATTTTTGTTGAGTTTGTAAATATATATATATATGTGTGTGTAATATTTGTCAATGTTGTGTACCAATGAGTTAATGAAAAAGAAAATACATAATAAAATAAGATAAAATCATTGATGTATTTGATAAGAGTCCATGTTCGTTAATAACATATAAAATAATGCTAATAAAAGTTTGAGAATGCTAGTAAGAGTTCATGTTCGTCACCTATATAGTCAAAAATGTTAATAGAAGCTTAATAATGTAAGTAAAAGTTTGTGTTCATTGTCTTTAACTTATGTTATTTTTTTTGTGCATACATCTGAAATGTTATATTTTAAATTAATTTTACATTAGTTATGAAAGAAATAATATAAAGAATGACTTTTACATTGATTTCATAAACAATTGAGGTAAAAATTTATATTTAAATTATTTTCTATATCAATTTACAAATAATTGATATAAAAAGTACTTTTATTTTGTGACTAATCTAAAAAGTTTTTCTATTTCTTACATTTATAGTTGTAAACTTCGAAACAATATAACTTTTAGTATAAAATTTGAATTTATACAAATTATATAATTTTTTTTATAAATTTAGACAATTATTTTCTAACTTTTTAGTATATTTTACTATTTTTTATATTTTTTGCTTCATCATTTTTGTACAAATTTTCAAAGTATGTCTTTTTTAGTTGGTTTAGTTTGAATCAACTTATAAAATATTTTTTACATTGATTATTTTAGTAACTTATTTTAAAAAGGTTATGTTATTTTTAAAAATATCAGCACACTTTTTATTAGATTGGTTGATTATTAACCAATATAAATATTTAATTTAAAACACAATAATAGTAGTGATCAAAATATAAAGACATATTTCTTTTAAAAAAATAATTTTAGATAATAATGTTAAAATAAAATAATTAAAAAATAAATATAAAAATAAGTCTATGTGATGTTAAAAAAATTACAGTCTTCTGCCCTATAACGTGGTATAATTCTTTCCTCCAAAAAATTTTGTACCAAAAAAATTCTCTTTAAAAATGAACTAAATTGCTTTCAAGACTGCGCAAGCTTTGCAGGTTAATATCTGTCGATGAAACATCAACAAATATTCAACACGTTTATAGAAATATATCTGAAGATAAGTATCCGTCAAAGCTGTAAAAGATGTCTTCTCTAAATATGAAAATATATCAATAACTATTTTTTCTTTTCATATGTTTTTGAATTTTAAGGTATAACTCTTAAAATATAATATTTATTTAGATGAAAAGGAAAATAGATGAGACTCAAAAGTTTCTATTTTTGTAATTTCCAACTAATGGCTTGAAATAGAGAAAATGAAGCACAAATAAAAAAGCATATAAATAAACATGAATTGAATTAATTAATTCTTTGTGAAAATGAAATATCATAAAATAAACCATTGCGATATTTCGATAGAACATTTTCGTTTATGTGGTATTTGAAACCAACTCAATAATTGTAAATCTTTCTCTCTCTCTCTCTCTCTCTCTCTCTCTCTCTAGAAACAAGTATATGAACAAACTTGAATTACATTAATTAATCCTAGCTGCATGAAATTGAAATATCATAATCCCTCAATTTTTGATGCATGAAATACGAAAACAATAAGGAGAAAAACTCGTGTTCGGTGCCAAATAGTGAGGGGAGGAGAAAATGAAGGAGAAAAATAAAAATAATGATTATTTTGTTAATATATAATAATCAAAAGGGTAATTTTGTTTTGTCTACGTACTTAGTTTTACCCTTTTTATTGGAAGTAGGTTGTCACGTTACTGGGTCAATGATCCAATGCACATAAAGCGGATTTGTCTATCAAAATTTTTAGCCTCTTGAAACATTCTTCACTTCCCAAGTATTTGCAATTATCGTTGAGTCCCTGTAGAGATCTGCTGCTCTCGTTTCTGGTAATAGCCATAGAGATTCTGATTGTGTTTATTCAATTTCCATTCTCTTCAACTTCTGTTTGGTTTTAATTTTTCTCATGAATGTCGATGAATGCTTTCTAAATGTGCGTACCTTATATATGGCAAAACGTTTAATAGAAAAAAAAAAAACCTGATTTGATTGGGTTTATACTTACACTATCATTCGGTTTTTAAATTTCTTATAAGTTCTTAAACATTTATTTTTATATATTGTTTGATCTAAAACATATTTGATATATAATTTATTAATATGAAGAAAATAAAATATGTGATTGTACAAAAAAGAGGGAGGGTGAGTTTTGTTTCTGAGTCCTTAATGCGGTTAGACTTGGAGGAATGGGAGAGGGTATCACCATTCTCACCCAATTGCCATCAGTAGTGTACCATGTAGCTTTTTTTTGTTTTTTAAATCTTTGTTAAGAGTGAGCCTTCATTAATATAAAGTTTTCTATGATGTATGTGAATGTATGATGTGAGTACATGCATCTGTGCACATGCATATGAATTGAAAATAAGTACATGCATATGAATTACAATCTCAATTGTTGGTTTTCATAACTTTTATAATCTTCTAAAGAGCATCCTTCAGGTTATAAGTATTAAATTTAGGAGAAAAAATTGATATAGAGTGAAATAGAGGAGAAAAAAGGGTTAATCGTAAGAAGATATTAATTTTTCCAGTGATATTTAAGGAATATAAAAGAAAAAAGAAACGAAAAGGGCCTATCTTTGTAAAACTTATAACATACAGTATATAGATTATATTTATTGTATGCTGAATTGATAGAAGTATAAAATGTTCTTCTAGTGATTAAGAACATCCTAAGACCTTATTTGGGTACTTCTCTGCTTACGGCCAGGAATTCATTGTTTTTTTTTTTCTTTTAATTTCCTTAATCCCTATATAGATCCTCAAATCAATGAAAGGTTTGTACAACAAAAGAATGTGTCAGTGGAGTTCATAGTTTACAATTTCTGACCATTTTCATTATGGCTTGGATTAGTGTATCAAATACATAACAATGGTCTATTGAAGTGGCAGATCTGCAGCAACTTCCTGCAGTCATTGTTTCCTTCAGTTAGTCCCATTACTAACTCCAAAGTCAAACATGTTGGGTTCCTTTATATTTTTATTCATGAGAGAATAGGAACATAAATATTCAGCATCCATGAATGTTCAGTTATTAGGATCATAAGATCTTGGTTGCTGATTTTTTAGTTTTTGTACCCTCCTTTGGATAGGGAGGTCTCTCATCTACTGAATTATTGTGTGTGTATATTTGCAGTGAGCAATTTGATAATGTCAGCAAAGTGCATCATACCTGCTATAATAGCATCATTTGGAATTGCATGGGTCTGTGATCATACAGTTTCTGACAAAAAGATATTTGGAGGTAAGTTATGCTCTCATGAAATTGTAAATCACCAGTTTTGGTATATGAAATTATAACTGTTATTCATTTTAATTATTGTCTGTATTAAAATTTAACTTTAATCCTTAATTTTAAAATTATCTTTACTTTAGTCCTCACTGTTCTTTTTTAGCATAAAGAACTAAACTAAAAGAATATATATTTTATGACATCAAAGACTGAAATAAATATAATAATATAGCACTTGCAATTTAATTTCAAGAACATGCAATCGGTAATTTGAGTACTTTCTTTCTTTAGGCACTATCCCTGGTACAGTATCAAATAAGGATTGGATGGAAGAGACTGATAAAAAATTTCAGTCATGGCCTCGAACTGCTGGTCCACCAGTGGTTATGAATCCCATCAATCGTCAAAATTTCATAATTAAGTCTCGCTCTGAATCATGAAGAACATTTCTTTCTTTTTTTCTTGATAATTGATTTTGATCTAGCTGGTTCACCTGGTTGTGGGAGATGTCTTGATAAATGCTAGTTATGTTTGATGTTTTATTATGCACTGTCAAATGTGTTTGATGTGTGATTTTTTTCTTCTTATGTTTGAATAAAATGTCACACTGCAATCCTGAATTAAATGATGCATTTTATTTCTATATTCAAATTTTATGCTTTGTCTTTTTGCCGAGGAAAATGTTCTGTGAACTAGGAATACCCTTTATAATTGAAATGCTTATGTTAAAAAAAATAAGTAAAAAATATATATCATAGACAACATTAATTTTGAGTGATTTAAATAACACAACTGCTTTAGCAATATAGTGTGAACCAAAACGTGAAATAAGTTTAGCTGCCGTAACTTGTCCAAGAAAATGTCACTATGTAACAACGTATTTCCAAAACAATAAGCAATTTATTTCATGAGATTAAGAGGTTCAAAAAATGGATTTAAATTATATAAATTTAACTTGTTTGAATTAAAAAAAAGTAAAATAAAAAATGAGAGGAAATATCAATTGTTAATTTGAATTAAAGTACTTTAAAAATATAATTAACTTTAACTTTAAATTTTTATTTTTATTTTTTTTTACTTTATAGATTTCATTTTAAAGAATATGAATTCAAATTAAAAATTTTAAGGTTTGGGTTAATTCATTTAAACTAAATAAATATAAATTTTTATAATTGGGTGAGTCTGTATGGGTCTCAATTTACACTTGTTAAAAAAATTGATTATTAGCACTGTCGATGGTCTTTAATAAAATTGTTCCATTGTAGAATACCATTTTAAACCCATGACCCATAGCTACTGATGATCTGCATATGCTTACTTACCTAGGTAGATAGTGGAGATTTGGGTAAACACCTTTAAAGTTG